TATCTTTCTGACCAAGGCCATATCAAAGTACAAACTGCCACTACAGATGCCGCTACTCCGTACCTTGCCGAGTATGCTGATGTATTTAGTAAAAAAGACTTTGACCAAATGCCAGAAAGACGTCCATGGGATCATGCCATAGAGTTAACGCCAGGCTCCAAACCAGTTGACTGTAAAGTCTATCCCCTCAGTCCACCGGAACAGAAGGCTTTAGATGAATTCCTAGAGGAAAACCTTAGATTGGGACGAATACGACCATCACGCTCACCCATGGCTTCACCTTTCTTCTTTGTCAAAAAGAAAGATGGAACACTACGGCCTGTACAGGATTATCGAAAGCTAAATGACATGACTGTCAAGAATCGATATCCACTCCCGTTAATCCAGGAACTCATTGATAAACTGAAAAATTCCAAGATCTTTACCAAAATGGATGTCCGATGGGGATTTAATAACATCCGGATCAAAGAAGGAGATGAATGGAAGGCAGCATTCCGAACAAACAGAGGCTTGTTCGAGCCCACAGTCATGTTTTTCGGACTTACAAACTCACCCGCCACGTTCCAAGCATTCATGAATCACATCCTTCGAGAGCTCATTGATCAAGGACACGTCATTGTCTATATGGATGATATCCTTATCTTCACGGACAACATTGAGGAACATCGGATCATCGTCAGAAAGGTTCTTGACATCCTAAAAGCCAACAAACTGTACTTGAAACCTGAAAAGTGCACCTTTGAGGCTAGGGAAGTTGAATATCTTGGAATCATCGTAGGAAATGGACAAATCCGGATGGACCCAAAAAACGTTGAAGCAGTTCGAACCTGGCAGCCACCACAGAAAAAGCGCGAACTACAATCGTTCCTAGGGTTTTGCAACTTCTTCCGCCGATTCATCCGAGATTTCAGTAAAATTGCCAAACCCTTAACACGGCTCACAGGGAATGCGACTTGGGAATGGACATCTCTTGAACAAGATGCGTTCAATCAACTGAAAGACCGGATCATTAAAGACGTCACTCTCATTATTCCAAGAGAGACTGGAAAGTTCCGGATTGAAGCTGATTCTTCCGATTACGCAAATGGTGCTGTCTTATCGCAAAACGTCGATGGAAAGTGGAGACCAGTAGCCTTCAGGTCCAGGTCACTTAACGAGGTTGAACGGAATTATGAAATTTATGACAAGGAGATGATGGCCATCATGGATTCTCTATCAGACTGGAGACAGTATTTGCTGGGCGCAAAAGAACCTGTTGAAGTCTTTACCGATCACCAGAATCTCCAGTATTTCCGGAAACCTCAGAAGTTGAATCGACGACAAGCCAGATGGGTAGTTGAAATTGCTGAATACCATATTGAGCTCTTCCATAAGCCTGGGAAATCGATGGGAAAAGCTGATGCTCTGTCAAGGATGTCAGGCCTTGAGAAAGGGGAGAATGACAATACCGACGTCACACTGCTAAAACCAGAATTTTTCATTTCTCAAGTAACGGATCAGACATCTGCCCCCGAAGACGATCTGCTTAATCTCATCCGAAGGAAGAAAAACCAGCAAGACAAGTTAGTACAGGTTGCCCTCGAGTCTAAAGACAAGGAATGGCTTGAAACTGAGGATGGACTAGCAGTTTGGCAAGGACGTATCTATGTCCCCAAAGACAAAGAGCTCAGAGGACGGATCATACAGGCACATCATGACGCCCAGACAGCAGGACACCCTGGCCGCTATAAAACTATCGAGTTAATTACACGCAACTACTGGTGGCCAGGAATCAGTCGAGACGTCAGGATTTACGTGGAAGGCTGTGAAAAATGTCAGGCCACAAAGACACATCGTACAAAACCCGTAGGACCATTATATCCACATGACATACCATCTGAGCCTTGGGAAATCATAGGAACAGACATGATTGGCGAATTACCGGAGTCTGGAGGGTATAATGCCATCAGCGTATTTGTTGATCACTTCACGAAGAGGTTACGGCTCTTTGCCACACATACTACGATAACATCTGAAGGAATGGCACGTATCTATCGTGACAAAGTATTTCCGATCCATGGGATGCCCCGGAAGATTGTCCACGATCGCGGCCCTCAGTACCATGCCCGCTTCATGAAGGAACTGTACAAGTTGCTGGGAATCGAAAGCAACTATACAACTGCATACCATCCTCAGACTAATGGCCAGACGGAACGGATAAATCAAGAAATTGAACATTACATCCGTCTTTTTGTGAATCATCATCAGAGTGATTGGCACGAATGGCTTCCTATGATGGAGTTTGCATATAACGACCGAGTACACTCAGCTACGAAAGTTTCGCCCTTCTACGCAGACAATGGCAGACACCCATACAAAGGAACCACACCGAAGATGACGTCACAAAACCCAACAGCACAGGAGTTTGCCGATAGTATGAAACGGATCAGGGAAGAAGTAGGATCGGCGCTGAAAAAAGCCGCTGAGGACATGAAGCGCCAATATGACAAACACCGGAATGAAGTGATAGAGTATAAGGCTGGTGATAAAGTCTGGCTTGAAGGAACCAACATAACGACAGATCGCCCAATGAAGAAACTCGGGGATAAACGATTTGGACCATTTAAAGTTCTTGAAAAGATCGGATCCAGCTCATACAAACTCGACATCCCTCGCACGTGGAAAAGAGTCCATAATGTCTTCAACGAAACACACCTATTCCCGTACCATGAACCCCAATTCCCGACACAACCCCGAAATACCAAGCCACCTCCAGAAGTAGTTGGAGAAGAAGAAGAATACGAAGTAGAAGAGGTTGTGGATGCACGCAAGTATCGGAATGGCATCCAGTACAAGGTAAAATGGAGAGGTTACGGACCACATGAAATGACGTGGGAACCTGGAGCTAATATGACGAATGCCAAAGAAGCTGTTCAGGACTTCCACAAGAAGTATCCTAACAAGCCCAGGCCTCGAACCCTTAAACGGATCGAGATTCTGATTGCTCAGTTTCCTACTGAATTGTTCCGACAAATACCTACACCAGACATAGAACCAGTCCCAAGTACCATGCCGTCTGAAGCACTTGTCAACTGACTTGCGCGTCATGGAATTCGCGCCTTAAAGGGGGGGTAATGTTACGATCACTTCTTTTTCATCTTATCTTTCTCCTTATCCCTTGTCTTATCTTTTATCTTTTGTCTTATCTTCTATCTCCCTTATCCTATATCTTGTCTTATCTTGTCACCTGATCTATTATTTATGCTTACTGATACAACATGCGCTTTTCATTTACTTATATTAAACACAGCAGTCTCACAACACGTATACAGCATGGTGATCGAGCTTTCATTACTTACACATTGCTTTGCTTGTGTTCTACTCATGTTTACCGCTAACCCAGGGCGTTGGGCATTACTAGGGCAGAGGGTTGTTCACTAGTATATAGGCTGTAGCTACTTGCTGTATTTCCTTAGCTTTGATCTCGTCTATTCTACCTGGTTTAGCCCAGAACTCTGCTTGCTTCCTTTATCGCTTCACTATCTGAGGTTTTCTTGAGTGTGACACCTGGTGACACCCGTTACTAGAACCAGTCGCTGACAGAGTCCATGCCTCGGGCCTCCATTCTGCCGCTCGGTATTCCGAAGATCCATCTTTATTGTAATCTCTCCTTATTGTTCTTTCTCGCTACACATACCCTTTTGTTCTAGTCCCTCCTTATTGTCTTTTACTTTACCCTGCAGGTACTACACGTATAGCTCCTAGTAGTTAGTCTGGCGCTCCGCACCGATGCGCCGCTCCGTAGATATAATTACTGTCTGTATGCTACTGTAGTTCCTCAGTTTAATTATCGACTTAGATCAACTTAGATCTCCCTTCCCAACTTAGCCCTTCTCTAAGTCTTCAGGCTCAACGCCTTGAAGTACGTTCTACTCAACCTTAGGACTTAAACGTTCTTTGGTTCGCTCCTCGTCACCGGCAATACCGCTGTTCCGACTTGGCTGCTACTCAGCTCCTCCCTTCTATACTCTCGATCTCCGGGGACTAACGGCGTAATGGCAGTGTTGTTAATAACTTCACTACTGTCCCACTCGACCTCCCGCACTTAGACACCTTGTGGCCTCTGGCACAGTTACACGGTGTACATGATCTTAACAGAGAATCCGAAGAGACAAAACATTCTTCACGCCAAAGAACCTCAAAGAACTCCTTTAGAGGTTCTGTTAGGTGTGATAATGTTCTATAAAGACAGGGCATAGGCTGCCATAGTATCTGCCATAGTATTTTGGTAAATTATGTATGATGAGGCACAATGCAGGAATCGAGAGTTCTTGTAAGTGACTAACTTGGTGCTCGAGGGTGCTCAACATTAGAATGCTCGTGAGAAAAAGGCAAGGCGATATGGCAATACCCGATCCATCTCCAATTCAACTTTCAAGTGCTCTCATCTCACTGAGCTTGTGGAGGAAGTTGTTGATTCCATATTCAATCAAGTTTCTGCATCATGACAGAAATCATGGCTGAGTCGTTGGTGTTTTGGGTTTCACTTTTGTACAGTGCTTTGCGAAATGGTTTGCTTGTATGGATTTTTTACCAAGTGTTTATTGCTGTTTATTTCTAGTTATTTGTTCAATACATTTTTGGGCCGAGGCTTGAGAGGGCTCTCTTTGAGGACCACCAGGGCCGTCGGGCTTCAAAAAGTGATTGATGAATCCTTTTTGGGATAAAAATATATTGGACAAATAAATAAACACAAATAGATGTGAAATAGTCGAGCAAGCAAAGACTTACGCAAAGCACTGTACATCATGATGTACTGTAAGTCAGTCAGTGCTGCGTTCTGCTGCGTTACTATATCATACATTATTGATCCTAAGCCTTACAGCTCCTTCATTCGGCTCGGGACTTTACATGTGTATACAAGTTGAGCCAAGGACCATATGTATCCGTAATCATCACAAATACCAAGTCGAAAACATTACAGATTAAGCAGATTAAATGTCCAGTAAATACTTGTCTTGGCTTCAGGATTCGAAATCAATCTACAGCAGCCGTTGTCGCATCATAGTAAGCGCATTTCGTTCCATCATCACCATTACTGAAAGCCGATCATCATCACGCAGAGTCACTGTCGCACTCTATAGTGAACTTTGGGCTAAAATTCCCTGAATCTCCAAAGACTGCCAGTAATGACCTCATAAGGACGCAAGCTGCAGATAAAATACGGTAGAGCACTCACGAACGATCTGGTAGTCATCCCTTGGTGGGACACGAGGAACTTTGAACGACATTGAGTGAAGATCCACGACATTGAATCCGGATGCAAGAGGATGCTCTTGAGTGACACAGGTGAGGATATCATACAGGGTGCAGTTTGCAGACACTTACCTGCATCTTCCAGCCCTTCCTTACGCAGGAGGACCATTCCTTCGGAGTTCGTGACGTCTTTTGGGCGATTAGAGCTATCCCTGATCAGTGCTCTTCAGCAACAACGCTGCGTGTAAGGATCGTGAAAAATGATACCAACCACGCTACGGTCACGTTTTGGCCACATCTCCAGACAGTGTTGGAGGTGGGGGCGGTAATATGTGGGATATAAACATCGCGAGCAGCGAGCGGTGCTGAAGCCGTCAAACTGGCGAAGGAGATGATCAAAAAGCAAAAGGCGCTGAAGAGAAAACACATTGTCAAGGCTGTTTTTGAAATCGCACGGATTGAGCAAGGAGAAGGGGCGAGATGTCTTTCTTTGTGAATGGGTATCAGAGGATCGCTGACTGATGGTGCAATCTAGAATCGACCGTGTTTATATATTGTACAAAGCCGGATCAGTAGGTTCGTTCGCTAAGTAGGCGGAATAGTAGTGGTAAGTTTTGCCGCCAATATTGGACACAGCGATACGCACACTATCGTAATGGCCTCGTTGCAGCCACTCTACTCCAGCACCTGAAGGTTCTTGCTCATGTCTCTAGGTCTTCTAAGCCGCAGTTCCGCTGCTTTCGCCGACTCAGGAGGTGCTTCTTTCAGATCCAATATGCTTGTTCTTCGGAAACTGACCCTCTCTAGTACACCGACTGCTCAAATAGTCCTTGGTTGGCGGTTGCGAGCTTGATAGAGTGAAAAACTCCTGTGTTTTGTTTGCACATACAGAAATTGAAGCTTGCATTGAAGCTTCGATAGTCGACTATGACGCTAGGACACGGTAATCTACTCCACCCCGCCAATGCTTCGGTCGAGTTAGAGTGAGGGTTTTCTGTACCCAAATACATTGCGGCCATCATCCTCCTTTTCACGTCTAACGAAACGAAATGCGATAAGCTCTTTGCTCCAATACGTGGCGATGATTTGCCGGGTGCTCAAATGCTACTATGAGGATCTACTGTTTGCTTAGAGCAAGCTTAAAGCGCATTCTAGTCAAATACATGGTCATTTCCATATCCTTCGGAATATAGCTGAACCAACCAGAGAAACATCAAAAATTGGTGAACGTACGAATCTTCGTCTTTACTTTCTCCGCTGATCTGATAGACTACAACTCGTGCTAGAGCTTCAGTTCAACGGCATAAACCAGGCTCTGAAGACTGTGGCGTTCGTCATCTGTGAGACCCAGCCTGATCCAGTGTATCTTTGAAGCCACATCGTCCTTACCAGCGACCCCCCGTAAATCCACTCGCATTCTTTTTGACGTATGGATGAATTAGATGAATTCTCTTTGCGCTCCAATCGGGTCCTTAAGCCTACACCCTCTATATGTTCATCGGCGATTCAAGCCAATACCCAGCAAGATCTGATTCTGCCCGCCATTTTGAAATTTACTACTGTGAAGCTCAGGTGAAGCAAAAGGTTGATGTTGAAAACCGGGATATCAACAGCATATCTGCCAGCTGCGATACGAGCTGCCTCGCGCCGTTCTCAAAAAAACTATAATATTTCCACGTACGCGCAATATGAGTGGGATTGTCTTTCGATTGTACTTTCATCTCTAGCAGCAAAAAGGAAAATGCTTGGTCCGTGCGTTCGGACGCGTCGCGGTACAAATAATGGCAAACTAGTACGCGACTTTGTTGCGGTCACGTTGATGATACGCGTGACTGTATAGAGAATGTCACGTTCGCGTATTTTGTCACCTCTTCCTTTTCCTTTTCTCTGCACACGCTCGCCAGTCAGGTACTCTCCTCCCAAACATTAGGAGAGATCGCTGAAACAATGGGTCTACCTACGCCTCCAACAACTTCTCATAGAGAGAAAGAACACCGGACTCTTGGAAGCCGTTCTCATGGCGTGATTTTTTCGAAGGAGAACCGAATCCATAGTCTGTCAGCACCTCCTCAGGGTCCCAGTTGTAGTAGCGCACTACAAAGCCGCCCAATAAAGTCTATACTCAAACCCACCCAACCTCTTCTTCCTCTTCATCAGGAAGAAATCCGTGAAGAGACACCTGAACCCGTTAACCCGCTTGACGACCCCATTTATCTTCAAACTCCTATATCAACAATCATCTCCCAATCCGCCACTCTACCCGAGCTCATTCGGGCATACTCTGTACTTACGGCGAGGATACGGCCCTACGTCAATGACTGGACTGATTGCTCATCACCGTTGTTCGAGCCATTACGCGCCAACAGCGATGTTCTTTGCGACCGTGTATGCCGCGACGTGCGTCGTGCTTTGGAGGATGCATTAATTGGAGATGACGAGGAGGAGGTGCAGAAGGAGTATCAACTTCCTTCCCCAACAAAAAGCCCGAAGAAAAAGAAGAGGGGCATGACGGCGGAACAAGCCAAGCATGCGCGAGATCTTTGTAACATCTGTCATTCCGTTCTGAAATTCCTCGGATTGCTTTTCTCTCTGCCTGATTTATCCCCATTTTTTACAGGTGAGTCTTATCCTAGTTTACGTGTTTTCCGCGACTCAACTTCTAGCCACTAGTCCGGCAACGAACTGAAATGTTGAGCGGCATCCTCTCTATTCCTCTTGCAACAGATCTGCCTACACCGAATGCTCGAAAAACTTATGCTCTGTCCATTTACGTGATTCAGTCACTGCGACTACCCGACACTGTTCTTCTTCCTGCCCGAGATTCCATCGCCTTTGCCTTGGGTCGTGGCATAGATGGAGAATTAGGAAAGGAAGGTAAGAAAGGCTCAGCTAGTGATGGTCTCAAGGTGAGTTTTCCTTCAGGTTCTACACACATTTCTCAAGTTGAATTCTACCAGGCGATTCACGACCTTGCGATATATCAACCGGCCACTTTTGTCCCTGCTTTCGTCATTTTGACGGATTCCATCCTTAGAAACCTTCTTGCCCCAACTCTGACCCTTCGGGTCCAAGCCTGTCATGCTCTTGGTGGTCTGGCACAAGGTGTCATTTCAATTCCCCTTTCTCACATCCATTCGCGTATATCGTTGCAAATAGTGCAGTTCCTTCTTACTCCGTCGACGCGCGCTTCACCGAAGAAGAAGAGCGGTAGCCCGACACCTGCAACACAAGAATCTGATATTTGTCGAACGCTGCGAACGACATTGAATACTGAAGATCCCTTGCATGTCGCTCAAGGTCCTGTTTGGGCGTTACATGTCTTGGGATGCTTCATTGTACTTCTTGGTTCTGCATTCAAGACCGACATGCGATTAGTCAGGACCATCACGAATTTGCTCACACTGACAATGCGGCACAAAAAAGTCGCGGTGCGCAAACTAGCCTGTGTTGTTTGGAGGTCTATCACTTGGTCCTGGCACCAGCTCCCACTACCATCCCTCGGGGACGAAGAGTGTACGGTGGTACCCTCAAAATCTGAGCAGCAAATGGTTAGCAAAAAGCAATGGTGCTTGATTGAATTGGTCCTCAACATGGGTGTCGGTGTGGGCACTTGTTGTGCTATTGTTGGGAACGAACTGGGTCCAGCAGAGCGTATCCGTCTTGAGAGAATACTTACTTTGATGATGAATAGGGGTGATGACTCTAGGGATTGTGCACTACGCTGTATCAAACAGCTCGTGAGCCTCGAGCAACGGGTGTCATCTTGGGATATCGACAATCTCCTTTCCAGAAACTTCTTGTCCGGAATACCAGGTGTTCTCAACGCTGACTATCAAGACTTGACGAGGCCGCTTCAGAATATACTTGAGGAGCTGCCCCACGTCCGTGATCTACGCCCGTTGAACAAAGATGAGCTACTCGAACTCGATACCATGGGTTTGTTCCTCGAGTTGTGGGGCAGTGCGATAGGCATCCGTAATGGACAACATAATAACGAAGTAAGTCATCAAAAATCTTTCCATAAATAACGTGGCGTTAAATTTGATATCCAGGACTTGCTAATCGAAACATGGGATGCCATACTCAAGGCGGTGACGACGTTGGCAGAAGGTAAGTCTTGTCTTCTTCCGGGTTATTACCCAGTTCACAGAATCTCTTTCAAGACGAAGATGACGAAGCTGAATCAAAAGCAGCACTAAACCTCTGCAGCACTCTTTACGACAGTCTTCGGATGGGATCTAAAGAAGAGAGCAAGACTTCTGACTCTGATGGTCACACAATGAAGCAGGAACAGAACTTCGACCTTGGAAAGAAATTGCGAATGGTTCGACGTGCTTGGACGTCCTTGTGTAACGTATTACCAAATGGTGTTCTAGCTGACTACGGGACACAGCTGCTTGCACAACTCGTCCAATCCGATGATGATGAGCTCAGCGAGATCGACGACAGCGTACGGGAAGAGTGGGCTGCACTTTGTGTTGATCTTGTTCTGTCTTCTGAAGATTCGTCGAAAGTGCTGTCTGCGTTTTGGACCCAAGTAGACTCGAAGTGGAATTGGTCGGCAACGGTACGCACCATCGTTTGGACTAAATTTGTCCAGACATGGCAGGAGAGCAAACGAGATACTTGGGATGGGTCACTTGTTCTGTTGAGCGCTCCTTTCTGGTCAGTGTTTGAGCTACAATGGCACTGTTACCATAATCAGAACCTGACCATGAATACAGCAGTGTCACTGTTTGGGACCTCAATAACGACGAGCTTTCAACGTGGGAAAGGTTCTTGGCCTTCATTGTAAATCGAGGTTTCGATTATGGTTACGATTGCGTCGCTGTGGTAGGCCTAATCGCGGAGAGGCTCCAAGAGAAATGCAACCCGACTTTCACATCGCTTACTCGCATCGCGGATATGCTGATGACTCACGCTCGTGATTCGTTCAGAGAGATCCTGAACCTTCCAGAAAGTCTGATGGACTTCATCGCGGATACGTTAAACCAAAGCTATCCACCCTCACCTTCCACAGGTTTTTCGTCTTTGTGGATGATCCGGTCTCTTGGTCATCTCATCGATTCATGTCCTGAACAGCTGTGCCTCAGTCTGTTGGAAACCCTCCAGGAATCCATTGTTCTTTGGATCTCGGATGAGCGATCTGGGGTTACGGACTCTTATGATGATGTACGTCTGACTCGAAAGCTGTTGTTTACTTCCGTGCTGCTTGTACTCATCTAACTGTTCGTAGATCGTAACGTTCTATGAGAATTATCTCATGAGACTCGCGGAAGTCATTCCTCCTACCCAGGAATATATGCAACAGTTTGCGCCTATACTCGATGCCATATTCATAGGTCCTCAGAAACCTGTGGCCGCTTTCGACGCTTTCGATACCTTCTGGCACACGACTCAATTTTCGGTAAATGTACCGCCTCAGGCCTGGCCCAAGAAGGTGTATGAGTACATTTACGGCGCACCTGCAATTTCGGCCGCCCCCTCTCCCAAATCTCCATATCCTGTCGAGGAAACTCATGTGGGAGAAGATACACCCGAAGAAGGCGTCGAATCTGTCGTCAGTTCGAAGAAAAGCAGAACAGAGGAAGCTTCTTCTTTACACGACTCAGAACCTTGTTTGTTCAGCTCTCCCGCGCTTGAGTTCCCTGCCTCCCCATATCCCAGCCATTCCAGGAAAATTGAAGCCGAAAACGCCGGAAGTGATATCAGGCTTCTCTTGCCTGCCCCACCAATTCTATCGACTCCCCCGCGCGCATCCAGAGCGAAACTGCGTATTGCTGGAGCACCTAATTCTCCTCCGCCGCTACTGCATACCCCTGGTGAATCAAGTTTGGTATTTGCTCGCAGGTTTGAGCCTTTGTTTTCCCCGAAGACTCCATCCAGCAAGTCAAAACATGTTTCACAACTTGCCTTATCTCCCACCATTAAACCCCTTCCTCCTGTGAGTCCTGTCGCTAGTCCCAACAAGAAGCGACGTGTATCAGACTCAAATAAGGAGAACCTTTCTCCGTGCCCAACGAGATACTCACCCCAGTATCGTGGCCGTGATGTTCAGAGTTCACCCTCACGCCTTTTATCGGGGAATGACAGAAAACGTATGTTTGACAGTGTTGAGGATGGAACCGCATGTCCAGAGCAAGTGAAAGTGGAGAGGCCGACGAAGAGGGTGAGAATAAGTACGCCAATACCGCCATTGGCCTTACCTCTTCCTGCGGGACCGATATCTTCTTCGCTAGAAGCTGCTGATTTCGATCTTGCTTTGTGCTCTCCTTCGTCATCATCCTCCAAAGCAATGTCTTCAAAGTCGTCCTCACCCTCCTCATCTTCACTTGACTCTACCGTGGATACCAACAATGCGGCTACCTTATGCCGAACTACATCCATATCTAAGAAGCGTAAAGCTTTACTCATGGACTGTGTCGAGATCGTGAGGATCACCCCTTCGATATTGGGTCAGGCGATGAAGACACCCACGCATCGGATGACAAGGAAGGTCTCGATAGGCAAACGAAAGACCGTGACGATAGCTTCCCCTGTTCAAGGCCCAGATGCGGAAGGGGATTTAGATCCAGAATTCTCGAACTTGAGCATGTCTTCAGAGTCTGATTCGGACTATGGGTCCGACCCCGATAACCTGCGTAGTGAAAAGCAACTCTCGTCCGACGATGACCCGCATTTGGGTCAAGTAACGCCGGGGCACTTGATCTCGCCTACTCTCAGGCGAGTGCGCGGATTACATCGTAACCTTGATGGAGAGATGGAAGCGGAAGATGAATTGCCCAGCAGTGATGATTCTGATTGTTCATTCAGTGATCGCGGCGAAAGGCGCTCACGACAGTTGAGCCCGTCGAGGGAGGTGGTGTTGAGGAGGATACAGAGGAGTCTGAGTGGGACGGCGAGGGCTGTGGTTACACCTTGCGTCGGTTCGAGGGATTACTCGACCTGACACAGTTACTGGATAATTTCTCGTAAGGCCAACGTCCTACAACTGTCCTTCGCCAGACAGACCGGGAAAATTGATCGTTGAACCAAGGGTCCCCACTTTGTCACATTCTGATCATGATATGCTCTATACTTGCATGGTAACTGTATTCGTTTTGTAGCTTCTATATTCTCTACTTATGCTCACAGTGACTCTTCATACTTTCCTTCGTTTTGTACTGCATGTTTGTATCATAATCATCATCCTGGGATCACTGTTAGTAGGTGAAATACTATCCATCTCTTCCACACCTTTGGGTTGCCGTGTATCTATCTATCTGCGGCCTATATATCTATCTCCCTCTTCAACTTGACAACAACGTGCCACAGGTGCCACCACCAGGTCCATTTCGCTTTGGGTCTGACGGGGTGAGTAGCCATCGATCCTGTATGAACCAAAGATAACCGGTGCGTTATTTTTCCGAGTCCCTCTAGAGTCTGGGACATGTATAAAAGGGCAGGGTTTTTTTTTGCAGCCCTCACTGCTGGCCGGTCTTCCATACTTTCTACTGCAGTCTCTTTGCACATCGCTCGTCCAGTCGCTCAGTGCTCTGCCGTGAACCTTGGTCATTATTTTTCTTGTAAGTTTAAATTAGTGCATCTGAAGAAATGGCTTTCCTTATGCTGATTGATATCCTTGACCAGGGCAACATTCTCTTGCCTTTTTATCCTCCACGCGTTCGTCTTTCAAGTCCACTAACACTCCCCGTTTCGATCTGTTTGTTGAAGTTCAATATTCAATATGCACCTGAGCATTGCCTTCCTTGTCCTGGGTCTTGTCTTCACTGTGCATGCAGCTCCTGTCAATAATGAGGTGAGTCAAAATATTCCCGGATCCCTTCATCACCATCTTGTCACTGACGATATTGCATTTGATGAAGGCTCCGAAACAGGGTACACCTTCCAAAATCCTCGACTGGATCATTTCTCGACAATATTTCAAATCACCTCCACTTCCCCAACTTCCTTCGCCTGAAACAGCAAGCTCCACAGGCCCGATTCACTACCAATTTTTTCCCATCGAGTCGATTATGCCCTTTCCCGATCTCCTCCCAAAATTGAATAGACCGAAAGCCCAATCCGAAGCCAAAATCAAGGCCCAATCCTGGATTCGCAAGATACTTTCAGTTTACGACAGAGATGTGGTGGAACAGCCGGAGACAACTTTTGCTGGAAAGTTGGAACACTTCGTTATCCAGATAGACTCCCAGGTTCAGATTAGAGAGCACGTAACGTGTCCGTGTCAAGTTATAGTGAAAGCTCCATCAACGCCAGACTCAAAAGGCATGGTCATTTTTATTCCCTACATCGACGGTGAGAAGCACCGTGTACATGCGAGGCCGGTGGTTGCCAAACATCCGTCTGTTTAAAAGGATTACAGCCCATTGTAGTCACACATTCCATCTCTCGACATCACCTCGGGCGATATAGGGCGATATTTGTATGCACATACTACTTGTTACATATACTTAGATGATTATCTTTCTAACTTGCTCATTCATGAGTAAGGGACATCGATGTTCCTTCCAGGATAGGATAGGATAGGATATGAATTATACTGGCGAGGTCCGATTCCCGAACAACCAGTTTACCATGTACTGTACAATATTACATGATGTTGTACAATAATGGAACACACATATCTAATACAGGGGGGCGATTATGATCATCCATGTCCTGGTTATTGAGGGGAAAAGCGGAAAAAAACCCCTCCCATGGTATCATGAATTACACGGTCTTCCCTGCCTCAATATGCATGCAGTGTGTCACTCCAGCCGATATATTTCAACTGCATAGAATACTTCCAACACCTCATGCACATACTTTGCCAGCAACCCCACAACCCTCTTATCTGCCAGTAACTCCCTAAAGAGCTCCCATCCATCCCCATAGTGCCTTGCAAAATGGGGTATCTCCTGTATTACCCTTTGCATAAAGGCTTTCCTCAGCTGTATGACCTTGCAGCTGTTGCTGCATTCAAACAAAACATGTGCCCCATCTTCCACTTTTTCCCTACACATTCTACACAGTCTTTTATCATGCTGCACCATTGGTTTGTTCCTCTCTGCCCACCTTAATCTCTCCACTGCTAATTTGTGGTTGCTTGTTACCATATCAATCAAGGATCTTCTATGTTCACCTATTGGAATCCTCAAGTAGTGTCTAAAAGCCATGGTCTTTATAACCATTTTTTTTGTCTTCTTGTCATACTCTCTTCTATCTCTCAGCACATCCCTTGTCTTGTTTGATGTGTCCACCTTTTCTTGAATGTCTTTCTCCATTGATTTCTTTACCCTCTCCATTACCCCATCAATGTGTTGCACAGTCAAGTCCTTGAATCTTGGTATATTCCATACCACCCTGTGAGGTAGCCTGTCTAACACTTGTACCATTTCCATAAAGACTGAGTTTTTCCCCTGCTCTGCTAGTTCATATGCTTGTCTGCATGCCTTCCATGCTAAGTGGTCTCTCTTCAACTGCACCAAGTACTTCAGATTCTTCAGGAACAGAATAATTCTTCGATATCGAATTGGCCATAGGCCTGTTTCAGAGAATAATAGTGCCACCATTGATTTATCATTCAGTCCCAACATCCTCCTAATGAAGTAATGCTGTACACTCTCTAATTGCTTTCTTCTTACATCATAAATGTCCACTATCACTTCTGCTCCATTTTTCAAATAGGGATCAACCCTGCCCATGTACAGCAACCATAAGTCCCATATTGGAATATTTTTCCCCACAAACACCTTTGCATGTAGTACTGCTCCTGCAGTCTTTTTTGCTTTCTCAGCACTCTCCTTGTACTGCTGCTGATACATGTCAACTCCTGTTGTCTGGTGCCAGATTCCCATGTACTTCATCTCTTTCTTCTTTTTCAACCTTTTGCCATACAGAGTAAATGGCAAGCCCTCTGTCTCCTCCTTTCCATACACTGCATAAACACACTTTGGAACTGAAGCAATAAATCCAGTCTGTGCAGAATATTCACCAAATTGGTTGAGTTTGGATTGGAAGCTTGTAGGGCACATTGTAGTCATCAATACATCATCTGCCTGTTCTGTATGGTTGACCACTTTGTCATATAATACCACATCCCCTGGGTGCTCACTAAGTCTGAAGTCTGCAATTGCTAGATTGAATAGCATAGGTGTTCCTGGGTCCCCAGTCCAAGCTCCAATATTTGAAGTAAATGCCTCTGAGAAGGAATCTGCCACCTGAACCACATTTCCCAACTTTTGGTACATCAGCCGCAGCCAATCAATCAGTGGTCCCCTGATGCCCATTTTATTCAGCTTCATCCACATCATTGGTCTATTTGTTAGTGGGAAGGCATGCGTCCAATCCATGTATGCAACATATAATGGCTTTCTTATTGCCTTAGCTGTGTCAACCATGGTCTTGAGAATAAATGGATTATTTGTAGTTCGATAACCCGGCCAAAACCCATTCTGGGTTGATGGCAGTAAATCCTGGTGCTCTGCATATTCCCTCAACCTTCTGTCAATAATTAATGTGAGCATTTTCAGAAAGCAACACTCTAGCACCACCAGTCTATAGCTTGAAGGGTCATCTGCCTCCTTCCCCCGTTTCAGTATGCCCACTACCAATGCAACTAGCCATGCCGATGGAGCAGTCCTGTTCTCTATACAGTGGTTCAACAACTTCACACAATTCTCATTTGGGATCTTCATAATCAGTTTATAATCCACCTGGTCCACACCTACAGAGCTGTCTAGGTTCTTCATTGCAATATGTGCCTTTGCTTCCTCAATCTCCTCCTCCTGTATTGCACGGCTAAAGAATTTCTGCTCAGTTGTATCCACATTTTTTTCTGGTATCATTGCTTCCCATTGCTTCCACAGTGCCAGATACTTTGCATCTAAATTTGGTGGGATAATGACTGGGCTCTGCATGCGTGACCGGAATTCCCTAAGCAACTGTTCCATGGTCACTTCCATTTCCTTTGCTTTGCCATCCATCCAGTTGATATATAAGGACCAGAACTGTGCAATAGTTTTGCAGTTTTGTAACTTCTTTAGGTTATCCTCCTGAATTTTTGCAACTTTTGACCTTCCTCTGTGTGATACTTCACCCTGTCTCACATCTTCACCCCCTGCTTTTCTCTCCCCCCCTACATCTTTGGGTAGAGCACTTGAGACCTTGTCCCCTTCTAGTGGTACTAGGCAGGAGGTGTTACACTTCCATGGTACCTCTTTGAGTGGCCTATAATTGCCTGGCAAATCCATTGTAGCACCCTTCTTGGCTAAATTATCTGCCTCATCATTATTCTGGTTTCCACTGTGGCCTTTGACCCATACAAATCTGGTTGAAGCTGCTCTCTCTTTAAGTAGAAGTGCGATGTCCTTGAGTATATCGCCATTTGGTATATTCCACCCCGTGGCCAAGTGGCGGCCAGCCCAGTAGCAGCATTGCCTAATAATATACTCTGAGTCTGTGTATATTATCAGTGGCCTCTTTGGATCCATTTCAAATAGGACTAAGTACACTGAATATGACTCTGCCCTATTATTTGTTTGTCTTCCAGGTCCTGGTACTCGCACACTTTGATTCCTCCTTGAGTTCAGGCCATAACATATTCCAGCACCAGCTTGTGCAGAATCAGTTCCCCCACCCAGACATGACCCATCTGTATATACTGTGACTGGATCGTTGGCATAGTAGAAATCCCCATAGTATTGTTTCAATGCCTCTTCTTCCGATAGAGCACTTGCCAGAATTTTGTTATAAAGTATATCTGTAGGTTCATGTAGAGGCTGTATTTTGAATGTCATTTTCACCTGCCCCTTCACTGCACTGGCCTTGGGTCTGAGTGACAACTCCACTGCCATTGAGAGCACAGAATGATCTGACCACCTATCTTCCTCCTGCTTTGGATTACCATGTACTCTCATATGCTTTACTGCATTCACCATGTCATTTGACACTACACAGTAGTCAACCACAGCCTTCCCATTGTGCTGATGTGATGTGTAGGCACCCGGTTTGTTGACCTCCAGCGCAGTCCCATTTATCACTGACATATGTTCCTGAGAACATACCTGCATGAAAGCCCGACCCCGTGCATTCTCTATGGCATCACTTGATACTCTTGGTCTGTGTGTATATATCGGAATGTTAGACCCAATCCGACCATTCAAGTCCATCATCACTATCACAGGTTTATTTGACAACCGACACAGCCTGATAATAGTCCAGAGGTTCTCCTCTGGGGCAATTTCCGAAAAGTGAGTATACTTTGAAGACGCTGGCAGTACATATGCCACAATAAGCCATGTTGTGCCCAAATCCAGTACCAGAATATCTGGCACAGATAGGCTTGATTTCTTGACCTGGATGTTATTCCGTACAAATGCGCACACTCCTCCATGCTGATGCTCCCATGGCTCTGCTGCCTTCCTTGACTGAGCAAAGAATTGATACCCTTGAAGCTTTGCCATAGCATCTTCCTCCTCAGGACATAGATGTGTTTCCTGCAAACCAATAACATCAAACTCCCCTATAAGCATCTTAAAATCTGGGCTGAGCATCTTTACAATAAGGTCTCCATGAACATTCCAAGAGGCGAAGTTTACCTCAGTATATATTTTGAGACTATCTACCCCCGCTTCTGTTTGTTCAGATTCAACCTCATTGACCTGCGAGAGACCCCCAGCCCCCTCTAAAAATCCTCCCCTATACCCCGGAGCTTCAATCCTTCCCGCTCACTCAGCGAGTTTTTATAACCTGTGCTCCACTCCTTGGTAAATGCGTCCCTCTCGTTATATGACCGGAATGTCATGACCAAGACCCCGAACCGGTACTCATCTCTCCTTACATCCCCAGGAATGACACTTCTTCCAGTAACGCCCGGTGGTCCCCGAAGAGAGCCCTTGGACGAACAAGCAACAATAATTACTTGGTAAAAAATCCATACAATCAAACCTTTTCGCAAAGCACTGTATTTCGTGGGCTCATAAAACTTTCGCGACTGTCATCATTCACCTTGCATGGACATTGAACATTGAACGTTTGAACATCCATAACCTCGAGCGCTCGTGCATGATTTCCTCTTTCAAAGTTGTCTCTGTCCGTTCCAACGGCAGAACAGGGTCTCTCAGGCGAGTGCGCGGATTACATCGTAATCTTGATGGAGAGACGGAAGCGGAAGATGAATTGCCCAGCAGTGATGATTCTGATTGTTCATTAAGTGATTGTAGCGGCGAAAGGCGCTCACGACAGTTGAGCCCGTCGAGGGAGGTGGTGTTGAGGAGGATACAGAGAAGTCTGAGTGGGACGGCGAGGGCTGTGGTTACACCTTGCGTCGGTACGAGGGAATACTCGACCTGACACAGTTACTGGATAATCCCCCGTAAGGCCAACGTCCTACAAGGCTACAACTGTCCTTCACCAGACAGATCAGGAAAATTAACCGTTGAACCAAGGGTCCCCACTTTGTCACATTCTGATCATGATATGCTCTATACTTGCATGGTAACTGTATTCGTTTTGTAGCTTCTATATTCTCTACTTATGCTCACAGTGACTCTTCAAACTTTCCTTCGTTTTGTACTGCATGTTTGTATCATAATCATCGTCCTGGGATCACTGTTAGTAGGTGAAATACTATCCACCTCTTCCACGCATTTGGGTTGCCGTGTATTGATCTATCTGCGGCCTACACGGCAGCGGCTTAAGGTTAGAATAATATCAAAATGGTATTATGCATATTATTGCAAATTAGAGAGATAATATTTTTCCAAAATGAATTGTTGCTGTGTTTATATGTGTAGATTTGTCCTATGTATGGACAGGGAGATGTTCTCGCTCCCAAATCTATCTCTGTTTGCTCTCTTTCCAAACTGCAAGCTGCAGCGCACGGACACCATATGGCAATTGGACAGAATCAGACCCCAAAAAATTTTACATCGGAAATTTTATATGCAAAAAATTTAGATTGGAGATTTTGGATATAGATCAAAAACATCTGCAAAACATGTATACTCGCCAGAGCAAGGATACTAGCTGGAGAGCACTCTCCAGCAACAAAAGCACCCAAAGCAAAAATCAAAGCCTGCTCTGGGTGCTTTTGCTGCTGGGAAGTGCTCCCAAGTGCTCTGAGCTGCTTTCGGCTATTTAGCTGAACATACAGGTTTTGCAGATGAACGGATGCACTGCAGTGCATAATCTTGAATTTGAATGGAGAGCACCACTCAACCTTTTTAGAATTCTACCATCTTCAGCTTTATCTAGAGATTATGATTTCTCAGATGATAATTTGATGGCTTTCACTCCTGACTGTGTATATAAGCCTATATATCTATCTCCCTCTTCAACTTGACAACAACATGCCTCAGGTGCCACCAGGTCCACTTCGCTTTGGGTCCGATGGGGTGAGTAGCAATCGATCTTGTATGAACCAAAGATAACCGGTTAGAGTCTGGGACATGTATAAAAGGGCAGGATTTTTTTTTGCATCCCTCACTGCTGGCCGCCGGTCTTCCATATTTTCTACTGCAGTCTCTTTGCACATTGCTCGTCCAGTCGCCCCAGTGCTCTGCCGTGAACCTTGGTCACATCTGCAAAACCTGTAGTTTCGGCTAAGGGTCCGAAAGCAGTTGGGAGCACTTCCCAGCAGTGAAAGCACTCAGAGCATATTGCTTTCAGTGCTTTCAGCACTGGGATTTGCTGGGATCTGCTCTCAGACCTTAGCCGAATATCCAGGTTTTGCAGATGGCATTATGTTTCTTGTAAGTTTAACCTTGCATCTGAAAAAATGGCTTTCTCTATGCTGATTGATTTCCTTGACCAGGGCAACATTCTCTTACCTTTTCATCCGCTTCAGACCTCCGAGTCCGCGCGTCTGTCTTTCAAGTCCACTAACACTCCCCGTTTCAATCTGTTCGTTGGAGTTCGATATTCAAAGATTTAGTCCCTTCTAATTTGCTTGTCTTATAGTTGTTCTTTCTTCTTCGTCATTGTATTCCGATAATATGCACCTGAGCATTGCCTTCCTTGTCCTGGGTCTTGTCTCCACTGTGTATGCAACTCCTGTCAATGAAAAGGTGAGTCAAAATATTCCCGAATCCCTTCATCACCATCTTGTCACTGACGATGTCGCATTTGATGAAGGCTCCGAAACAGGATACACCTTCCAAAATCCTAGACTGGATGGTTTCTAAATCATTAAGATCACCCCCATTTTCCCGACTTCCTTCGACTGAACCAGCAAGCTCCACAGGCCCGATTCACTACCAATTTTTTCCTATCGAGTCGATAAAGAAATTTCCCAAGCTCCTCCCAGTATTTAATGAACCGCAATTCCAATCCGAAGTCAAATCCAAGGCCCAAATTTGGATTCGCGAGATACTTTCAGTTTACAACAGAGAGCTGGTGGAACAGCCGGAGGCAGCTTTTGCTGAAAACTTGGACCATTGCCATATCCAGATAGACTCCCAGGTTGTGATTAGAGAGCACGTAACGTGTCCGTGTCAGGTTATAGTGCACCCTGCATCAAAACCAGGCTCAAAGGGCGTTGTCCTCTTGATTCCCTACATCAACGGTGAGAAGCACCGTGTACACTCGAAGGCGGTGGTTGTCAACGATACGTCTGCCTATATTTAAAAGGATTTTAACCCATTATCGTCACACATACCTCTCTCGACATCACCTCGGGCGATATAGGGCGATATTCGTATGCACATACTACTTGTTACATATACTTAGATGATTATTTTTCATGACTTGCTCATCATGAGTAAAGGACATCGATGTTCCTTCCAGTAACGCCCGGCGGTCCCCGAAGAGAGCCCTTGGACGAACAAGCAACAATAATTACTTGGTAAAAAATCCATACAATCAAACCTTTTCGCAAAGCACTGTATTTCGCGGGCTCATAAAACTTTCGCGACTGTCATAAAGTACGCAGCCCCTATCATTTTCCTTTTCTCACCGACTCGACGCCTTTACTTGTACGATACATCATCCCATCACTGTCAAACCCCCATCGATTACTGATCCATCGATTACTGATCCACCTGACCCATCTTCTCCTTCTATTGGCTTCCGCCACCTTCCTTGTTCCTAAACTGTACAGTATTACATCGTTGTTTCTCGCAGACCGGATTATGTATATATAGCCAACCCTCCACAGCCTGGTCCCTTATCTTGACCTCTCTGTCATTATCTGGGACCAGGTATGTGCTTACTTATTATTACCTATGACTACGATACTCAATATATCTCTGTCATTATCTGGGACCAGTCTGCCGCCGTTCTGCTTAGTCGCTCCGCCTTGTTGCCTTGTCCAGTTGCTCCGCCTCACCGTTCTGCTTAGTCGCTCCGCTTTCCCGCTCCGTTAGTCACTCCGCCTCTGCCGCTTCGTGACATTAGGTCAAGATCCATTACTGCACTGACAGCCTACCGATAAGGTTGTCCTTGCAGGGTCTATAGACACCACGTCTTCCCCAGTTCTGCCCGACTCTGAAACACCTGTTGCCAGTATAGACTGCTCCGCACTCCCGCACGCACTTGACCCCAGAGACCAAGCTCACGCCCATAACAACGACGATACTTGGCGCGATTGCCAGTCTCAACCTTGCCCCAACGCCCTTTCGAACTCAATCCGAGAGCCACTCACTGTGAGCAATATAACCTTCCTGCCGATTCCTCAGCCCCGATTGCCTACTCCCATCATGTCGACTCCTATCCCGCCTGCCCCAAACACCTCTGCGGATGATCTCATGGCTCAGCTCATCAGACAAGTAGCTAACCTTGCTACAGCTATGGAGGAACGCTCATCCTCCAAGTCAAGCATGAACAAACCCGAGGTTTTCAAGGGTAAAGATGGCGCTGAAGCCCGTCGCTTCATGGCTCAGTTCCAGAATTGGGCATCAGAACAACCGGATCTCGCCAAAAGCCAGGTAAAACTCATCAAGTCCGCCTTGGGCTTCTTCACAGAAAGTGCCGGAGATTGGGCAACTCCCCATCTGCTACATTTCAATGCGGAAAATCCCCCTTTCGGAGGAAATTGGGAGGCGTTTCTGAAGGAATTTAGCCAACGGTTTGAACCAATGGACCCAGGTATGGAAGCCCGTAGCGAGATCAAGAATCTCAGGCAAAATAAAGGACAGACAGTTGCGGAATTCGCTCAGAAGTTCAAGGATATCGGAGATCGGACTGAAATGTCTGATATTGACTTGCGGGAACGTTTCTTCACTGCATTACTCCCAGAGATCCGACAACACCTCATCACCGTAAACATTGCCCAAGGAATTGCTCCGACTCTGAAGGAGGCAATCAAACGGGCCATATCGGTGGATGTCTACCTGCACGATCCCACCATGACTGGCCGGAACTCTGGATACCCTCCCACGCATACCGCTCATACTACCCCTGCTGACCCCCATGCTATGGACATTGATGCAACCCACACCAGTAATGGGAATACTAGGGAAGCATTCCTAGCTCGCATGCGAGGACGATGCTTCGGCTGCGGTGCCCAAGGTCATGTCAAGCAAAACTGCCCACACCGAGAAACCACCTGCCGCTACTGTGGACGTCGAGGACATCTGGAAGCAGTCTGCCAAGACAAATTTATGGGACTCGGACGAGACCGAGGCCGACGCCAGCAACCTCGACGCCAACAGATATCCGCTACGGGACCCGCGCCATTCTCCCTATTCCCAAACGAATCCGTCCAAATCGCGTCCTCGACCCCAACATCTGCTTCTGCACCCGTAGCTGCTACTCCGAGCCCCCCTAACCAGGACTTTTCCAATCAGATTGGTCAAATAAGGGAATTACTTGATCGTGCTAACGCTATGTCCTCCTCGTCCTCTGGCTTCCAACAGGGTTTTTAAAGAGGGTACCCGCTTCGGCTGCACCGAGAGTACCCCGTAATCAGTTTGTTATGTTCGCTACTTCCTCGTATGACTCGCACCCATCATGTACAATATCGTCGATCCGGGAATTAAACTCTACTTCCCCACATTTCCGAATTCATGCGAGACTAAGAGGAAGGAATCACAGTATAACAACTGCAGCCATGGTAGACTGTGGAGCTACCGCCCTGTTTTTAAACCAAGACTTTGTCACCCGGAACCATGTAAGATGTGCACCCCTCCATAAACCGATCGACGTTTTTAATATCGATGGAACACCTAACCGAGCTGGACGGATAACCCATTTTGCATGTCTAGCACTCACAGTGGATAATCAAGAGCGATGGATGGACTTTCTGATCACCAACCTAGGAGGTGAAGACATCATCCTTGGACTCCCCTGGCTACGGAAGGTAAATCCGGAGATTGATTGGGAGAAAGGACGACTTTCAGTAAAGCCTCCTCGAGTAACGATAGAAGAAGTCCCAGACGAGGAGATCTTGTACTCTCATCTAGCCGCCACTCACACAGAAACCCCGATCCTCGAACTCCCAGAACTGGAACCTCCCGCAGAAAACCCCCACATTGAGGTGCCACTAGAAGCGACCCTTGAACCGAGTGAATCAGCAGCGGTGGAAGAACCACCAATACACCGAATTCGAGCCAATCATAAAACTCGCCGGGCATGGGTAAAAGCAGGAATTCTAGAGGAACAGACGGAGGAAGTCTGGTGCGCCGCAGGATTCACTTACTCCCAGCAGCTAGCAGAGGAAGCCAACCGAGACAAACCCGTTAAAACCTTCGAAGAAATGGTCCCTGAGCAGTATCGTGATTTCAAGAAGGTTTTCTCAGAATCCGCCTCCGAACGATTACCTGCCCACCAACCTTGGGACCATGCAATTGATCTCGTACCTGGAGCACCGGCAACCATGCGTACCAAGATTTATCCCATGTCCCTAAACGAGCAGGAGGAGTTGGATCGTTTCCTAGAAGAAAACCTACGGAAAGGCTATATCGTCCCCTCAAAATCACCAATCTCATCACCGGTCTTCTTTGTAAAGAAGAAGGATGGGAAACTCCGTTTCGTACAAGACTACCGGAAACTGAACGAGTACACTGTGAAGAACCGATACCCTCTTCCATTAGTTGCTGATATCATTAGTCGACTTCAGGGAGCCAGATACTTCACGAAGTTTGATGTCCGCTGGGGTTACAATAACATACGGATTAAGAAAGGGCATGAATGGAAAGGCGCGTTCGCAACAACCCGAGGCTTGTTCGAGCCTAAGGTCATGTTCTTTGGTCTCACAAATTCCCCTGCCACGTTCCAAGCACTTATGAATGCTATATTTGCTGATCTCATTGCAGCCGGCAAGGTGGCAGTCTACCTAGATGACATCCTTATCTTCAGTAACGATCTCGAGGAACACCGACGAATGGTACGGGAAGTATTAACCCGGTTAGAAAAGCACGACCTCTACCTACGACCAGAAAAATGCGAATTTGAACAACAACAGATTGAATACCTCGGACTCATCATCTCAGAAGGGGAGGTGAGAATGGATCCGGTAAAAGTAGCGGCTGTTCGCGACTGGCCAGTCCCTACTAATCTTCGGGAACTACGAGGGTTCTTGGGATTTGCAAACTTCTACCGACGCTTTATCCGGAATTTTGCCAAAATAGCACGACCTCTGAACGACCTGACGAAGAAAGACACCAGCTTTACTTGGACCGACACTCGACAGAAAGCATTTGATACCCTTCGAGAAGCCTTCATCTCCGCACCGATCCTTGCTCTATGGACACCAGACAGGCCTACTCGAATCGAGGTAGACGCATCAGGCTTTGCCACGGGAGGCGCCCTTATGCAGAAGCAAGACGATGGCCAATGGCATCCGGTAGCCTTCAGATCGGCATCCATGCAGCCAGCAGAACGGAACTACGAAATCTACGATCGAGAAATGCTTGCTATCATTGAAGCACTGAAGGATTGGAGGAACTTTCTAGAAGGACTCCCTCAACCATTCGACATCATTACGGACCATTCGAACCTCGAATTCTGGCGCACTGCCCAAGACCTCACCCGCCGACAAGCACGATGGGCCCTCTATCTGTCACGGTTTGACTTTCATATGATCCACCGCCCTGGTAGAGTAAACACCCAAGCTGATGCTCTCTCCCGCATGGCAGTTCATCATGTATCGGACAGCGATGATAACCGACAACAGACAGTCCTTAAACCTGGCCACTTCGTAAAAATTGCAGCTTCGATCCTACAGAACCCCTTAGAGGATCGTATCCGGAAAGCCTCAGAACGGGAGGCACAGGTATTGGAGGGTCTCAAAACAGTCAAAGAGCACGGACTACAGCGCTTGGCCAATGGGATAGCCGAATGGGAAGAAGACAATGGGTTGGTCTACTACCGAGGTCGAGTATATGTACCAGCAAATGACGACCTACGCACTGAGGTACTCCGTCAATGCCACGACCATCCAACTGCAGGACACCCCGGACTACACGGGACACTTGACTTGGTCAGTACCCATTTCTGGTGGCCTACGTTGCGCTCTTTTGTGGAAAAATACGTTGAGGGATGCGAGGTTTGTGCCCGTAAGAAGATCCAGCGACACCCACGGGCCGTAACTCAACCATTAGATGTACCATCCGGTCTATGGGAAGAGGTAGGGGTTGACCTGATAACACAGCTACCTAACTCCCAAGGCTACGATGCTGTCTTGGTTTGCACAGACCTGTATGGAAAACAAATTCACGCCATTCCTTGCACCAGCTCCATCACAGCCGAAGGTGTTGCCGATATTTACTACCGAGAGATCTTCCGTCTCCATGGTCTTCCTCTTCACTTTAAATCCGACCGTGGACCCCAGTTTGCAGCTAAGCTCATGCGATCCCTTCTCGCTAGGCTAGGAATTAAATCAGATCTAACCTCCGGATACCGTCCTCAGTCTAATGGCCAAACCGAACGAGCAAATCAGGAAGTAGAGAAATACATCCGCCTCTATGTAGGACGACGACAAGACGACTGGGCAGAGCACCTTCCCATGGCGGAGTTTGTGATTAACTCACGGACTCATTCTGCGCTAGGCATGTCCCCGTTCGAGCTAACCTACGGCTATCTTCCCCTGTTCAATATCCCAGTGGGCCAACGCAGCGGTATTCCAGCTGTGGATGACCGTATACGGATTCTCCGAGAAGCGCGACAAGATGCCGGAGCTGCCTTACACCTAGGAAAGAAACAACAGAAGGAGGGATACGAACGCGGGAAGCGGAAAGCTCATCAATTTAAAGTTGGAGACCTAGTCTGGCTCAGTGCAGAGGACATTAACCTTCAGCTTTCCAGTGAAAAGTTAGGAGATCGACAGCTTGGCCCTTATCGCATTCTGGAGAAAATTGGCCCTTTAGACTACCGCCTTGACCTTCCCCTATCCCTAGATCGCCTCCATCCCGTCTTCCATGTTGATAAACTATACCCCTGGAAAGGTAACTCCATTAATGGCGAAATACCAACACCACCAGAGCCGGTATACTTAGAGGATGAAGACGAACCGGAATACGAAGTAGAGGAGATCTTAGACAGCCGGGTTCGATGGAAGAAGTTGGAATATTTGGTTAAGTGGAAAGGTTACGACGCAGGGCACAACTCTTGGGAACCCGCAGCCAACCTCAGTCGAGCACCAAAAATTGTTCGGGCCTTTCATAAAAAACACCCAACAGCGGCAAAGCCTTGACCATCGAGGGCAATGGTCATAAGGAGGGGGGTAATGTCATAAAGTACGCAGCCCCTATCATTTTCCTTTTCTCACCGACTCGACGCCTTTACTTGTACGATACATCATCCCATCACTGTCAAACCCCCATCGATTACTGATCCATCGATTACTGATCCACCTGACCCATCTTCTCCTTCTATTGGCTTCCGCCACCTTCCTTGTTCCTAAACTGTACAGTATTACATCGTTGTTTCTCGCAGACCGGATTATGTATATATAGCCAACCCTCCACAGCCTGGTCCCTTATCTTGACCTCTCTGTCATTATCTGGGACCAGGTATGTGCTTACTTATTATTACCTATGACTACGATACTCAATATATCTCTGTCATTATCTGGGACCAGTCTGCCGCCGTTCTGCTTAGTCGCTCCGCCTTGTTGCCTTGTCCAGTTGCTCCGCCTCACCGTTCTGCTTAGTCGCTCCGCTTTCCCGCTCCGTTAGTCACTCCGCCTCTGCCGCTTCGTGACAGCGACTGTCATCATTCACCTTGCATGGTCATTACAGCGTGTTCGGAAAATGATGACAGACGCGATTTTTTTTTCGCTCAAAAAAATAAAATAAAATAAAAAGGTACTCGAGCTTATGCGTCGGATACTGCACATTTGTATGAGATTTTTACCTGATCAGCCAGGGAAAGATGCAGCAGGGCATCTGCAATGATAGCACAAAGGTCCAGGAGGGGTGTGGGGTGTCTGGAACTACTTCAGCTCATCCTAGGGATTATTTCTGGAGCTTTAGGAACAACCTCTACTTGTATATAGCCATTAGGTATGGGATGATTTTCAATAGCAATCAGCACAACATCAAGTGCTTTCTCGTTTGGGCAAATTTTCTTCGGTAGCCGACGCGTACCTTTTGATTTTATTTTATTTTATGGGCTGATAAAAGTTTCGTGATTGTCATCATTTTCCGAACACGCTGTAAACGTTGAACATCCATAACCTCGAGCGCCCGTGCATAATTTCCTCTTTTAAAGTTGTCTCTGTCCGTTCCGACGGCGGAACAGGGTCACCATGATTGCCTTACATATATCCGGATGCGTAGCGGCCAGATGCACAGTTTCCCTTCATCTGATGGTGACCGCCAGTTTGAAACAAAAAAAATAAAACTGCTCACTCAACCAGGAGACTACTCAACCCAGGTCCAGGGTCCTGTGCTTTGCAGTGCGTTCAAGTGATTCCCGACGGTGGTGCGAGGGCCGGGGTCGGACAATTATTTGAAACAAAAAATAATAACTCAACCTCAAGGTGTATAAAAGCCTTACAAAAGTTATTCATTTTTCCCCCACTACCGCTGGTCGGTCACAATACTTCCATAGTTCTTTACTCACTTTGAGCTGTCCGAGACCATCGCCCAAAACATTCACAAAATTGTTTGTCTTCTCTCCCCATTTGTTCATCGTGAGTCAAGGCTTCTGGATTCTTCGTTCTATTGCTTACCGGGCTCTGGCCAATTGTCTACCGTCGACGACCCAGTACTATCATGCGTTTGAACGTTGCCCCCCTTGTCCTCGCTCTTGCCTCCGCCGCTTATGCAGTGCCCATCACGAATGATGTGAGTAAAATTTTCTCTTTCGAATTGATATGAGGCAACAGGGAGTCGCTGTTTCTGTTAACATGATCTTGTTCCCCGTCGACTGTAATATTTCTCTTCAACTGACAACTTTCCCTTAATTTCCTAGAATTCAGCTGTCACCCCTCCTGAAGCAACGGTAGTACCCCGCGGTACTGCCATGTCCCAGATAGGAGAAATCGTGTACAACAACTTGCGTGTGGCATCGGACCCTGGACTCGAATCCTTTATTCAAAATGTCCGGGCCATCCAACGAGTCCCAACAAGCTCCCAAGCAAATACTGACGGTCCAGTCCGCTACCAGTTCTTTGTCCATCCGCCATCCTCCGAATCCCATGATCCTTCTGTGATGCATATAGCCCGAGCTGCTGTTCACCCAATCCTCAAGCAATGGGCAGGGACAAGAGGCATCATAGAAGAGGAAGGACATCTCATGTCATCTCTAGAAATGTTCGGTCTTCAGGTAAACTCTGCTGTTAGCATTGGAGATCCAGCCAGAGGAGTGACATGCCCATGTGATGTGTGGGTTCGCGTCAAGCAAGTCGAAGGGCGTCGTCCTATTACTTCGATATTCACTTCTCACGCTACCAAAAAGCAAGCTGCATATATGGTAGATTTCGAACATTGATAGCCCCCCACTGGACACAATACAACTACGAACTATTTTCTGTTTTTTGCGTGACCTTTATAGACCATAATCCTAATTGAAAGAATCGCACCCATAAGACTGCGCTCCTTCTCGGGTGAATGTGATTATATGATCTGGGCGTAGGTTGTAAACAACACATTGAAAGAAAAAGTAGGAGCGAACATCTGAAAATGCCACATACCTCCAAGTGTCCGCGTCGTGAATCCAACTTCGCAGTAACAACTATCGAAAGGGAGAGAAAACAGGATATAATCAGAAACCGATATCAAAATGAATCGCGGATGCAACAACTCGATCGACACGAGCAACGACGACAACTCGAGCCAAGATGTGCGGGGCGCCAGCGATGATGATTGAATACTCACTAATAGTCTGTTGAATATTATTATTAGGGTGGACATGAACTTTTTTGGTTGTTGAGGACACTCACAAATCCATTTCCTTTTAAACACTTCAATTTCCTTCCTTCCTTCCTTCCCTTTCGCTACACCCATAACTTCAGGATAATCCCTCTGCAGAGCCGGAACGACCACTTCCTCAAATCTCTGTACGAACCGCTTCCGCCATTCCCTCAGGGTACGCGCATAGTGCGGTCCGATGTTCGAGATGGAGTCTACGGTGAGCGTTCCTCGGGAGCCGGAAGTGAGAGTCTGTAGGAGGAAAGTGAGGGTTGGGAGAAATCCGCCTGGGAAGACTGGTTATTAAAACGAAAAAGGTGAGCACTTCACAAGGTAGAGGATAGATAATTATAAACTTACTCTGCAGGAAAAAGAAAAAAGACGGGGTCTATAATTGGTACCTTGCTATCAAAAAAGGCGTGCTCCTGTACGTACCCATTTCCGGATAAAATCTATTTCCTTTATGTACCTTTCGAATCCTAAAGATCACCAAAAAAAGATCAGTACGCAGAATTCAACTTCGATAACATAGGACGCACTCGCTTCGGGAATCGTAATGACCTGCACCACCCCAACACTCTCCTGTTCCTTCATCGCCCACTCCACCTTGGCCCAAAATCCTTCCAAAAACTCCTTCCCAACTGCCTCGATCATTTCCACGCTCACAACTCTATCGAACTTGCCTTTCCACCCCTCGGGCATGTGACGATAGTCCATTAGATGGACTTGCACCCTTTCTCCAAGTCCCTCAGCTTTGATTCTCGACAGAGCGAGGGATTGTTGTTCGACACTCAGAGTCAGAGTATCGACGGTTGTGTTTGGGATGGTTTTAGCGATGAGCATTGAGAGAGCCCCAGCCGGAACCGATTTCGAGGACACGGTGACCAGGGAGAATACGCGCTTTACGGATTATGTGGTGCAGTTTGCGATATTGGGCGTCTTCAAGAGGGTCGGAGAAGGAGGGCAACTCGGCTGCGACATGGGGTTCTGGACTGGTACAGGGTTCGGTCTTCGTTAAAGCAGTAAGAGGAGGAGAAGGGAGACCTAGACCAGTTTTCTTTGATGCAGGAGATGGCATAGACAACAATGGCACGCCGTTCGTCGTGCCATTCGTAAGTTTCTTCAATCCATGACCACCGTTCCATCTTCCCTTCAATTCTCCTGGTTCTCCTCCCTTTAGATCGCCATCAAGGTCCTCGAAAATAGCACATGAGTATGTCATGTCCTTGGACAAAAACCCAGCAAACATATCATTGGAGATATCATAATGCGCAGATATATTTGAGCGGGAGTTGGAGATTGTATTGAGGAACCGATAGGAGGTTAATTTTTGAGGAAGGGTGAAAAGATATGAGAGAGACGAGGATAAATTAGAGAGGTGGGAACGGTTGTTCAAAAAAATCTGGTAGGGTGATAATGAAGAGGATATTACAAAAAACGGAAAGTCACATACCTGAAAAAGCGATATCAAATCGTCACATTCGACATCGCCATACATATAGGCTTCCGCGAAACCCAAATCGCCCATAGCGCAGAGCCGCACCCAGAAGACATCGTTGACAACTCGCAGTTCAGCCTTGTGTCCACCGTCCTCAATCCGTGCGGTTGTTTCGTGCGAAGGAAAAGTGTAGATATGCGAAAATGTGAGGACTTTCAGTTGGCCTTGCTTTATGTTACGCATTAACCTGTAGAAAGATGTTTAATATGACCTGGAAGTAGAAGAAGAAGAGTTGAACTTGCGCTACAACAGCAGCTTCAGCGAGTTTCGTGACAGGCTTCCATCCTGTACTAAGCGCAGCTTCCGATAAACGGTTCCATGCATTATCTGCAAGGCCAGTGAAGGATACAGGATGCTTGAATGGTGTATCGAGAAGTTGGTCCGTCATCGTCGTTGACCGAGTAAGGGCAGTTGGCAGAACCGAAATTACAAGTTGTCAAACCGACGGTGCTTTTATACAGCCCAAAGTCCATAGCGACCTGATATTCTTGATCGCTCCTATTCCTAAGAGGTTCCGTTTAACAGGTCGCTGCCATATTGAGTTAGGAAGATAGGAGTAAAAGACATTTCGGAACCATTGATCAAAAGCGCGGAAACCAAGAAAGTTCCACGCGACGATGCGCGAGCCTTCCCGACGTAACATTGTTCCCTCTGTTTCGTATTTCACTGCATTGCTCTGTCTCCGTGCTCGTGAAAAACTTGTGTTATTGTCTATTACATTTTTTATCACATCCTCAGCGAGCTTGCGCGATCAGCAGAACCGTCTAAAAAGACATCTGAATTCCGGACCAGTCCGGACATCGTCGCATCGTCGCCTGGCAGTCCCTACTTAGCTGAAGTCATCGAGTGCGCAACTATTTGCATCATAATATGTATGTACATGATCAGGGCTCAGAGTTCATTGACAGGTTCACTTAGATGCACTATCCAATAACCCTTACAGGGGAGTCAGTCTTCCATTCTCAGCCAAAGCGAATTGTCGACGAGGAATGCTATCAAATGTTATCTGTATCACGAAAACATATGCGGCGGCCGATTTTACTCAGTATCAATGCGACGCGCGATTGTTTGTCCATTCTAAGCTTGACCTATACCATGTTTGTCCTCCGATCGCATTTACAATCTTGCAACCTGATACGGGTCAGGCGCTGCGGCCAGCGTATCTGCAAACGCCCTAGCCTTCCGCGGTCGATGCAAACTTTTGAATCACACGAGAACCTGCTTGGGGTCGGAAGGCAAAAATATCTTGGTCGGAAGGCAAAAGTATCTTACAAACATATATTGCGGTTCGATCCAAGAGTTGAGCGTTGACAATATTTACGTTCCTTTGTAACTCCAGAAGCCCTACATCCCCTACCGCGACAGAAATGTCAAAGTCAATGATGAGGACATGGAAGGGCGGTGTTCTGTGGTAATCACACGCCGGATTCTCAATTTGCAGATGTTCGGGTGCGCAACCGTCGTTTCGAAGCAGGAATGCCACAGCTTGTTCATGTCACTTTGTGCAGGAGGATCGGCAGCGTCTACCTTCATCTCAACCTCAACCTCAACAGTGCAGTAAGATAGAAAAGCAATACTTACCTTCTCGATGTCCATGTAAACGTACCGCTTACTTATATGCTTGTAGTCACACTGGCCCAGGGTGTTCCCACCACCACCGCGGGTTTCCAGTCCACATCTAAGTATCAGTATCCGCTGTTTGTATCTGCACAAAACCTGATTCCAATGCATCACAGTAAAAATCTTTCCACGACTTTACATACTATCGACGACACACAGCAGAACAGATAGAGGGCAAAATGAGAATTCATAACTTACGCGACTGTTAGACCGAAAAACTACACCCGCACCCGATACCTCTCATCCCCAAACATTGAACGATATTTGTATCGCTTGACCCACGGTGATCCAGATGATCCAAATGAATCCTCCACGTTAAAGTCTGAACTTCCCTTCTCCGAAGCTTCACGAGCCGCACCCTTCACGTCGCCCTGCGGCTTCGACTCCCACCCCATACCCTCAAACATAGGAATTCTCCATAATGCAAGCCCGACACCAGCCATGTCAGCGGTGAGCGCGGTGTGTGCGTCTGAATAGAGCAGGAAGGCGTGGCTTGCACGGTTGTCTATGCGGGTGGAGTCATCGACAGAAGAAGAAAGTGATGAAGACGGAATCGACGATAACGATGAAGGGGAATTCGAGGCTTGATTAGCTTCCGAAGATAGTATTTCCCCTGGAGCTATAGCACGACCCTGGTTCCTCACCCTGGCTTTTCTTTCGATGGCAAGTATACCACAAAGCAAATCCAACAGCGCAGCACGTTGTGTGGGATCCGGAAATAGTGTAACGCCGTTGTAGAGAGGGACTCGAGAGTGAGAATGATGGTTAGAAAAGGATATGTCTTTAGGAGGAAGGTTGTTCTTGATCGTGTGAGTTTCCGCTGATGGATGGGTCAGATGAAGGGTGCATAGGGGTAATGAAGGTCTTTCAAATTTCCGAGGCACATTCGAATCTTCGGGATCTTCAGGGGGAGGCAACGAAGACATTATCCCCTTCGGGCGTTGTTTCGTCACTGGATGACGGTTTAATGGAGGAACAACGATGACTGCCATCGCGTTCTCCGTGATAGTAATAGGCATAAGTCCCGTAGCTTTGAGCTCATGCCATTCAGCTCTGGTGAGCCTTCGAACGAGTGGTCTATCCTTCATAACGAGTGTTCGAGGTCGGAATCGCAATGCGTCAATGACAAGTTGGAGTTCCTGCAAGACTCGTAGACGTAGTAGATGGCGAATTTGGTCGAGGACGGAAGGAATGCGGGAGTTGAATGCTATGCGTTTGTACGCGCCTTATCGCTTTTTCGTGAATATAGCATGGAAATAGAAAGTAGAATAGCATACCTGAGACTCGTAAATGTTCAACAGCGTCTTTCCAGCACAAAACATATCCTGCTTTGCCAGACCTCCGACCTTTGAATTTCGAATGTTCTAGTCCATCGGGGAGTAAAAGCGCCTGTGAAGGTGAAGTTGGTGAGAATAATCTCAGTGGTTGGGATGAAGGAGCTTGAAAAACACCCAAGCGTATGAGAAACGCTACATAAGAAAACCATAGCAGGGTAAGATCAGATTGAATACTGCAAAGCTCACTGCTTACCTGATGGAAGTAATTGCTGGGTCTGAAGACACCTCCGTAATGGAGTGGACAGCATTCGCACTAGAGAACAGCTAGGTTGAAATTGGGGATACCCTCAAGAAGATACAAATCGAAATGAACATACAGTACGGACTAGCCCACCAATCTCTCTCTCCACCCGTCATCCTCCGAGGCTCATCATATACTTCATACGCGTTCTTCCTCTTCCTTTTCTGAGCGTTCTCAGGTATATACACACGCGGTGGCAAAGACTTGCGTCGAATATAATCTCTTGAGGAAGTAATCGGGTTTCCGGGTGTCAATAAAATTGACTGACCATGATCTGATGGTTTGAATGACGGAAATGGGTTTTGGGGCAAAGGCTTCCAAAGGGATTTGCCACGGAAGCGATGTTCATCGAGGCTGAAGCGGTCAAAGGTTTCGGGATTATGGGAATTCTTTAGTTTCTTGAGAAGACGAGGAAGAATGCGCGGCATAGACGAAGCCCAATGATGGAAAACAGCGAAGTATTAGGCAGTGGGCAAGTGGGCAACTCAAAACTTTGAACATATCGGAATGTACATTGTAAAATGCACTCATACGGTAACGTGATCCGTCTGTTCTTCCAGATTCACAATAAACATATGTGGAAAGCGTATCCTCGTGAAAAACAATGCAACCAGAATGACGGGGGATGACTATCTTTCGAGAAATTCATGAGGCGATGGGGGAGCCCAAAAGAATCCAAAAGACATTATGTTTCGTAGAAAAGAAAGTACAAGGATAATTAGCGATGTTCTTGGTCATACTTCGCAAATAGAGCGTCGACTTTTGTAACCGTCTCCCAGCCCTTCGACGTCTTTACCACACCATCCGCATGTTGTTCCCACCGCTTCATCTCCGTGATCAGCTCTGTCAACCTAAGGGGAATAGTCGCAAGCACCGGCGGGTTTCCTTCGAATTGTGTCGTCATCTTGGTCAAAAAATTTTCCAGAAATTCCAAGTTTCTAGCATTATTGTTCGGGTCGACTGTTTCGAATTGCTTGAGGAACTCGTTCCTGTGCTTGATACTTTGAAACTTCAATGTTGACTCTTCGAACGTAGCATCATGAAATTGCTGAGGCTTCAGCAGTCCCCGATTGATCTCGACCTTTCCTCCGACGTGACTGCGCACAGCGGGATCATAGCGGATGGCATACGCAAATGCATTCTGGCCATAGAACTTATCAATCTCCAATGCCCAAAATTCACCCGAGCCAACAGGTTCGTTTAAGGCTCGGATTTGAGGCGAAAGGTCTATCGCGGTCGGCTGACTGAGAAATCGCAACATTCTGAAGGGTACGTTATGGATACGACCTGGATTATGATGAATGAATAAGTATTCGTTCGAGTCATAGTCCTTGAACACATACTACTAGATTCGTTTCTTCGAATTTGATGCGTCAAAGGTGACGCAAAAACCCCAGCAAGAAGGGTCGAAAGTAAAAAACATCCCGAAAAGAAATGTGATGGAAAAACTACCATGGCGGGCATCAAAAAAAAAGTTGTGGATAGGTCACAAAAGTGAGAGCAAACGACTAAAAAATATGGATGGATCAATCAGTCCTGAGGTAAAAAGCCCAAACGACGTGGAACCACTGACTGACGCCTTTGTCCTGCAAATTTTCTGTGGCTAGTACCCTTTTCGTATCGAGGAAACTATATCAAATGAAGCAATGAGAACTTCAGGACAGTGGAAAGGGACTCCATATTGATTGGAATATGGAAAACGGAGATTGAAGAAGGACACATACCGAACCAGCGTTAGTCGATCTAAGTGTCTTTAGGCAAGAGTAACAAGAGTCACGAGTGTTCGACATCGGGAAGGCGCCTAACCAAGTAGCGCCGGCGAGCGGCGGCAGGTGAGTGGGCCTGTGTGATGCATCACAGTGAAATACCGATGAATAGTAAGTACGATGTGTAGCCTGTCTGAACTGTTCTATACTAAAAATGATCAAAAAGGTTGAACAAAATTTTGCCTAGCTGTAACGAACGAAATAAATTTCAAGGCAGAGTCGAACTGTGTATGTACGGGTAATGCGGTAAAGTTAAGTATATACAAGTAATAACACCCATATCATACACACAGCCTAACTAGAAATACTTATACACTAGACTTAAACAATAATGTGTATACAGTAAAAGACGTTTAGTATGATAGACATGGAGAGAAAATAAACGAAGGTATCGGGTAAAAGTCAGGTAGACAGAGAGAAAGATGACCCATGGCTTACAAAATATAAGAACGATGCGTAACGACAACGAAGTGGTACTTGCGAACCAGGCATACAATAATTGCATCAGATAAGGGCATGGTTTACGAGTACAGAAAAACGCGCTTGCCACCTACTATGTGCAAAGAGATTGGGATGAAACAAAAAAAAACTCAAAACCACGCCATGTAACTCGTCTCTTCTAAGTCCGTCGTCAATGCTCCATATTCGAAATTGACCTTCTCATTCTCGTCCACCCGGGGCGAAGAAGGCATGAACGGCGTCGGTGGCGCCAAAGCCGGTTTGTACCGATTCTCGACACCTATACCGTCTACCGTACTGAAAGAGTATATGTCTGGGAGCCAAGGGCCTGTGCCATCATAATATGGAGGCTGGAGACGTCGGTGAGAATCAGGGTAACTGTGTGCAGGTCTCTCAAAAGAGCCGATGTTGTATACTGGTTCTTGCGTCTGTCCCGTTCCAAAGCTTGATGAAGACTGGAGTCTCATGGGACCTGAGCTTGAGCTTTGCGGGTGAGCGGACAATGTACCCAAACTAGGGCCACGGAAACCTCCTGGGCCCGGACCAAAATCATTCATTACGATCGAGCCTACTATGTTGTTGTTGCGTGACGGCGTTGAAGGCCCCAGCACTGATAAAGCAAGGAAAGTAGGAAGAACAGGAGGATGACTGTTTAAATCTTGCAAGTATTGTTTAAGATATGGATGAGAATCATGAAATGTCGAGGAAAGATGAGGTGAGATTTGCAAAGATACTGAGGATCCAGAATGGGGAACGGGAGCGCCTAGGACAGGATATTGACGCAATTGGGATTGGGAAGATGGAGGGAAGGATGACGATTCGGTGTTGCCACTGTCGCTCGCGCTAAAAAGCGAATTGCGACGGTGGCACCAGTCCATATAACCTCGTGTGGTTTTATCAAGCATCTTCTTCACGACAGGCTATATAGAGAAAAAGAGATAATGTGAGTAATCGCCGCTGTTTCGAGGGGAGAAGTTCGCGGAGTTCGAAGTAACGAAAGTGATAGCCTAACTTACCAGCGTTCGTGCGCAGAACGGCAGAACTTTCGCGGCTCGCATGAAAAGCTTATAGACACGATCCAAATCCTCCAGTGCGCGCGGAGCGAGTGAACATGAAGGTTCTCTGGACACTAGGAGGGAAAGTGTGACCTGTGAAGTTGATAGCCGTTGATTCGCTCAGCGTCCACTAAATCCAATCGGAAATCAGGGCACTCACAGATGCGGAAAATGTATTGAACCAGAAGCATAAAAACCTTCCACTTAGCTGTTCTTCCTTATTGAATAGTGTCTCTACCGCCCCAATTATGGACGATGTGCTCAGGTAAGTCGCGAGGAGTGATGGAGCGAACTCCCTGTCCCAGTCAAAGTGTTCTGAGTTGTTCAAGAGCTCCATGAATGGTCGACGGTGAAGTTGTAGAAGAGCTGTGAAAGAACGTAGCACAAGCCGAACGTAGGTAAAGAGATGCTCAAAGCTTACGCTACGATGCTAAACGATAGAACTCACCTATATCGCGCCCCGTCGACAACAGAGCTCTCTGCATGGCAAGGGATCTGGAACCAGAACCGGAGCTGTAGTCGTCCTTGAGTATTTCCGGAATCGGAAAATCGCGGATTTTCTTGTCCAGCTCGACGGTTCTCTGGTATAGTGGAGTGTTGACGGAAACGATCGTCTCCAGAATAGGCGACAGACAGTCGATGAAGAATTTGTTCTTCCATTCATGATCTGATGTTTATTTATTATTTAGGGTCAGCGTCAGACGAACAAATGACATCAAAAACTTACACATCATCTCCTCACGCGGAACATGTAAGCCTGGGGCGGTAAACGAAGGCGGCTTAATATCAACGTGCGCTAAGCAGATGGATGGTGGACGTCCAAGAGAAAGACTCTAAAACTATGTATTAGAGATAGCATATCCGTGGAAGCTCAGATACCCACCATACGACAATCCAGGTTAAGGAGCTCCCAGAAGACGAACCTCCGCTTTTCATGTTCCTCAGGTATCCTTTTGATGCGAGAACCTTCACGATCTGCTTGCGCATGTCAGAAAGAGGCTTCAGGTCGCCGTTTCAATTACGTACGAAGTCCTAGCTAAGATGAGGAAGAGATCGGTGAATATTGTTTCAGAAGGACGAGCTTAAGGATACTATAGCTCACCCCTTGTGCTAATTTCGCCACGAAACCCATTAGGTTCCAAGCATACCCCACAGCTTTCTTGTTATCGGAAAAAATCAGATGGTACCAGATCATGAAAAACTGCGCTTAACGCGTCAGTACATACTAGTGCGTTTCAATTGAAAGGGTGGCAAAGATGAAAAACGTACGAGGGCATGAAGCGTGTCGAAGTCGGGTTCTTCCATGAGAGGAATCTCACAAACAGAAGCACGGGCCAAGTGATGGTAAGCTTCACCATATAAATTACCCAAAGGCTTGTTGAGATCGACCAGGGATCCTATCGAGAGAACCATGAGTAATAGCGCCAAACGTCTAGGGCTGAGGTCTTCAATAGGTGACTCGTAACAGTGGTGCAGAAGATTTGGAAGGAATGTTTCCGAAGCGTCGAGGTTGTATCTAAATCAGAGGCGTTGTCAACGAAGTCAATACTACTGAAGCATTCAAAGTGAAACAGACTGCCACAACGCATTTCCTTGCGCTTCCTTGCATACTAACTGAGCTTCTGCTCGAGGGGGCAAAGCGTCTCGAATACGCTGTCGGATTTTGAGATCCACGGCCCACGGAAAGGGAAAGGTGATGCTTAGCTGAAGCACCTCTTGAGGCACCTCGGGCGGTCCTTGAGTCAGTTGCTCGACATGTTCCTGATTCATGTTAGAAAAAAGGAGATGGAAAATTATAGATGGAGGTCACATTCATATAGATATTAGCATTATCGCTACTGTTGAGGGACAACGTATTCACGGCTTGATGCAAGTTCTCGCCATCTCGTGGAAAAAGTTCGGCTTGCGAAGCGGATGTCGTCCCATAAAATTCTTGGATGGTTTTCATTTGGAGAAGATCTGGAGCAAGCAAAGGGTGTTCAGGACTAGTATGGTCGCGCAGTGCATTTTCGAGCTGCCGAACGCGTTCACTGAGTTGCGAAATCTTCGCATGAAGTTGTCCTGTATTTGCAAGAATGAATCTGGGTAATCCTTGTTGGTCATTGATTTTGAGATATTTAGAAAGACGTACCGGCTACCCCTTCCAGAGGTCAGAGCTCCTAAAACGACTTTAGGCAAGGGGCTTCCACAGAGAAACTAGAATGACCTTCAGGACATATATCACCACATCCCCGTTTCCGACAGGACTAATCAATATCGATTTCAAAAAAAGAAAATCGCTGGATATAAGAATGCACAAACCTGGCAAGGAAAATTTCGATCACACTCGAGGAGGATGAGGACATGTCCCATTCTCAAAATCACAATAGTAGCTACCTTCAACTTAAGCCTACAAAAATGGGTGGTTAATTTTCGTGTCAGTAAAAAAGCAAGAAATAGTGCTTACCGTCGACACTCCCTACAGGACAACGTACGGCTCGGGTTCTTCTCCTTGTGAGGAGTAGCGAGGGAAGCTTCGTGTCTATCTTGCTTAGGCATGTCGAAACCGCTATACGAGTTCGTTTGAATTTCGTACTCTTGATATTGGCCGAAGGGTGGATTCCCCCAATTTCGCGCTCTTTTCATTGGACGACCATTCCCATCGTCGTCAGGGCCAGGTAAGCCCGAGACAAGCATGATGGTGGAGAACAGAGGGAGGTTGAGCTAAAGAGAGGCCTGACAACTTGGGGCATACTAAGAAAGTTGAGAAGCCGATCTGTGACTCCGGTAACGTCGAATTCTAAAGTCAAACAGCCTTTTCCGTCTACATGCTTCCTTAAACTTCTTTCCACAGTATACTTACGTCCAATTATGTATCCCGTTGTCACATGGAGAGCTCATGTTCGGCCGTTGCCCTTCGATAGCTGGGAGTGTGCACTAGAGCCTCCAAAATTCGGTTCATCCTTCGGGGCTACGAAGTTCTAGCTCTCATCTTATCGTTTCACCAGCGCTAAATTGTGTCATGAAGGCTCACAAGGGCTCCGAAGACAGCGCAATAATCCTGATTGAGAAAGAGCGTGAACGACATCGGCAACCTACGGACAAAACTGGTATCCAATTTTGATGAAAATTCTTCTCCTTCCGGTGATAGAACACACATAAAGAGATACACGTCCTAATCATGAATATACTTAGTCGTAAAGGCCAGACTTATATATTGCTCAGAACCAACCCATCCAACTCTGTTCCGTGTTAGGATGCAACGCACCGAGCTCGAAATTAACTGAGTTAGACCCGGTGTAATGGGAAGTGATCGGGGGAATGGCGGGAGCAGCATCGAACACAAAAGGATTAGCAATCTCGGCATACAGATAGGGCAGAATGGGCCTCGAAAGGTCTATATGCGGAGGCGGAGTCCACGAATGTGAAGGCGGACAGGTGGTAGGGTTCCCAACAGAGCACTGACAAGGTTTACGCATCGGAAACATAATTTTGGCCCTCTCGTGAGCTTCTGCAATGCATTGTGTGAGGAGAGGGTGTGCGTGTTGGAATGAATCATCTGTTGGTGGCGGACTGGGAGCAGGAACGAACGGATTAGAATCCATCTTGATCAATTGATCAATAAAGGTATCATGTTCGTCTTCGTGCCGTAGCACCAAGGTGGGAACATCTTGGCCATGATACCATCGTTGAAAGATGTTATTCGCTTTCGCTATGATAATGTCAAGCATTGGCTAGACAAGTCAGTCGAGATTTGTTGAGAAACACCAAATATATAAACTTACCACTATCTCACTAGATCTCGTATGAGTTACAGCCTGGTAGAGTAGTCGCGCGCGTTGCAATTCTTGAAGACCAGCAGGGGATCTGTCATAATCGTTCAACAAATCAGTCATTGACAAGTGATTTTTGAGACATACAGGCATGTAAACGGTGCTCGACTGACAAGCAGCGCAATTGCAACCTAAGTGAGATCGGAAATCAATCAGCAACATAAAATGTGTACATATTCACCTACCACCGCCGAGAATGTGTTCGACCAATATCCAAGTATCCGTGCAGCTAGTTCGGGTTCACGTCGATACAGTGTTTCAACTGCAGCTATCATCCGCACAGCACCAAGCCAGACTGCAACAACTGATGGGGCATATCTATGCCGTTTATTGAAAGCTTCTTCAGGACCACTGAGAGCTCTCATAAAGTAGGTCCGATGGAGTTGTAGGAGTACTAAATTGACCGGGGGTTTAACGGACTGGGGTAAGCGCATGACAGAGCATTTCGTACCAGATTCATAAGCCATAGTGAACGAGACCTGCTGCAAAAGCATTATACGTGATTGCGAATTCTGTCTTTGTAGGTGTTCGGGGATGGGAAATTTTCGAACTTGCATGTCCAGTTCGAGAACGGTACTGTATTCAATTCCAGGTTGGGAAAGAGCATCGACAATGGGATATAGACAGTCGACATAGAAAGAGTGTTTCCAGCTTTGATCTGAACGTACTTACGCCTTGAGTGGACACTCTGATCAAGTAATAGATTGCACTCACAATGATGAGAGGACTCCAAGAAATCACAATGAGGGTCAGGAATATACATCGGACGTGAACAATCCATATGTTTGACGGATAAAGATGGAGGTCGACCTAGAGACAGTGCAAGACGGGAGTCCAAACATAATAGCTCCCAAAACAGACTAGTGGGGTCGATGTACCTCAGCATCATTAGAGCAAATATATGTGTACGGCCTACCTGCGACGGTTCTCTACCTCCTCGGGAATGACCTTAGATTTGACCCCATTACGATCTGGATGGGATCAGTGGCTGAACAATATGAATGGAAGGATGGAACGCACGTAGTCCAATCTACGGTGTTTTTTTTGGTCAGAATTATGAAGGATACTACAACTGTCGACATACACTTTGAGCAAGCTTGGCAGTCAGACCCATGAGTGCCCAGGCTTGGTCTGTGCTCTTTTTCTTGTCTGAGAACACCAATAGGAACCACAGTTCGTAATACAGTGCGGTGACTGTCTCCACAGTTGTGTCTTCCAAGACTGGAATTTCGCAAAGAGCAGCGCGGGCAAGCATATGGTATTTTTCGCTGTCGGGAGACTCAGCTGGTCTGTTGAGATCAACATAACAACCGATAGCAAGGATCATGTAAAGCAGTGCAAGACGTCTGGGACTGAGCTCTTCCAATGGGGTACTATAGCAATGGTGAAGAAGATTAGAAATGAAACTAGGATCTGGATGGATGTTGCATCTAACGTGAGGAGCCCATGAGTTTCGGAGCCCAGGAAAATGCAATCGGAAGGGACATACTGCCAAGAGACGTTAGCTCGCATTTGTTCCCAGAGGTATGCACTCTCTTGCCGAGAAGGGAGCTGGCAACGGATATACTCTCTTAAGGAAAGGCTCGACTCAAGAGAAGTGCGGCCATCGCCAAGAGGAAAGGCATGGTTCAGACGCTGAATCTCGGCTTCCATTCTATCGTCACGTCGTTTGCCCTACATATTGTTACCGACAAGCTTAACGAAAAAACAAGCAAGCATACCGCAGCTACGCTACTCATTGCATCAGACCAATTGGGCTCGATATCTGGATTGAGATCGTGGTCGATAGTCCGCTCTGCCGACACTGGAATGGAAGACCCGTCATGTTTCGGTTGAGCCACACCGTAAAGCTGCATGGTGCTTTTCACGTTGAGCATTTCGGGTTGAAGGAGTGGATGCGGATTGGATGGACTCGAAGTTCCCTCTAAAGCTTCTTCAAGCCGCCGGATATGTTCGCTCATCTCTTGAATCTTGGAATGAAGTTGTTCAGTATTGGCAAGAATGAATCTGAATAGATTCAGAAACGAATACGTGGTTTTCGATAAGAAACGGAAAATCTACCTCGTTCCCTTGCCAGAAACCAGTACACCTATGACGAATAAGCTGAGGAAGATGCTGTGAACAACAACGTCGGAAACTCACCATCGGGACATATGTCGCTAACCCCTCGTTTCTTGCACGACCCACTTCAAGATAAGTCAGGCAGGACAGATGAGAAGATGTTTTATGGGCCCTACCAAGGAAAGGTTCGATCACACTTGATACAACGTGAGTGCTGAAGACATCGGCGGCAAAAATTGCAGGCTCACTCTTAACTTCAATCTGATCAACACAACCGAGTTCAATTATATATGTTTTCATTCATGGAGTACCACTCTCACCGCCTGCATTCACAACATGACAATGGAACCTAAAAGATAGAATTGTGAATCTACCCAAAAATTGGCGACAAAGGTCGGGCCAAGCTACCTTCTTTCCACCTTGTTTTTTGGAGGTCAAAGTTTCTGAAATGAATACATGGTTTTGTGAAGAGCTGGGTTCAACAGTAAATTCTTGGTGCATTCCTTCGGAGTGTGTTGCTGGCTGATGGTCTTTGCGAGGACGTTTGACAGGCCTTCCATCTGCAGAACAATCGATGTTGATGCTGGGTCCACTGAAAGTTGCAACGGACGGTGACATTCTGGAAGCAGCCTGGGTTGGCGGTCGAAGATAGAGAAAACTATGTGCGTGCAAACAGCATAAGATGTGTTTGGCTGGGAAGAAGAGGGATAAAATGGGTTGCTTACACAATATTATATCAAGGGAGAGCCTCGGAGACGCGGAATTTAGAAATGTCTATATATGAAATGTTCAAAAGATCTCTTCCTAATCGCAACTCTTCCGCCGATGTCTCTTTATTTGACTTTTATACATTCTCCGTATCAATAGGACAGCTATAAGATCTTATGCAATACACCCTGGTACACACCTACAACAGCAATTTGAACAATCCCATTGAAGAACGAGAACAGATAGACGAGAACAAACATCTTGATTCCGGACGAAGACAGAAATTATAAATCTTTTGAACTCCGAATCGGATTATTCCAAAAAGGGCGGCGGCAGCTATTGATAACTCCGTATGGAAGGCGTCCTTCCTTATTGAGGTTGTCCCCCTTGGTCTTTCGGAGAGGTTACATCTGGTTACACACAGCAGGACCGCCAAATGAGCCCAACTACTTCGACACTATCTATATACATGAACAAAAATATTCTTCCGAAAATTGTGACTGCATGCGAAATACACGGACAGAAGTGAGAACGCATGTGTCGATCTTTCCTAATCTTTCCCTCTCAGCCCTGTCTTGTGAGCATTAAGATCCAAAGAAACCTTAAACGACTTTGAGATCAGTTTTGAAGTAAGAACGTCGCTGTGAATTTTGTTCCTCTTCAGACTTGCCCTTGAACTTTCTTTTACCTTCCTACTAGTACTTACAGGGTGTGAGCCAGCGCTGCGAAATGCTCGGATCCGGAAGAACCGGGGACCTAAGTTCAGCTTTTGCAGCGGCTAATCTCCATGAGGGATGACTCCGTCGACTTCGGCCACTTCTAATTAAACCCATTGCCTACAACTATGGACAAAAGTGAATGTGAGTGGAATCACATCGTATAGCGCCCATCAGTGGGAGATAGATACCAACAAAAGATATGACGCACTACATAGCACTACACTATAGCTTGGTTTTATCCGTTGCAATTTGAGCAGCAGCGTTTTCCATCATGATACGCGTCTCTGTTGCTGCCTCAGCCAGATAATGTTTGAGTTCTGCAGTACTGCGTTTAAGACTTGTGATTGTCCAACGAATGTAATCGTCTCCAATAGAGTAGGAGAGTCCGTATCCATCGGGAACGACTAAAGGTACGTGGCGAATACACAAAGCAGCCAATATCAGATCTCTCAAAATTATACTGATATAAAATGCCCAATCTCACCTTCCCCATAACCCCATCCGTCAAAGTAATCGCTACTCAACTGACTGGTACTCAGCTCCCAATGGCTAGTCTTAGCGTACGAGGAATCCTTGAAGATAGCGGGCAATTCTTCACCCTCATTCATGATCTTCTTGAGCCCAAAGAGATGTCTGTCAACTCCTTGTCCGTCAGCAGCCCAAGCTGCGTACTGTAGATGACGCGTCATTGCAGCGCGGAACAACGAAGATCGATGGACGTCCTGATCGAAAAAAATACTGATTAGTTACCATCTAAAGAGGCAATGATTGATCATTGAGTAGGATTAAATGGAACGCACGGTCTGGTGTGGATCAAGCATTGCCTCTGCCCATGCTTTGGACTCGTTGCTGGCACTTCGAATGACTTCGGTCCGTCCGAGTTGGTATTTCCTCGTCTGGGCACTTTCATAAGTAACTGGGGGACGATTGAACATCTTGTGGAAAGCGAGCTGCTTCACGAGCTGGGCCCAAGCATCCGGGGACGCTTTGAATTTCTTAATATAATTCTTCCCGTATCCTTCATAATGAAGCACCTGCACAATAACAAAATGAAATCTTAGTAATAAATTATATGAGAGATTGGGGTAACATACGTGCAAATCATGATCGGCGACAAGTTTGTCGAAGCGTTCCTCAGCGGAGGCGACATCTTTCCGTATTTTGTCGTTCAAAACAAATTTGATCTCAACTGGTTGAGGAAGTGAAACTTCAGTTTCGCTTGTACGCGGAGGTCCAAGATTTATCTTGTTTTGAGCTATGGCAGCCAGAATAAACTCGTTCATTCGCAACGTAGGGGTACCATCCATGCACGAATGTTCGCCCAGGAAACCTGAACGGCCATTGTCAAAGACGATAACTGAAGAGATGATGAGTCAGTCAGTCAGGTCAAAAGTGTATGTACTAACGTTGATGTTTGTCATAGAAGCGGTTCCGTCCATTCCCGACCCAACAAGACCAGGAAATCTCTTCTCGCGTGACTGGTTTTGTATCATCTAAGCATACGACGATCATGGCACTTTCAATTTCCCGCAACGCGTTCTCGTTTTCCGGGGACCCATCAATAACTGTCTTTCGGGCATCGGCCCAATAGTCACGATTATCCGAAGTAAGTGCGCCAATTGGAACGGTTGTAGCTGATTCAGAACCAGCTTGCTGGATGATCCTCCCTACCTGGCTAAATCGCAAGTTATAACAGAAATGTATGTCAGGGAACGAAAGAATTCACGAACACTTCAAGTTCGGCTGCCGATAGCTCACGTCTTGGGTCGGAGTCAATAGCTAGAGGTACGGAAAAGAACCTATTTTTGCGGATGAACACAACATGATTATTTGTCTTCGGATCGTGTTTTTTCGCAACGTCTGACGGTTTCACGGGATAACGAGATGAATGGAATCTTACGTCGGACCAAAGTCAGTTATGAAGGTCCGCGGCAGAAGCAATGTCAATGAGCTTACTTACAACCATTTGTATGAATCCATACATAGAGGTGCGCCGCGTACTTTCTGGGGTTCAAGTAGCTGGCTGTGATCATAATGAGTAATGTGGAGGTGGACGATGAAAATTACCTTTCACATACCCTTCAGTCATTTCACGGAAAACCATCATAGCTTTGATCAGACTAGCGGCCCGTGCAGCTGGTTCCCTTCTAAATTTGTCATCAAGATGCACATAGAAGTAACTGACGAATACGACTACTGGGTCCCGGTAGCCCATATAGGCAACGTCGTTCCACCAGTTACTGAGCCAGTTCTTGATCCCAGGTTCCGCTGCCCTTGCTTCCAACCTCTTCTGCAGTTCCGCAACCTGCGGCGATGATATAAACTCTTTCACGGCAGCTTCCGTCTCTGCGAAAGCAATATCATTAACGTGCGGTCTGACAGTCTCGAGGTACTTGGCGGCAGTTGACGAGAGGGAAGGCACGGGAAGATGCGGAAGGGATTCTTGAAATCGTAGCATTGGTGGAGCCCTCGGATCCAATACATATCCAGGAGGTACAGATTCAGAGGTATGAAGAGACGCAGAAGATTTCAATTTCGATGGCCGGGATGCCTTAGACATGATAGAAGTAGCAAATGAAGGGTTGCTTTGGGAGTAAGAGCCCTACATAAACGCAATTCTTTTGAGTGAGAAAAATGACCATGAACATGGGAAATAGACGCACAACTGATGGGCGACAACGCGTGAATTTGGAACTGGACCTCAGCATCAAAGGCAAGATAAGATGGGATCGCAAAAACCCACAACGAAGATCTATAAAATTGGAGAGTCTAGGAGGAATTTAGGAGCAGACTATACTTCGGGTAACCGTAAAACGGTCAAGGATTACTTTATAAGGCCTGCCGGGAAACCGAATGACCGATATAATCACATGCCCAATATCCTGATCATGAGCGCTAGTGTACGCGCGTCGTTGCCTCCGAATTCTTTCAATCCTACTTAAATATTATTACCTGAACTTGAATTTATCATCTTTACTTTGAACAATGCCTGAACCCGTAAAGCTATACGTCTATGATCTCAGCAGTGGCATGGCGAAGCAAATGTCTCTCCAGTTGACAGGCAGACAAATCGATGGCATATGGTGAGTACTATTCTTTCGCGTTCAATTCCTCTTTATTAGAGCTCATCTCGTATTACTGTACAGGCACACGTCCATCGTGGTTTTCGGAAAAGAAGTATTCTACGGTCAAGGCATCGATATAACTCCTCCAGGCCGATCTCATGTACGTTAAGCCCAGCCCACGAAACTCTCTTCACAATCCAATCGAAAGTTCTTAGCATGGCAATCCCCTTCACATTGTTGACCTCGGAACAACTGACATAGATGAAGCAACATTCAATGAATATTTAGAAGAGATGAGGGAGCATTATACAGCTGATAAGGTGAACTCATTGTCGCTCTATTCCCAGGTTTCACGCTTACTTTTTGCCCAGTATCACCTCCTAGGTCAGTTCAAATAACTAAATGATCGCAAGATGTTCTTTATGGATGCTTTGACTCAGAATTCAACTGTAATTCCTTCACCAATGACTGTGCTGCTTTCCTAACGGGAGGATCTATACCTGATTTCATCAAAGGTAGGGCTTCTTCTCAGAGGCACTATCTCGACTCACTCTGATTTCCCATCTACTTCAATTCAGATCTTCCATCTGACTTTCTTTCTACTCCTTTTGGTGCCGCTCTACGACCGACAATAGACGCTATGTATAGGCGTCCTGGAGCTATGCAACCACCTCTCCCGACTAACGCTGCTCCAACCTCAATGGCAACTCCCAATCCTGAGTTGGCGGCCTCTATCCTCCAGGCTGTTGCCGCTCAGGCTCAGCAAGGCATGCTACCTTCATCCGCCCCTCCTCTACAGGCTACAGAATCCTTGGTAGCCCCATTACATCAAATAACCAATTCTGCTTCTCTCCAGAGTTTATTACGGACGCACAAAGCCGTGGTGGTAAATTTCTCCGATATGATAACATGCCCTCCCTGCCGAGTAATCGCTCCTGTATATGAACAACTCGCTCATGAAAAGGGCGTCAAAACCGTCAGTGGAGCGGGTGCTGCTTTCGCAAAGATAGATCTCTCTACTCCCCCCGGGAAAGCACTGGGAGCCGAATGGAGTGTTAGAGTCATGCCAACATTCATGTTCTTCTTAGATGGAAAGAAGGCATGGTTTTCGGCTTTTTGCGTCGCGTGAATTGCTGATTATTCCTGTTACTTGTAGATATCTGAGATGAAAGGTGCTGATGCCAACGAGCTTCGATCCCAAATAAACCTGCTTCTATTCCAAGCCTTCCCGCGTGCGGAAAACTCCAATTCATTCGGATTATTCGAAAAAGCTGACATGTTGTTGCATAGCCCATCCTCACAATTCCCTATCGCTTCCAGCCATGCAGGCCTTGTCGCTCAACCCGATATTGTTTACTCAAGCACCCGCGCTAGACACCGCTGCGAACAAACTTATGTCCTTTGTTACTTCCACGCAATGGTCTCCAAATTTTACTCAAAGCCAAACCGACGTAAAACAGGTCCTATTCAATACAGTGTTACCGTACCTCAAATCTCGTTCGAATACACCTCCTTTGTCAGCAAATCCCATTCTCCTGGCATCCTGGGCAAAGACCACGTCTACACTAGTACAAGCACTTCCGCTGGAATCACTCTTCCCTCTAGTCGATATGTGGCGCTTAGCATTATTGGACAGCAGTGTCGCAACCTGGTGTGCTGCTCAGCAATCCACTCCCAACACCACGCCCATCCACTTATTCTTATCCAAAGTGATTTCTTCCGTAGCTAGTGCACCTCGTGCATATCTCCTAACTTTGCTGCGTCTCCTCTCAAACACCTTTTCCAGTCCAGTCCTCGCACCGCAGCTCCTTCTAGGCCAAGTTAAATTTTCAATGACGGCGTTACTAGTTTCAACTTTGTTACACGAAGACGCCGGTGTGAGAACTGCTGCGGCGAGCTTGGTGTTCAACGCTGCGGCATTTTTACAGAAAGGAAGAGTGGATGCTGTGAAAAATGGTGGTGGAAGTGGGAAGAGTGACATCGAAGATGAGGATTGGGAAGTAGAACTGGTGAGTGCGGTGGTGGAGGCTATTGATAGGGAGAAAGTCAACGAGGATGTTGGTTAGTATGATTTGTGTCTCCTCATTTTTTCATCTGCTCATGAATTTCTCCTGCACATCGTCTTGTTTATGTTACAGTGCATCGTTTGACTGCTTGCCTTGGCTGCCTCCTGCGGCTTTCTCCCTTCTATCAATCCCAGATGACATCTCTCCTTGAGGTGCTTCAGGCGAAATCAATTCTCAAGGGAAAACTAGCGAAGGGAGGATGCGGAGAGAATGGAATCAGTAAAAAAGAAGTGAAGAAGTTATTGGAGGAAATAGCAGATAAACTTTGTCCGTGAAAGGACATATGGAAGTGTAAGTAGGCATAGAACGGCGTGCATGGGCCATTATATTTCTAAGATAGATTGTAACGATCATGGATCCACTAACAAGATGGTATATAGACGCGAGTCGGGGAGTTTAGATCCTGGGCAATCTTGGGGCGCTCTGCTGGGGCCTTGAACCTCGTGAATCAAAGCTATACCACGAATATACCTTCTACTCCATCGTGCATAGTGGTCTCCTTGTTGATGTGAAGGGTCGATGTGGTCCCCTTAGTATATGCTTAGCTATCGGCTTCGCACTTTACTCACTTTGAGTTTAGGCTTTGCCGACTGGAATCAAATTATCACGAGTCGGAATCCATTTCCCCATCCTTTGTTCAGTTATAGAGTAGCTTTTTCTTGAAAGGGTATATAAACCAGAGAGATCTAGATTTTGTCAAGTGGACTAGACAAAAATTATAATCGTGCGCGGATTGATTTCGCTAACAACATAGCATCCTCATCGTCTAGCTCTTCCCGCCCTTCAAATTCTATCTGGTGCATCTGTCTTCTAGTTGGAGGCGGTCCTTTGTTGTTTGATACTTCAGCTATGGCGGGCGATGAGGAAGCGTTATAATTCGGCGCTGGTATGATATGATAATGGACCTAGAATGTAATCAATTGATCGAATACGGCTCAGAAACGATTTACAAGAAATATCTCTTACATGAGGCACTGCTTGTGCATACTCTTGATTGCATACAACGTTAAGTGCGGTATTTCCTAGTGCTAGTGCATCATATATGTACATTTCAAAACACCGTACGGAATGACACGAACTCGAACCTTGAGTAAGCGCATAAGCTACCTTGGAGACAGCTTCACCAACAGCGGCGGCGTATTCAGAAGGAAGATCTGACAGCCTAGAATAGTGTACTTTTGGTACGACGAGGGTATGCCCTTTCCTCAATGGCATTATGTCTTCTCGTACGTAGGCAGATGACAGCGAGTGGTCATGAGAGCAGAATGTCAGCCTTCCTGTCCAAGTTTCCCATATATGATGTGACGAAATGACCTAGGAACGCAACCACTTTGTCGTTCTCGTATACACGGTTCGATGGGGATTCGTTATTGATTATGCGACAAAACGCGCAGTTGGAATCTTTTTTCCATGAGTGCGGCGGGCGATCAACCTGAGATTTGATGATGAAGGAAGTCATGGAAGAAAGATGTAGATAAGTACTGCGGAGACGAAGACGAAGCTCAGCAAGCTGAGTGCTCATAAGGCTACGGAAAAAGCTGACGAAAGCGATTCTGTCGTCACGTGTAACTAAATTCTCTGAGTATTTCACGGTGTCCCTGATCATAATTGCTCCCAGGTGAACCATGGAGGTCCCTATCCTTACAATTTTGCTTAAATCAATCTTTATTGTTTATTCATTCTTGCGAGACCCCTTCCCAACTTATCGACCAACGAACGACTCTTCTCTAAGGCTCGTAAGCCGTTTCTTCCGACGATTTCATGTTAATGATCAGTAACTTGAATGATCCAACTCTAGGTGGACGATATCAATGTGCCCAAGGATGCTCAATCAGAATGGACAGACGGTTTCGACAATGTCACATCAGGCTTGACCGATCAAGCTAAAAAGATGGGTAGTGCTGATAGCGATTCCAGGAAGATTAGCCTGTCGTTCAGGCTCTGCGATCTTCCCATCGAACTTGCTCTCAATATACTGTGTCTAGCGGGTTCTCAGTCACAATCCACCTATCTCTCCCTCCTGCTGACTTGCAGAGCGACATATAAACTTGTGCGAGACGAATGTGTACCTTTCCTTCCCATCCGTATCACTCAAAAAAACCAGGTTCCGCTTTTCGTGATGTGGCTTCAGAAGAATCCGACTTTGGCGCTTCGAGTAAAGCATATATGGCTTTTGCCCAATACTTCTGCTCAGTTACTAGGACTAGGTGATGCTGGTGTATTGTTCTGCATCAACTGTTGCCCGAATCTCATCTCCCTTGCCTGCGGTGCAAGAGAACTGCGATCGTGGGATGCCATGCACACTTCTCCTGGGCCGCATCAAGCTCCTTTTCCCTGTGTCTTTCAACATCGGTTCTTGAAACACCTCACCGTGATGGAAGATTGCATTTGGAGTCTCCCGCAAGGAAGCCAACTTTTGGACCAAATCGAAACGTTGCACATTATTGGGTGCAGGTCTTCGCAAGTCCAGTTCCCTTGCTCTGCACCACTCCAATCGCGATATCCGAATCTGATCGAGGCCTCATTTTCTCTGCCGAACGGTGTAGCACCAAACACAGAGGCCTTTCTTTCGGGTCACTTTATGCAATCCCCAAAAATGAGACAAGTAGTGTTCATCACGCGCACCAAACCAGGGTCCAGTTCTGTTCTTTCCTCTTCGATGTTGACTTCTCTTCTTGGACCACGATGTCTGCTTCTCTACAGGCAAAAGCGGTGGACAGAGATGAAGATGTGGAAGGAACGATCTGTGGACATGGGATGTATCTGGAAAATGCAGCGTTATGATGCGATGCAACTTCGCTCTTGATTGGTGAAATGTTATGCTTACTCATCTTTTCACACTTCTCAGCTCTTCTATTTCTTGAACGCTGTCAGTTCGAAATCTTGCATTCACCTCTGTACATACTATCACTTGTAATCCGTTGCTGTCAGTTTTGGGTTTTGGCGAACATGATTCGGCATTGCTAAACGATTCAAATAGGTCCATTGTCGATCCACAAAGTACAATTGGCGGCTTTGTACATACTACTGCCAAAATATTTACGTACCCTCTTATTGAACGAGTGCCCTGCTTCATTGTACGTCCGGCTTGTCCAGGGCTTGCCGCAGCAAGGTCTGTCATTTGCTCAAGCACAATACTGGTTCAACGGAGATACATTCTGAGTGAACCAAGACTCAGCCTTATGCCCATTAGCTGGAATGGTGATTTCTAAGCAACTTTCCAACGCAGAGATAGTGTGGGAAACGTATTTTAATGATCGGACGGAAGCAAACGGCGGGGGGGTCAAAGCTGGTTATATCAAGCCAAAACTAGTTAACTACAGTACCTACTCGAGTTCGTGGGTGATGAAAATTCTGAATCTCTCATATGAGAAGCATGTTGTTGTATGATGAGGAGCACAAAAGAAGCTGCTTCACTCAAGCTAAAATCGGTCAACAAGATCTGAAAGAGTCCAAACAACTTCCGCAGCGAGAATGTTAGTTTCCTTGTTCAAGATTATATTACGACCTTGCAACCCGAGTGTCAGGTCACTTTGCCGGAGAGGTTAACGGGATCGCCTGCTACCTTCATGTAGTCGATAGCGGTTGGGCTTTGCCCGCGTGTGTTCGAATCGCACAGGTGACGATTGTTTTTGTCTTGTTTTACTTCTCTTCTGGTACGCGTGAAGCCAAGTCGGGAACAACGGCGAAGACACACTCGGGAAAGCGAATTTCTTGGGAGGTTCGAACTTCTGTTAGCCACTGCGGAAAAATGAGAAGAATCTAGCAAAGCTTTGGTGCGTTATAATAACTAGCCAGTAACTCGTGCATGAAATCCCCATGCCAAGTAGTGCTCAACAACTTGAATGTCAGCACTTACAGAGTGAAACTCAGCTGAACCTCAGATAGCAACTTGTGTATTCAATGTGCCTCAGAAGAAGAGGGAACGCGAATCCAAAATGCGATCTTTTTAACCACTGCTGATAGCAAACAGTGGTCATACTTTTTTAGACTTTCACATCAATAGACTCGAGCCAGTAGCTTCGGATGTTGACACTTTGGAAACTGGCGCTCAATCTCTGCCGAGAAAGTGATTCCGCATATCGCTTCTCAGCAGCAGACTGGTTCGAGTCTATCACATCAACAACACACTGATGACCTCACGCACGCCCGCCAACCTACATGAATCGATTTGGCATACATCGATAGCTTCGGCTTGTAACAATTGTTTGAACACCATCCTGTTGTGCGTGTGTTCACCTGTAGCGACACCTATTCCGTGAGGTTTCAGAGCTTTTCGGAGCATGACCAGCAAATGATCCAACCAAGACAAGGGATTCCTTAAGCTTGCCGGTGCTTTTCCGGGAAAGAGTACCTAATCCGCAATGGATTTGAAGTGGTTCTAAGTTTCAAATTCATCAGCTGCTTTACAGTAATTAACACACGTATTATTTAGTTACAGAAAATTACTGACTGGCATTGTGAAATGCAAATATCGTTCAGAGTGAGCCACCTGAGTAAGACATGCATAGGGATCTGTCCGTGTGTTTCTTTCCTCAGTAGTAGTATGGATCTTTATCGGTTCCAGGTGGTATGAATTCGGGAAGGCTCAGCCACATTATGGGGATGGCGACGGTAAAGGCTGTTGCATCTGGTGACTGATCAGGAAAGGATATTCGTTTGTATAGGATTAGAATTAAGAAAACATGATTACGACCCACAAAGGTGGGTGAAGACCAGCACTATGTCGAAGCAAGAGTCAGGTCGCATGTGTGAGTACTGGCTAGGCGTGACTCAGTGAATAGCGGGGTCGAGGGCGCGATTTTGGCGGGATGGCGATGGACGTTGAGAACTGTTGATGAAGAGCTCTATTGATTTACCTGTGGATAATGGAGATCATTGGCAAGGACTCACATATAAGCTCTGTACTATACAATTCAGAAGCTGTGGTACTCATGCCTCTGATAATTGCGCAACGCCTAGCCTCTTTGAACTCGGCTGACAAAAACACCTGAAAGAGAAATCAACGGGAATCGAAGAGGATTCCTTTGGAGTTTCAGTTCTGCCGATGTCTTCCGAGAACCCCGGAGCTTGGCCGGATAACTTCGGAAGAGATTTCTCATAAGCTGCACCAGTGACTGTCCAACGAGCTCCACGACCTAGTCTCTTCAAAACGACCGACCAAGAAGCAACGCCAGGACCCCGCGCATCTGCGGGGCGAAGCTATGCAGTCTGGCAAGACCAAATGGACTGCAAACAGCATGATCGGTGAGTAACTCGTTCGTGGGCTCTCGTTAACATTTTTTTCTTATCACACAAGTTCTATCCAGCTGGCGCGGGCGGAGGCTTTGTTGCAAGTGTAGCGACTTGTCCTCTTGATGTTGTCAAGACGAAACTTCAGGCTCAGAGGTTCGTCCAAGGTCAGGTTGGTTATGAGGGTATCGCCGGTGAGTCGCACTTCTTTTGTGTTGAGCTTTGACGTTCTTTGTTCATTAAGCTTTGAAGGAACAATCAAAACAATCGCAAAGTATGATGGACTGAAAGGTTTCTATCGTGGTCTGGGACCAACAATCCTAGGATATCTTCCAACTTGGGCCATATATTTCGCCGTCTATGACGGGATTAAGTCTGCTTTCGGTGAAGCACCTCTAGGTGTGAACTCCAAATCTAAGAATTGGATATACCCTGCCGCTCAGGTCAAGGGCTATCAACCTGCCATGCGCGAACATCCTTGGTCACTACATATCCTCTCAGCAATGACAGCCGGAGCATGCAGCACTATTTGTACCAATCCGCTTTGGGTCATCAAAACACGGTTTATGGTGCGTTGGCTTTCATTTGTTCGATTATCTTTTCATATTCAATCCACAGACGCAATCCCGGGACGAAGTGCGCTATCGACATACACTCGATGCCGCACTCACTATCTATCGCAGTGAAGGCATTCGCGCCTTCTACCGAGGACTCTTGCCAAGTCTCCTAGGCATCGCTCATGTAGCAGTACAATTTCCACTTTACGAGCAACTTAAGATTTGGGCACGTACGTTTTGTTTCCTCGCAATCTTTTGCATTCTGTCCTGAATCTGGTCTCAAAAGAAGGTGACTCCGAGGAACCTCTGACCAGCCGCACCATTCTTCTTTGCTCTGCTTTTGCCAAGATGACTGCTTCAGTCACTACCTACCCTCATGAAGTCATACGAACACGTTTACAGACGCAACGTCGTCCTCTCGCGGACGATCTCTCATCAGACGGGATGATAAGACGTCATACTGGGCGAGGAGTAATACACACCACAAAGAAGCTTATTCGTAAGGAGGGCTGGACGAGTCTGTATAAAGGGTTATCCATCAATCTCTTACGAACTGTACCAAACAGCGCAGTTACCATGTTGACGTGCGTCGTTCCTTTTACCTTAGTATTCGCAGTCCTGACGCTAGCCTGTAGGTATGAGTTGTTGATGAGACACCTCTCTTCACGGACGCCTTGACTGTTCTGCCTATTTGTTTGAATATCACCTTCCTTAATTTTCAGAGTACATCTATTAGAACCGTGCAATTTCCAGGCTTTGTAATATTTACTGTTTCAGATTTTCTTTGTATCTTTTTGACTCTCCTTACTCTATGCTCTGACTTTTTACACAATGCATGCTTGTAGCACATGAAGTCTAACTCTGGATTGTAAGCATTCGACCACGATGCTCCTGCATGTCTTGTTAGTCAAATGATTGTCGGAGAAAGGTTGATTCCTGAAGTGTCTTCGACTCTTTGTGGATCCTTACGAACTCGCTTATCAAGATTCGGAAGAGATCCGCTCCCTAGAGACTTACATTACAACATGGAATATATTCACAACTTCGAGATCGTTCTTCTGTTTGGAGCAATGGTATTCTCCGCCGCAAACGCAGACCACCATCGCAAAACATATTCTTTTTCTCTATCACCAACCATCTGTGATAACTCCCGATACAATGCCTGTATCAGTTCTGTTCGGTTTTGATCTTGCATCGTTAAGGCTGCCATATCTTCCGAGTTTTTACTTTCTCTGTCGACCCGCAAAACACCGTCGATTTCTTCAAAAAAGCGACCGAGAAGGGATAACGGGAGGGCTGAGACGCATGCAATGAAGGTGATATGGAGACGATGTTTCTGCTCGAGGTCCGGAATGTCGTTTCCAAGGTTTTGTATGGCACTGAGTAGTTTTGAGATACAGTACCAAGCGAGAGTGTATTGAGATAGTTCATCGCTTTCGTATCTTGTAGGGGAAACAGAACTACAGGCCGATCGAACGAGTGCCGCATACGCGATCCGCAATTGCGAGGTAGACAGTTTGCCTTCAGCTGAATTCTAAAGTGAGGTATCAAGACACTGGCGCATTTAGTATTACTTGAAAAAGCTTACCTGAATTAAGCATCTTGAGTAAAACGGTACTAGTCGGGTACAGAAATCTGACAACGATAGATCTTCCTCCTCCCGAGCTTTGCCTTTCCCATCATTCGATCCCGAAACTCCTGGGCCCTTGAGATCAGCATTTGTCGCATTCGCTGCGAGTATAGCCAAGACCACCGAATGTGCCGACTCGAACGTCTCCCGCATCAATTGATCCATGAGTTGCTGTGTCGTATAGTTTGGACTGGAAGAGGATGCTTCAGACGTTCCGGGTGGCGAATGACGCAGATCGAGGTTTGGCTCTACGAGGTTCCATACAGGTCCTTTGAGATACTTGATGCTAAGAACGGGAACAAGTTGTTCAATACATGATAAAGCGAAAGAAATCTTCGCTAATTCAATAATCTGTTCAACCGGAGGCTTCAATCCCTTTTCCACTATGGTCTGTGGATGCCCCAACTCCTGGGACCCAGGGTATACTGATACACGATGCGCCATCAGCTCGTCTATGAACCGCTCTGATACATCTTCAGGCCCGCTAGCGAGTATATCTAGAGCCAAATAAGCAGCCTTGCGCATCTCCTTGAACGATGCTTCCTCTCCGCCCCCCATCGATGATATACCGCCGAATTGCGAGACAACAAAAGATAGACGGAAGAGGGTGAGAAGGGTAGTTAGTGAGAGGGAAGCAGGAGATGATAAGGACGACGTGGGTGAGAGACGGTAGTCAGTAGGTGGAATATAGAGACATGCGGAGAGGACAGAGTCAGATATCATGATTATGGAGAACAGCAGGGTCTTGAGCGTAATCCAGGGTCCAGAAGACGGGCTTACTGCCATCGTGGCTGATGGGATGTTTACCGACAATAATTGTGGTATGACTCCCACAACCTGGACTGCTATTTCCTGCAAACGATTCAGAGTCTCTTGGGATGAAGACAGCCCTTCTCGAGGACGAGAGCTTAGTGAGAGAGAAAGCACGAGTGCCTCTAGACGACTAAGGGAAGCAATATAGGGTTGGAGTGTTTCCGAAGCTGTGGTCTGGTGCAGAAAGTCACCTTCATTGAACGCCTCTGTAATACATGACGTCAAAATCTGTGAAAGCGCAGTAAGGGGAAGTGCTTTGAGCTTCGATGAAGCGACGAGTGGAAGAGATTGTGCAGCAAGGATAAGGGAGAGTGTAGGAAGAGAAATGGACGGAGATGGAATTTGATCTGTTTCGTTGACAATAAATCGGGATTCGAGGTAAAGAGATGTCAAACGGAGATTGTACCGCAAGTGACAGAAAAGTAATGCAAGGCAAACTTGGTTAGTGCTTACTTACAAGACGGCAGGAATTGAACTGACCTTGAAATTCGGAGAAGGCAACCGAACGTGCAAATTGAAGGAGGATACAAATGTCAACAAATTGAACGCGTTGGAAGCGAGGCGTAGAATATATAAGTAGATGTAAAGGTTTAGTTCAACGTGCGACAAAAAGGTTACGCCACATTAAGTTGATTAACTGACCTGCTGGAGCATCTACTAAACAATGTTTAAAGGCACAGCCCACGGAATGAGTGGTTAGTGTGCATCAGTGGGCATCGTCCGCATCGCAATGCATCGCAAACGAGGCAAGGTCCCATAGTGAGATTGCGACAAGTTGATGGAGACATATATGTTACATGGAATATAAAGCCAAATAAAGTTAGTGAAGCTCGAGAACATGGTGACAGAAACTCTAAACCCTATGCAGCACAGCAGGGCTTACCTGGAACAGAATTGCTCAAAAGAGCTATTTGCTGGAATTCGCTCTCCCACTCGCGACCGACACCTTCCTGATCCATGACTTCAGCAAAAGCGATGACAACCTCGTCTTCCACTTTGGCTCTGGTGGCATTCGGAACCGGATCTTGGCTTGCTAGATCACTGCTGTTCGAATCAACATCAAGGCTGTTGGCTTTAGCTTGCGTTCGTAGGTCCTCCAAACCCAGGAGGATACCACTCGCTGCGGCAAGTCGAAGTAGAGGGTTGCCGCCTTGTAGTCCCTTTATTAATTCTTTCGTCCATTGAGCTAGATGGGCGGAAATACTGCGTTCAAAGAAGGTAAACCTGGGTCCGGAGAGTAATGTGAATTTGAGATGAATAGCATGCCGGAAGGAATTTGAGAGTGTTTGTAGACGGGATAAGGTAAATGGATAAGAGAGAAACAAGGGGGAGGTAATAGCAGTCGCGGCAAGAGGAGTGGGTACCAGACTGTGGTTAGCGATGTGGAAAGCCAAAGCGGATTGAATTGTCTCCAACGGAAGAGCTGGTTGAGCACGGTGCAAATGCTGGAGCAAGTTGGTATACGCGTGGCTAGACATGTCCGCTTACTAGAGTTCTTATCCTATAGACTTGCGAAAGTCTATTTTCAAGGTTCTGAAAAGCTGGTGAGCGCACGAAGTCTATGATATTCAAGCGCTGAGCACGGATCGGAGTATTTAGGCCGCAAAATGAAATCACAAATGTGACAAGGCACATCAATCGTCACGCTGTGACGAGTTTGGTTTTGTTTGGACCTGGACGCTTGAAACTTGGCGTTCATTATCGTTGTCGTCGACGTCGCTGGCAAAACTTTCACCTGCACAGGTCCCGAAGGACTGCCTGCTGCGCCGCTCTCTTTTTTTGACACTGGATAATGCGACTTAGAGCTTCTTAATATTCATCAATTCCACATATATCATCATCATACTGGTCACCAGTTCCCGCAAATTCACCTCGAGCCCTTCATCCTTCTATACCATGTCCCGCCGTGTCGAAAATGCTCCTTGGCCCCGCCAAACACAACCTGTAGTGTCCCATCAAAGGTCCCCAAAAAGACGGAAAGTCGACATTGATACCTCGCTTCCTGCCAGTTCTTCTTTCTCTGCTAGACAAGCTCTGGAGAGCGAAGTCGGTAAGTGCTGTGTTGTTGATCTTGCTCACTTGAGCCTTATCCTCCTGCTCCAACAGAGACAGCAGAGACTCAATGCGATATCCTTTCTGGCAATGACATCGAGTCTTGTTTCCCGACAGCGGACTCCGTCTTTGCTCAATCCCAATTTGTCACCTTCGTTTGTGCGTCTCATATGTCGAAGTTCTATGTCTGCCTTGGCTCACTTATCGCATAGGGAACTCCCAGTTACCTTCGTATGCTCAGACCAACAAAGTTAACATATACCTGTTTCATGGAGATTCAAACGAGCAAATCCTGGAAATCCCGAACGTGGACAACTCGAAATATCAAGCTGGAGTTATCACCCTACCAGCAAACGACTCGTGGTGGGGTGAGAACGGCCCTGATTTCAGTGGAACAAACACTTCGTATGGGTTTTATTTCGGCATCACACCCAATACCACTACTTTTGATGCATCGGCGCATACCCAGACCCACTTCACTGCTGTCCGTGAGTCTCCTTTCTCATAAATTCGATTCTGATGTAATGCGCTAATTTCTCTTTTTTTTTTTAGAAACGACATTCCCAGACTCTATTTTATCAAGCATGTCCGCCTCATCTGCTTCAGCTTCATCTGCTTCCGTTTCATCTGCTTCCGCAGCATCTGCAAGCTCTGCATCTGCATCTAGAGCATCAGCCTCTGCAGCGGCGTCGACATCATCGACCACTGCTTCTGGCGCGTCATCCTCGAATGGATCTGGAAACATCCAGTCCGGCAGCAATTCGGGTGGATTTCCTCATTGGGCAATAGCCGTGATCGTCGTCCTTGGCTTTCTGGCAATCGCGTCTTCATGTTTACTGGCTTTCTTCATCATGCGACGACTTCGCCGTCGACGCGAGCTGGATTCCAATCGAAATTCTATGGGCTCCTCTAGTCCTATGATGGCTCATGTGCAGTCTCCGGGCTCACCTCTACTAGCAGGCGGGGCCGAAGGCCCAAGCTCAACTGGACATGGTGCTACAGGCTTCCAACGAGCACCAAGTGTTGTCTCTCCCGATGGAGCCTCATCGATCAGTCATGGTGGGAGTGCAGGGGAAGGTGGACCGTTCAGTGGTGCTGATGCAGCTATCATTGCCAATGCCTTCAGAACAATGTTACGCAAACCCGATTTTGCAGATGCTCCAGTCGAAGAAGGCGAATCCCCCGATTCGCAAGAGCGTGGAAGAGTAGAATTAAGCAGAGAATTGGCTGAAGAGGGAAGGGACATACGCAGTGTGAGCTCTTCTAGAGGTGTTAGAGTGGAGACATTGAGCGATGATGGAGATACCATACAAGAGGCAGACCATTGAACCACCTCGCGAGCATCGGCACCCCGTTTTTGCATGACTTTCATGTCTCTACCTCACGCCTTGCTCGATCATCTTCTTTCTGGCATTCAAGGGGTTTCGTTTGTATGTATCCTTCAGGTTTCCGCTGTTTGACGACCGTACCTTCTTCATCTGTGACATTATTCTTTGCTGCCTCGAAGTGCTAATGTTACTCCTCGCTCTTCTTTTTTTGACATCACATCCCCGCACTTTATGAGTTCCTCCTCCATCCCAGCCATTTTATATTCATATTTCTATCGTCGTTCTCCCGATTCTGTTCATTCATGAACGAACACTTCTTTTATATCCTCTGCCAACTAATACATTTCATCGTCAGTACATACTCATCGTTCCCCTTCATTTTCATCAGTAAATCTACACTTTGTTTGACTCGATCAATCTCCATTCCCGTCCAAATTCACAGTATGTTCTGATTTTTCGTTTTCGTTGCAGTCAATGAAATGTTTTCCTTTTTTAGCAGTTGGTCTTCGCTTTCCCTCCACAAGCATGTTCATTCAGCAACTACTTGTCACAATTATCGACATCGTCTACGATTGCACGCTGTCCGTCGCACAGCATCCACTCCTTTAACCGTCTTTTTTTGGCATTGTCGTATTGCAAAGTCGCATATATCTACATTTCTTCAATTCTAAATTCTTTTGATTTTCAGTTTATTTTTATTCTTTCAGTTTTCTTTCTTTTTCGGACTATGCCTGCGCTTGGCTGGCTTACGCAGAACAGGATTCAACAGAAATGTTGTCGTCGCTACAACTACTCATTGTTAATGAGCCTATATCAACCATCCAGCCACATGTAAAGGATGTGCATCTTCGTTGATCGTTCCCCAAGGACATCATCATGTCCGCCTTCCTTTGGCACTCGACGCCATCATGGCTGGCACGAAATTGTGTTCGTATCGTTGTTCATCGCAGGTTATCATCTGGTTATCGTGCATGTAAGTACCGTAGATTTCGAAATCAATCTATGCTCTGTATGTCTTACGAGAACTTATACGAAAATATACCCTGCGTTAGCGAATTCATGAAATAAGCGAGTGAAGCAAGTCAGATTACATCTGATTACATGGGGAACCCCAACTTTGGTTTCTGCACTGGACGTCGAGGATGGTCTGAAGTCCTAAGGTTGTCAGGTTATTTTGATTGCTTGGACGCGGACATATTATTTATGAAATTCTCAAGAAGGGCCTGGCCAGCGAACGTAGACAAGGTCACATAGATGCATTAAGAGTGTAAACTGGACCTCCTCAAGCGCCGAGTAATGTGGTCGACGTAAGTTATATCCCGAATTTCACGTTTCTTTATCCATTGAAGTCCATTTTGGTTGATGCCGAAATTCCGTCTTGGCTATTTAAGAAAACCGCTTCGATTGCTAGCAGATATCTCAAAGGCTATATCTGCTTTAAAGACCTTGGTATCAATGAACAGATTACATATCTAAAACAGAATCTTCATGTTTCTCGTGAAAGTTACTCAAACAGCATCGTTTCGTTCAACGTCGGCAGGGCCACATTCTAATTCCACTTTATAACTATGCCCAGCCTCTATCGAGACATATATCTCAGCAGCAAAGTGAATATATGTATCAGAATATACCCGGCGATAAGCTCTTCACGCCCCGCTCCTCCATCACAATCAGTTGCTCCCAGTGCCCTTTTCCAATTCATTATTGTACGCTTGAAGGATAAACCATCTAGCGCAACTGAAGTTTTCCGACACATCCCTGATAGTAATAATATCACTGTAAAGTTCGTTGCGGAAGCGGGTGTCCATGAATGTTATGCCATCTGCGAGAATGTTGTACCGGACATTGTTCATTATTATTTTGTGTTGGAAACCAGAGTGAACGATGAAATTCGTGAGAGCACTTGCGCACGTCCGGACAAGATGGAGCCGTAGCCGGTCTGATCAATGTTCATTGATCATGATCATTAACATTAACCACCAGCTGACCATGGCCCGCGTTTCCTCAAATATGCTGTTTTCGTGATTGTTTCGTATGACCACCAAGACATGAACATTTTCGAAACGACAGAGACCTTGCCCACCGTCCCAGATAACCTTTCCATCCCACAATTCTTTCTTGACTATCATGGAAACGAACAGCTTGTAACCAATGGCCAGCCTGTCCAAGGCTTAGAACCCAATCCCTGGTTCATAGAGGAAAGGACCGGCCGCAAAATCGGTTTAGCTGAAGTGTGGAACTGCCTAATTCACCTGGTCCACGACTAACTGTTCAAGCAGATTCGGCGTCGCAGTTTCGGGCTTGCGAATGCAATAAGCATTCGATACAACATTGGTCGGCTCTAAATGTTATCTTTTATTTCACATAGCTTATATCCTTCTACGTTTTCAGCCAATGATGACGTGGGTATGTGCAACGTAGCTGTGTTCATTCAGCTCTAGGCTGAGCTTCGGCAGTGCTCATATTTAGTCGAAATCATGTTGGTATGTCGTGTGCTCACGCGCACTCAAGGTACTGATGACCATCGACGCAAAAAGATTATCCCATTGCTATCTGGGCAGTTCACCGTGTGGGAGGAATTGTATCGTGAGTTTACACCTGCTCAAGAAATGTGCATGTACCTTACTGGGTCATAGAGGGGCGAATCCGGACTTTGTTAGCAATGAACTACTCTATCAAATCCAAGTTTGCAATGCGAAGCTCATTCTAGTGCATCCGGACGCACTAGAAACCGCTGTTACAGCTGCACGTTCCGCTGGGATCGCCTTAGACCGTGTTATAGTATTTGATGTTGACTCAAAGAATGCACCTAAAGGTTTCCAAACCGTTTCAAATCTGGTTTGGGAAGGCCTTAATCGACCAAGTAACCTCGTGGAACCTAAAATAGACGCCAGGACGAAGCTTGCTTTTTTAAGCTTTTCATCTGGTATGCTTATAACTACTATCTAGCAGACTCTTTTGAATATTGATATATTCTAGGAACAACTGGGAAACCAAAGGCGAGCATTGAAGCGGTCAAATGACCATGTCCTAGTTGTGAACCTCTTTTTGCAGGCGGTCGCAATCCCCCATTTTTCTGTAATCATAAATGTGATTCAAATGGCAATCCATTTCAAGGTTTTCCAAGAGTCTGCGCCTTGGCACGAGCGTCGTTTCAGGCCTGGGGATATTTCCATCGGAGTCTTACCCATATATCGTGGGTTGTTCTCCATTCACAAACTGAACTAGTCTGAATTCATCCCCTTTAGATATTTACGGGCTTGTCCTGAATGTACGTGTGCTCAGGATACTCTTCTTTCACGTTATAGCTCGATGACATCAAATTAGCTTCACTTTATTCTTTACAGCAGGGTAAACAACTAGTCCCTCGCCCACACTGAAATTTGGTTCAAGAATAGTTAACTAAACATCTTCAGATGTCTCTTGTTCTCGTGGAGAAATTCAATTTTGTTGACATGCTCAGGAATATTGACCGCTATCGTATATCACACTTAATGTTGGTTGATGTTTGTTCATTCTGTTTTCCTCGATCAGAACTGAAGTCCGTCTATGATCCTCAGGCTAGTTCCTCCGCATATTGTGCTTTTCTGCAAGGTTTACTTTGACCCCTTTCAATAACTTTCCCAAACCTCGAGTTAATTTCTTTTGATAGCAAACTGAACTTCTCAAAGATTATGCCCTTGACAGTGTTCGATTCATCATGGTTGGAGCTGCCCCGCTCTCAAATGAAGTAAACAATCAGTTATTTAATATATTCCCGGAGGCTCATATTGGTCAAGCCTACGGTATGTATCGTGAACGTTGCTTTTACGATGTTCAATGACGCCATCTACGTGTATAGGAATGACTGAGACGTGCACATCGGTCAGTGCTTTTCCCATCTCGAAGAAGCGAGGGAGTGCGGGAAGTGAATACACTTTCATGCCAGATGTAGATTACAGAAACTAATTAAAGACGTTAGGCGCTGGTTTGCTGAAGCCAGGTGTTCGCGGTATGTTCGAAGCGGAGTCATGTTGGTCCATCTCTCAACCGTTTTTATAGCTCGAATCCTCAAGGAAGATGGGACTTTTGGTACCTTCAACGAGCCAGGAGAACTATACATCTGGAGCCCTTCTAATGCGTTAGGTTATTATAACAACGAACAAGCGTACGTGCTGCACAGATTGCTGTACATTGCAAAATCTGAGTTATCCAAATAGTACGAGAGAAACCTTTATAGATGGGTTGGTCTGATTCTATAATCCTGGCTAATTTGACATCATTTGGTAGATGGGTGCGAACTGGAGATGAAGCCAAGATAGACCGAAACATGGAATTGTGGATCATGGATCGAATGAAAGTGAGTGTATTTCGAAGGTATTCAACATTTGATGTTCATGTACATCGTAGGAAATTATGAAAGTACGAGGCTTCCAAGTTGCACCGGCTGAACTAGAAGGGTGCATCTTAGACCATCCCGATGTGAACGGTGCGCTTCGACAATTTTCTTGTCCGAGTCGGAGTTGAGCCTCAATCTCCATCCCTACACAGATGCTTGTGTTGTTGGTATTCCAGACGATTACAGTTGGGTTCTTTCCTCTTTCGCATCTTTCGCCTCCTCCGCCTAATTGTGACCTGGTTTGCGCAGGTGGTGAAGTTCCGTTAGCGTTCGTAGTACTCAAACCGGAAGCTGCCCAAAGAGCCATAAGTAGTATCGAAGAAAGTGCAAGAGTGAAGGCTTCGATTCAGAAGGTGATTTCTTATCATAATTCAATTGATCAGTATGCTGACCGGTCCTTTGACAGCACGTTTCCGACAATAAGGTCTATTACAAGCGACTAGCAGGAGGGGTCGAGATTGTGACGACTATACCCAAGAATCCCAGTGGAAAATTACTGCGTCGTGTGCTACGAGAAAAGGCCAAAGCTTTGAAGAAACCAACACCAAAACTCTGAAGCCGTAAAATATTGTCAGGAATCATTGGGAGATATGGCGTTAGAATTGTATATCCCTTTTGCTTGTTCAACGTTCCTTGTGATTTTGCAATGTATCATAATATAGGCTATGCATTTCAGCACATCGGTGTTCTTGAAAACGGCGATGACGACGCAACCCGATTTGCTTACTGATAATGATGATTAAACGCCCATTAATGCGGGAATGGGTGGCACCACGCGCAGTCATCTTCTCTGAACCCCTACTATCATCATGAAAGCCATTCTCGACGGTATCGTTCTCGCTGACTCCAATGACACCAAAGTCATCGAGGGCAACCATTATTTCCCTCCCGACTCAGTCAAGAAAGAGTATTTTGTTGCATCCGATACGAGGTAAGCTCTGTTACATGAGACCATCCATAACTTGACTGGAAATTTGGGCTCGGTGTTGAACATCCTATTTGTAGCTCTGTGTGTCCATGGAAAGGGTTGGCAGATGCTCTTCCAAAGCTTGATGATATTGGATCTAACTCGACGGAAATAGTACCTGTTCATACTACGACGCGACAATCAGCGGAAAGACCGTGTCAGACGTAGCTTGGTGTGTTTCCACGTTATTTTCGTGCTACTATATCTCACTTTTGTCAAAGGTACTATCCCAACACAATAAGTGATCGTGCAAAGCCTATCGAGAACTATGTTGCTTTCTATAAGGTACATGGCCTTCTGTCATTTATTTTGGTGCACTCAGCAAACCATACTCTTACCAGAACAAGGTCCAGTTTGAGTAAAGTATCTGAACATTGGTCGAGAAAACCAAGAAACCATGCATTGTTTGTTGTATATAGTAATTATACAACTTGATGAGTCCTTTGTCCGTGACTAGAATACACTATTTGAGTTAACTAAACGAAGCAAGCATCCGAAAAGGTCCACTGATCATTGGAAAAATTGTCCAAAGTTATGAACCTCAGTGCCTCAGCATGAAAGAAACATGAAAGAAACTGAAAGACTGGACCCCAGAATTTACTCGGAGACACCATTGATGGTGAATTCAGGACTGAAATTTCCCGAGTCTCCGAATACTGTGAACATAGTTTAAGTCGAATGTAAACCATTCAGGGTCAATATAGCACTCACAAACTAACTCATAGTTGTTGGCTGTGATAACCAATGGCACGGTGACATTGATGGTTCCCAGAAGAATGTCAAAGCCATCGGCGAGGACCACTGAAGAGAAAATGGCAAGTCAGAGTTGTGATATAATGGGGAAGTGCATGAGCGTACGAGGAGTGGTGAGACCGTCTTGACGAAGCTGAATTCTGCCAAGTTTGTTTGTGATGTTTACAGGAGCCTGAGAGATGTCCCTGCGATATACGAATAATTGATTAGTGACTGCAAGTAATTATCATACTGGTTAAAACACACCAAGTGACATTGTGAATTTCTCCGTTGTTCCACACGGTCGTGCTAGTCGGATAAGTGATGGGAGGAACGAACACATCCCGCTTGAAGACAGGGACAGCGTTCGAAATCGTGAATAGGATCGTCATGAAGAAAGCGAGCAGGTTCATAATGGAGGACGTGGATTTCATCGTAAGTAAATTGGGTCGTTAGCGTTTGGTTTATGAAGGTAGTTCAACAACAGATGTTGATGAAGACGATAATTGGGGAGAGTGATGAGCACTGGGAGAAATACGCATAATGAGGCCGCTTATAAGGGAAAGGAAAGGAATGTCGCCGAAGGGCATGTCAAGAGCACAGGGTGAAGCGAAGAAAGTTCGATCTATTTCGACCCCGATTCTAGCCTTGTTTCAAATCAATGCTTACTGTAGTTCCGGATTGTACGCTCTCAGATGCAGTACCAAAAACACATATCATTGAGCATCATACGAGGTACTATGCAAGATACTATACATCAGCAGGTAATTGTATCAGCTGAGCAATGAGCCTCCTTGCCTCTCCTTGCTTAAGCTTTTCTAAGATGTAAAAACTTCCCATGGTCAGCAAACCTTGGTGAAACAATTCTCAGCTGACAATTCGACGATCGTCCAGGAGCTTCCTGTGCGATTTTTCCGGTCGAAGATTGAAATGCGGAGCAGATAAGCAAGGCGAAAATTAGCCGTTCTGGGCTAATATGACTTCACTAACAGTCCATAGCCTGCGCATTGCCTCATAGGCGTAGACCGCCGGATCCTGACGTGTATCGGTGTCGGCAAACCAGGCGGCCAGTCAAAGCCGTTGTGGTTTATAGAAGCCGCCTTGTGAATCTGAATGTAGCTCGGTGAATCACAAACGCCAGAAGGGAGAAAGCGGCAAGAATAATATTGGTAGGCGTATTGGTTATTGTACATTTAGGTATGACAGTCGGACGGTTTAGTTGATTTGGGGTATTTCGATCCCTGCTTCTTTCGCTATCTCGACGATCTTTGTGGCCTGAATGATGGAGATGATGAGTGTAATGCGCGTAATGAATGAGCTGTAATACAAATTGACCTGCTTGATCATCGGTGCATCGATCATTTCACCATCCAAACCAATGGCGCCTTTCTGGGATGCATGTGCAACCTGCATGCCACGGAGGATCTTTGCTGCACGGAGAATTTCTATGACGGGAAAAGGCATTTGAGTTATGGGGTTCAAAACACCAGATAGTTCGTACTGTACATAGCATAACATAGTATATGAGACGATAAGAACTTACCTTCAGCAGTAGGTACAAACGTGTTCTGTATGGTTTCGACTTGCGCAGGATGAATAGCTTGCTATTGGAAGAGAAAGATCGATAAGATGGGAAAGAAGAAAAGGGAAGCGACTTGCCTTCCCTGAGAACCCTAATCTTCGACCATCCTCACATTCGTCTTTCAGGTATTCAAGATCTTTGTAGTGTATACAAACCTACGCGAGGATTACAGTCAAATCATTGAAATCAGGAACGGCTTTGGGAAGTCAACATACCATGTCGATGGCCTCTAGACCGAAAGCCTTTGCTGCGATTGCAATTTGAGAACGAGTGTATAGCAGTTCCTGCCGCGAGCGTGTTCGGATGATGGACGTGTCCGCACAGTCTATGAGCCTGTAAGTTACGGAACATCTTTATCACCGCCATGCAATTTACAATCTTCAGCTGCAAACTGTAGAGGTAATGAGAACGTATGACAATAAACTACAACAAAACAACGAACAAGTAATCCGCTCACGGCGCCGCCTTGTAACGCGCCATGTTCTGATTGCCAACCCGCAATAGCCCCAAGATTCCATAGAGCCCTAGCACTTTCGATGCTGGGAACAATCCGTAAAGGAGTCTCGTGAGGATGCTTCTGAGAGATTTGGTGAATATGTCGCGATACATAGTGGAGGTCTTGTGCGGAGTGGATCTTTGGTAATATCAAGGTCCGCACAGATGGGGATTGGAGCTACGTTTTCCATGAAACGTGGGTACAGATGATTGAGCAAGAGGTTTAAACGTACAATGTGCGTAATGTCTTGCTGGAAGAAGGGAGTGCTGATATCGTTTAGTCGGATCGCGACTCGCTCTGCCTGTGGGACGTCCTTTCGCTGCAGATGCAATTAGAGGAATATTCATCTCCTAGCAAGCAGCATACCTTCAAGAAGGTACGCAGTCTATCCCTTGCATCTTTCTTGTCTGCAGGTGCAGGAGATACACTATCCTCCAGGTCGTAGATGATAATATCAGACTTAACAGTCAGTGACTTTTCCAGTAATTTGTCCGAGGATGAGGGCACATAGAGGTATGAACGTCTAATCTCGTTCTTGCTTGTAGTAAAGCAACGAGTGCTCTTGGGCCCGACAGTAGTCCTGGAGAATCTTTGCATTAACGAAGGAGTTTGGACTGGTCGGAGGCCCCACGTGGCGAATTTGAACGCGCTACACGTGACCTCCGCGTTCGGTTCTTGTTGATCCTTATTTTTCGCTTACTTTAGCGTTCAAGCTCAAGCTTGTCTTCGTTGTGTTCATTCCTTGCGATGAAAAGGCATCCTCGCTCAACTTCCTTCGATTTTACTCATCCAGGAATTCCTGGCGATGAACTCGAGCAAGATCGCATTCAGCTAGAGCACAACCTACAAAACACCGACCTCTCCTTTCGACTCTCGTCACAGGGCGACAACGACAGTATAGAGTATCCCAGACATAATTCCGGCCATCTCAACGATTTTGGCTCATTTATCAACCACTCTCGCGGCAACTTTGGTGATGGCGACACACATCATGGCTGGTCGTATCGCACAGGCGATGACGAAGAAGGCATCAATCCTTATGGAGGCGAGACCATGTCTACTGCAGCGCATCACGCCAGTGCTCTGACCCTTACGGCTGGACTTGGAGGGCGAGGGAACCGGCGAGATGCTAGTCTCAGTGGGGCAGAGTATGACCCTGACAGACCTTTAGAAAACATCATCGGTGGTGTTGACAGTAGGTTCAGTCTTTTTGATTTGGACCCTTCGAGGTCAAAATACTCGGTTAGCCTCTCCGTTTTACTTTTCTGCTTGTGTTTATCCTTCGTAGGCTCCTGGTCCTGGTACATCTCTCGATCCTCTGGTGGTCGATAGTACAGCGGAATTAGACCGAATTCTCGAATCGGGTTATGCCCTTCCACCTGCCCCTCGAGATGCAAACCCTCATTTCTCGCGCTCATCTTCTTCCTCTTCTTCATCCGACTCTGAAGGTGGTCCTTCCTCACGCCCGAAAATTGTCGATTCCCTTCGACGAGTGTCATTCTCGCCAAAACGTCCCCGGGTGGCTCATCCTACACACACTCCTCGCCATCGCTCATCTAACCTCCCTGGCTCAACACAATCTATTATTAATTCTGCACGTCACGTCACTTCACCTTTAGTTCGTGAGGCCTCCCTATCGTTGGCCAACGAACAGAATGCTCTTACTCCTAAAGCACGTCAGTCAACTAAACGCACCAACAATCAATCCACTCCTCATCCTGAAGTTCGCCTCCAACCTCCAACTCCCTCTTCGTCTACATCCAGGTTTTCTCAAAAAGCACGAGGTTTGACACGAGAACTTGACGCTGAAGTCGAACGCACTTACGCAGCGCAGAGCAAGAATCGTAGCATCGGAGATTCTCTGTACACTAATGCCGAAATTCCCTCCATTTCGTACGACATTCCACCTGCGAATGGGACTCCTGCCCCAAAGCGAACCCAAAAAATATACAACACGCCCAGTTTATCTAAGGGACACAATATCTCTCATAGTAAACTCTATCTACCTGACGTAACTGGCTTGACGAATGCAGTCGAGTCACCAGCTAAAGGAGCACTTAGTACCCACTACCCATATCAATCCAGTAATGAACCCAGAGAGATCGAAGGTGATGGTTTATTTTTTGATTGACGTTGGAAATCTATTAATTTCTTTGTGTTATAGTACGCCTTCTTACCGTCATGAACACCATTCAAGACAAATTGGAGCAACTGGAAGACGAAAACGGAATCTCTCGTCGCAGAGTACGTGAGTTGGAACTGGAGCTCGAGATGTGTAAGAAGGATGTTGCCAGAGAGCGTACGAGGGTTATACAGAAAGAGGAAGCTATTTTGCAGAACCAGCGTGAGCTCGAGCGGGCTGTTGCCGACGCGAAGAGAAGTATGAAAGGCAAGACGCGAGCGAGGGACACGAGTATGCACGCGGACATCGATGCGTCAGTGAGATACAAGGAAGCCGTGGAGGAAAAGAAAGGTACATTGTTATACTTTTGCCTATTGGACTTGTCGTTCAATTACTTTTGGCGTTTGCAGCATTGGAATCACTTATCACTACTCTGCGTTCACATTTGACTCGCTTAACGGCGGAACTCTCTTCGCACCAAGAACTTCTGGTTGAGCTTCGTTCGTTCCGTGAATCAGACGCGCGAGCGCTTAAGGAGAAGACGTCTGACATTACTCGTCTGAGGGTTGAGGTCGAGAGACTTGCTGGTGAAGTTGAGGTTCTGCGAGGCGTAGTGGAGGAAGGTCTCAAAGAGCGAAGGCTTGCGCGCGAGAACTCCCGGGCGTCTGTGTCGCAGGTCAATTCCGAGTCTATGGCGCAGCAGGAGATTCTGGAAGACACTGAGGAGGCAGTTGATTCCACTGGGGTAAGGGAAGACGAGCATCAGCAGGAGCTCGAAGAAGAGGAAGATGGAGAGGAGGAGGAGGATGAAGAACTGGAGGAGGAAGACCTTGATGATCACGAAGAGCCGGAACCCTTCGATCCTATGTCCATTCCTGGATCCTCCCGTGAATTAGACGCATTGGACAAGACCGTTCGTACAGATCGCGCAACTGTGGGTACTCCTGGGGCCAGCCAGCGAAACATATCACGACCTACTCGATTCATCGATGATGATGAACTAGAGCGTATCGCCGCAGATGTTGAAGAGAGGCGGTCTGAGCGTTCCGCCGCGGGTACTTCTCGCTCTCAGTTCGATTCCAGAGTGTTGAATCCCTCCCGCTCAGCTTCTCCTGTACCTGCGCCTACTGCTGCAACACAAAGACGGGCTACAGTTGAAGATGTCGCTGACAAGAATGACTGTGTTCATAATCTGCATTTCCAGGAAGAAAATAGATCGCCATCTCCAGCGTTGAGCTCCGCATCTGTCCGACTACGGCGGGTCAAAGCTCGAGAGGCACAGGAGATTCATCAACCGAATCGTCCTTCACCTCCTACTCCTGGGCATGCAACGACTCATAATCACAGGCCATCGTATAGGCACGCTGATCCTGACGATTCTATTGCTGAGACTCCATTCCCCCAGATTCGCGGCGAGCGTCTTGAGAAACTCTTCTTCAGTGCGCCTGAGCACAACCAGAAAACCTGCAATGTGTGTTGTCGACATCGAGGTCCCCGCGGAGTCGATACAAGACCCATGTCTCCCTCATGGCTCCCGAGTCGCTTTGCACAAGATGTTAATCAGCATAATTATGAAGCGGATGGTGATGTTGACGAAGGATTCGCTGAAGGCTCAGAGGAGGCTAATCAAGAGAATTTCCGTGACCACTTTGCGCGCGGGATGAAGAGGAATGGGAAACAGCGAGATATGGGTCCTCCTAGAGACACCTACGAACAAAGGAAGAATCTGCCTCAACAAACTGTTCTTGCTCGTGTCATTCGAGAACTCGAGGATGATTTCACTCATTACAAAAGGTTTGTGCCATCTTCGAGGTATGTAGTATCTGTACTGATGATTGACCCTTAGTGTGTACGTTGAACTTGCCGACCAGTATAAAGACATGGATCCTGTATCTGATGTTCCCCGGAGGAACCTCTTGGCTCAGCATTTGCGGGAAGTTGTCGATATTCTGGAACAGAAGGTAGTGTTGCTCAATTTTAATATTTTCCCATCCTTTTCTCAATAACCACCGTGTCTAGGGTGATCAAATAGCATCGTTGTACGACCTTTTGACCTTCAAGGACAAACCTGCAGTTGATGCGCAATCGAGACCCCAACCTCGTGCTACCGAAGCTGCAAATGCCTTGCGCGCAGCTGGGCTGAGGAGACACCCCACTTTCGCATAAATTAACATGTCGGACATCGAATATGTATTCAAAGGCTTCTTTCCAAATTTTTGCATAAAACTTATTCCCTCCCAACATACACATAGGCTATCTATTACTTTATGTATCCTCTGGGTTTTGCGAGTCCATCTGTCGATGATCGCCGATATTTTTCATCATTGTAGTACATCTTCCATGCGTTTCCTGTATATGAATAGGGTACCTCCAGTAAACCTACCGCATCAAATCTAGCCATCTAGCAGATTTGGGTAATGTAGATATGAATCAAAGCAATTACGATGAGGATATATATTGCATAGCAATTAAGGCGAGGAAAAGTAAGATGAAGATGAAGAACGTTGAGAAGTTGATTCTCGAAGTCATGAGCATTGATCCAAAGAAAGAAATGATAGGAAATCGTGAAACGAATCGGATGAACTAAATAATGCGTCCAGTCGGAGATGCGATGAATGATGGAGTACGATATTGTACAATTGCTATGCAACAGTCTCCACGGTTCGATCTGCTTTCCTCGAGCCTCATCCTTCCAGAATATGTACGGATTGCATTGAATAATGTATAGATTCAAGCTTTGGGTGAGGGAAGGGGGTGAGAATGTATTTCCCGACCAAAACAAAACCTTCCTGAGCTCCGGCACATGCCCCGCGGCAACTTTCTGAGAGTTACTTCCCTGCCTTCTGGCCCTCCCTCTCGCGCTCTTCCTCTGAATGCAAAACCGCGGGTGGAGCATAACTCTTCGATCATTCGCTATGCTCCGTATACCATTTTCTCAGCCATTTCTCCGCGATGGAGTACTCTCCCTTGACCTGAGATATTAGCAAGGTTATCAAGTCTAGCGCCTGTTTGCTATCAAGATCGATACCCTTCTCCTCATCTCGTAACTGGCCGTAGCGCTGAATCTTCTCGCACGAGTTTTGGACATGCGCTACACCGAGTGTAGCGGAAGAGCCTTTTAAAAAGTGGCCCAGATCAGAAAGAGTCATTAGATCCTTCTTGATTCTGCAATTTAAGATTTTTAATATGTAGCAAGAAAAAGATCGACGATAGATACTGACAATGCAGCGTCCATATCATCGAATGTTTGGGCAGCCTGAGTGTAATACGCTTCAACCATTTCTCGTGAAAAGTCATGCGTGTCGTCCTCGTCAAGCTCCAAGATTTGATTGAAAATTTCCATGTCAATTATTTCGTCCTCGTCCGACGATGATGTCTATGATTGAAAGTAAGATTCGCTAAAGGTGGCGAATACTGAATTGGGGGTAGGACATACTTCTGCCTCGGTTTCGCAATTCTGGTTTTTAGACGAATCTGTATTTGGAGAGGAAGGTCGATTGGCAGCAGGTTGAGAGATTGGAGGTTTGTCTTCATGGGAATCGCGATCATTAATATCAACTTTGGCTTTGAGTGCCTTTACTGAGGAAGAAGGAGATTCAGTGGTGGCTTTAATGGTGTGCTGAGGTGCTGATGGCTCGTTCACCGGCATTCTAGCGGTAGAAAAGGGTATTCAAGAGTCAAATTAGAAGCTAGTGACAGGAAGGCTGTCGGGGGCGGAAATGGGAGTGTGAGGTGAAAGTGATAATCAAGAACCGGATATTGCCGATCCGTCTGACGTCAACTTTGATTTCGGCCCGTTGGTCTAGCCTTATTATCTTGCTTGTTACCAATTAAACGCACCACTAAACTTGCTCAATGTTGAGGTTCAATGATTAAATATTCAATCCCATGGCCATGGGGCATATGTACATAAATTGAATCGTTGGATGTACACATACCCGTTACGGATACTGTATGAGTTACATGTAAGTCATACGACAAGCTCCAAAATACGAACGCCGAAGAAAAGTTGAACCGGGACGTCGAATCAGGAAAAAAAAAAGACCTCCACATGTAGTTTAATATCGTACAGTACCCAAACCAGAAGATCCGATGAGAAGGCGGTCCTAGTAGGCAATTCCATCGAACGGTAGGCTTTGATCCTACCGCGCCATAGGAGTAAAGACGACATGGATAGCTTGCGCTATTGCCTTCGGCCTTTTAGATCAAACTAGAAATATGCTGTCCGAAGGTCTGCTCGTTATTGCAGCTGTGCAGGTTGCTTGTTCGAATACATGCGAGACCCCTCCGGTTAGAATTACTATTCATTCCAGTGGTGGGCCTTTGTGGGCGACAGAGATAGGTTCAGCCGTTCAGGTCCGGGAATCGAGAACAAAAATCGAACCGCGTGAGCGAAGCACCTGAAGCAAGCAGAAAATGCCGCATGTACCATGAGATGTTTCGCGCAGGTCAATGCAAGTTAAGGCCCGTGGACCCCGTAAAAGGCTAGAATCAGGTTTAAACCATATGTTGACCAATCCTTTATCGATAGAGCGATAAATCCACATATCGTCTCAGTATAGTTAATAGCTATCTTGAACTGTACATCAAAAGATTGCTCGAGAATTAGGGCTACTCACTGTGAGAGATATTCAATTGGGAGTCTACCCTTGGCTCGGATACATTAGTTTTAATGTCATGAGGACATAGATTCTAGTTTCTCGGAGCTTCATCCTTTCCGCAGTGAAAATTGGAGTACCCGATCCAGGTTGTAATCATTCCTACGACTAGTCTCGCGGTGCCCGGATGAAGGAAGCGAATACAAGCTGAAATCACTGGCGAAGCAAGCGTACGAGTGGGAAGTGGGAGTTGAAGCGTGAACCTTGCCATTTACGAAAGATACGATTGACCGGAAGATTCAAATTTCAAAAGAGAAGAGAAAGAAGCATGATCTAGCCTGGTCTATTCCATTCAGGCACCAAATGATTAAGTTTAAAGTTGGGTTAGGTTAGGGCTTGCCGGCTTGAGATCCAGATGCTGGACCACTTGCAGGACGCAATGGTCGTGGTAGACATATCGACTGCTCATCGAGCTGCTGGGAGATAATTAAAATTGCTTAAGCACTGATGAGTTTTCTGAAGCCTATCGGACATTAGAAACCCTTCGGTGGCACCCCACATTCACCTTCAACTCAAATATCAAAAAGTACCCCTCCAAGCAGCAAGTCATCTAGGTAAAACTAGTATTTAGCTGGAGAGCAGCTGAGTGCTGTCCAACTGGGAAAGCACTCCCAGCAGTATTGATACCTGCTAGGTGTGCGTTCCCAAGAAATATCCTTGCTCTAGCAACTATCCAGGTTTTGCAGATGAGAATCTACCTGATCAGCAGCAAAGATTTTTAAAATCGCAAAACACATTATAAAAGCTATCATGATGTATGTAATTGATTGGGACAAACAGGTGAAACTGAAAACACAAAAAGGAAGGTTGGAATTATTTCTAATGTTGCAACGGCATTCTTTATATTCTCGAAAGCACGTCATTTCGCTGCACAATTTTCTCTGATAATACCATTTCAAGCGTTTATCGATTGACGCTCGGACCTATGAAGAGAGGTCAAAAGCGGCATCGAGGAACATCTCAATCTCCTTCTTGTGTTGAGCCTAATGAGTGCACAGTTAACGAGAGTAAGTAGAAACTGAAGGAGCACAGGCGACAGACCTTCGATCCAGTAGCGACAGAACTGGTAGGATCTCTTCCAGCATACCTCGGGTATTTACCCTTGTGATGTTCGGTTTGTTGGGCGGCAGTGTAAATACGAGGCCCGACATAGCTCCATGCGCCGTTGTTCAAAGGCTCTTCCTGGCACCAAAGTAGTCCGGCGTTGGGGTACTTGTCCAAATGAGGAGTGATCTACGAAGAAACCAATCATACAATCTGAATGGATGGGAACAGTAGTAATTGAGAACATACCATGTCGTAGGGGAAGGGCGAAAGTTGTTCGATCCTACTGATTGCAATATCCTTGATACCTCTCTCTTCCCTAGCAGCGAGAAGAGTGTGGTAAACTTGTCCTGCTCATGAAATCAGCAAAAAATCTTATTTTCTCAAAGTGACCTACTAACCACTACACAACACATGTCGCTTGATTTCCTCTGGTGCGACAAGTTCTTCGGTGTGGGGCTCAGGCAGATATCGTTGGAAGTGCGTATCCCCAACCATTTCAGAAAGGTCAGAGCGAGCTTTCGGGTGACGGAGAAGATTTTTAGAAAAGAATATAATGAGGGGCTTGCGGAAGTCACGGTGAATTTGACGACGAAGGACGTGGAACTAAGACGTCGAGAACATCATTGCTAGTGAGAAGAAGCAAATGGAAGAGGACAGACAGACTCACGTAGTTAGCCGGAGTAGTTGGATATACAACCTGCATATTACAATCTTGGTGTTGTCTCTCGATTTTCTCCTGGCTAGGGAAGACGTTGGGATGATCGTCGCAGAGCTGCAAGAACCTTTCAAGCCTTGCACTTGAATGCTCAGGACCCTGTCCATCATAACCATGCGGCAAACTCATAACAAGCCCAGACCTCTGCAACCACTTCCTCTCACCACTTGCAATAAACTGATCGATAATACACTGTGCGTTATTTGCAAAGTCACCAAATTGAGCTTCCCACATGGTCAGACAGTCGGGCGAAACGAGAGAGTATCCGAGTTCGAATCCGAGTGTACCGTATTCAGACAGGGATGAGTTGCAGATAATGAAGCGAGCTTGGGAGGAGCCGAGGTCGTTTAGAGGGACGTATTGTTTTTCGTTGGCCTGGTCGTGAAGGACGGCGTGACGCTGGGAGAAGGTGCCACGCTCGACGTCCTGCCCGGAAACACGAACGTGGATGTTTTCGAGGGCGAGAGCACCGAATGCGAGTGCTTCGGCGGTCGACCAGTCGATGTTCTTGCCTTCTTCGATAGTCTTACCACGGGTTTGGAGGATACGGCCGAGATTGCGGTGGACAGTAAAACCGTTGGGGTAGCTGGAGATGGCACGACCGATGCGTTGGAGGGTGGCTTCGTCGGAACCGGTAGCGCGGGTCGGGAGAGTCTGGTCTGCGAGCTGCTTGGGCGAGGGGAATCCCTGCCAGGAGGCGGAAAGCCATTCCTTCGAGGTAGGTACGTAGTCTTTCGCACCAGCGGCGGCCTTCTCGAGCATACCCCAGACCCATTTCTTGTGCTCCTCAATATCCTTTTCAGTGAAAGTTCCTCTTCCAACGAGGAATTTGGAGTACTGAGTAAGGGTTGTAGGCTGTTTCTCGATGGCTTTGTACATCCTAGGTTGGGTGAACATCGGTTGGTCGGTTTCGTTGTGTCCATATCGTCTGTAGCAAACAATGTCAATGACAACGTCCTTCTTATACTTGGCTCTGTAATCCGCAGCGAGCTGGCACACGAAAGTTACAGCTTCGACGTTGTCGCCATTAACGTGGAAGATGGGAGCATCGATAGATTTGGCAATGTCTGAGGGGTAAGGCGTGGAACGGGCGAATCGAGGATCAGTGGTGAAACCAACTTGGTTATTGACGATAAGATGAATGGTTCCTCCAGTTCCATAGTTGGGAAGATTATGCATGCCCATGGTCTCGTAAACAATTCCCTGACCAGCAAACGCAGCATCACCATGGAGTAAAACACCCATTGCAGTGTTATGTGCCTTTTCATCCTTCTCAAAGTGCTGGATAGCGCGTGTCTTTCCAAGAACGACAGGATCTTCGGCTTCCAGGTGAGATGGGTTGGCGACAAGAGAGAGAGCGACCTTTTTCCCTGAGGGCGTCGGGCGAACGTAATTGGCGCCAAGATGGTATTTGACGTCTCCAGCGGGTTCATCACCTTCTGCTCCGCTGAATTCATTCAGAATAGCTTCAATGGGTTTTCTGATGACGTTCGCGAGAACGTTGAGCCGACCACGGTGAGGCATACCCAGGGTGATATTGGAAACACCATGTTCGACGGAACGGTCTATAAGAGCTTTCATACCAGGAATGAGAGATTCACATCCCTCGAGGCCGAAACGCTTCTCGTTGGGATATTTCGAAGCGATAAACTTTTCGAAGGATTCAGACCAAATGAGACGGTCGAGGATCATACGTTTCTCGTCGACGGTGTAATTCCAGGGTTTAGGAATCTCGACACGTTCACGGATCCAATCGCATTGATCTTTGTCGGGAATGTGGATGTATTGAATGCCGACAGCACCGCCTGTGAAACTAGTGAGGAAAGCTCGAAAGAAAACGCGTTCGGTACTCACAGTAGATACGCTTGCACAACTTGATAATTTCACCCAACTTCATCGTCTTTCTATCCTCCGTAGCAAAATGAGGGAGAATACCAGGCCCGAGAGTAATTTCCTTGTCCAAATCACGGTCGGTGAAGCCATATCGGCTGAGCTCGAGCTCTGGGGGCTGAATATTGCCGAGATCAGCATCCAAGATACCAAGAGGGTCAAGTTCAGCGACATGGTGTCCGCGAACTTGATATGCTCGGACGAGGAGTTGAACCTGCGGAGAAAAACGGATGAAACTGAGTAATTTGTGCTATTTCGGCTATAAGCTTTTCAATGACTGACTTTGAGATGATCATCAAGTTCAGCACCACCAGCACTAGCATGCAAAGCTGGAGCACCATCGGTAGGAGGTGCTACGAGGCTGGGTGGAGGTTGGAAAGCTACAGAGCTAGGAAGACCCTTGTCAAGTCCTTTGAAATAGGCATCCCAAGAAGCATGCACAGAGCTGGGATCCTGCCTCCAATGCCTGTACATTTCCTCTGCATAATAAGCATTGGTGCCATTAGCGAAAATATCATTAGGTGACGGTGGGTTGGCAGCAGGAGTTGCCAAGTCACGTCGACGAGGAATCACGGATTGTTGAGCTCTGACCGCGACGACGGCTGCCTTCGACCTTGAAGGCAAATTCCGCAGAGCTTGTTTTGACAACATTGAGGGAGAAAGAAAAAAGAGACGTAGACTGAGCTACGATTATGATGGTGGTCACTGATCAAGAGCTTGACTTTTCCGGTATGCCGATTACCTCCGAAGCGCGTCATATCTCTCTTCCATGTTATAACTTTTTTCCGTGTTGATTTCCGGGACATAAATTTGGAGTCCTTGCTAGTCTAATGGATTTTGCGCAAGTTGTTCTTCAATTCGTAAAAACAAAACCTTCCTACTTTGTGACTCGTATCCAACAGAAAATCGTTTAGGTCTTCTGAACAAACCATATAGCGTTCAGATGCACGCCAGATCAGACCCAACTCCTGAGCCTCCGAGTGCTGAGTGCTTCGGCGGCGTTTGGCGCGATGTGGATAGCCTTAGACTCCGTATAATAAACTCATTTATTTCCTTGCTGTTACACCATTGCAGTGGAGATAGGTGGCAGGTATTACCATAATCGCCAACATAATCCCATTGGCAACACATCTCGCGCCCGTCCAGCCACTTGCTGCAACTCCCTATATGTATGTACCTCTGTCGAGTCAACTCGTCCTAATCGAGGATTTTAAGACCAACAGAGACCCACAGGTGAACATCAAGTAGCGGCATTGTAATCTCCGATCTATCTCGTGGATTTTGAGATGCACATCTCAACCTTATATGGACCTCGGAGGGCTTGACTTTCAGGAACTATATCTAACTCTACAGTAAGCATGTAGTATCTGTAGATTCGTTCGTCAAATTTGGATCTAATTTCAAACCTCAGCGTTCAACTATTGGCGCCCTTTTCGTTGAGCACTTTGCAGGTAACTCACATAAAGTAGTAGACAAACCTGCATCCTTCCTATCCCAGCAACAGTGGCTGCTGAAAGATAGCTCTGATACGAGTGGGACTACGTGAAAATTGATTCATTTGCGGAGCTTTCAATCTGGAGAGAATGGTCAGGCCATGGGTCTTATTGGACACCTTCATGAGAATCCTCATTCAAATGGAAGCCGACGACAAAAGGTCGACACTGCTAGCGATACTTCTTGCATGATTTACATCCCGATATTGGGCTGGAGCTCCATAAAGGGGAGGAGGTACCTATGTAGTATCAACCCAACGGTTTTTAAATTTCTGATGATCATCCAAGTCAACTTATCCGCTCTGGTTTCAATGTCTTGAGGCGACTTGAATGCATCGCTGTCCCTGCCACACGACCATTGTGGTACACTGTATAGCGTGTGCGAGTCTCTATGCCAGAAGCCATGCCATTTCTCGACGCAACGACGCATTCATGCTGGTGCTTTCCAGGCATTTGCAGTGAACCTGCACCTTAACGGTTTGCGCCGTAGAGTAGAATTTTGTTTGTGAATCTATTTATTCCTGACATCGCATGTCACTAGATTATTTCTCTAGTCGTCGCAGATTTTAGTCAGAGAATGAGCGTTGTTCGAGAGAATCAATGCAAAGGAGCAACAACGCAAGCGCAGATATCATCCGAAGGAAAAACAGGGAAGCTGCTTCTGAGAGGTGAGAACAGAACAACATGACTACTGTAACTGACAGTGAATTGCAAGATGAGGATACTTACATACAAGTAAGACTTGGTGATTCTACATAAATGCAAAACACCGAAGGAGTACAGATATTATCCAGTAACAAAACATGGGATAAGGCCTGACACCTCATCAAATGAATGAACCCTCACAACAAATCACACATCAGGCCTATGGGTGAAAGTGGGGTGCAGACTGCAGTTATTCAACAAAACAAAACATAGGAGAGCGGGCCTGACCGGGAATTGAACCCAGGACCTCGTCGAATAAGGAACATACCCTAACAACGAATCATACTCCTAGACCATCAGGCCGATGGGAGAACTCACGGTATGCATAGCCTGAATCAGAACCCTCCTCTTAAAATACAGTTACATAGTTCTTACATGTTCAAACTACTCCCTTCGCACGAAGCTCTTCCACCTGCGCGGCGGAGTACCCCAATTCAGCGAGGACCTGGTTAGCAATTGCATTGATTAGCGATAGTCTACATGTGCACTATTATGACCTAGAGCCAAGAGAACACCCACCTCGTCACTATGTTCTCCCAACCACGGCGGATGCCTCTTCACAGACATCTTTTTCCCATTGTATGAAACAGCGGGAGCGACGAGTTTGATTGGTCCTGCGCGCGGATGCTGGAAGAAATTTAGTAGTAGTTCCAGGAAATTGGTCACATAATATAGTACAGAGAACCCACATCGATTTCGACAGTCACGTTCCTTGCGATAGCTTGTTCGTGCTCGAACGTCTCCTTGATGTTATTGATGGGACCATGGGGAACACCTTTTCCTGCTTGAGTTGCTGCTCTAAATTTTCCTAGCCAGTGGGCTTTGGTCTCTCTGGATCCAAATGAATTCAGCAAACACGAACACGAGGATAAATTGGTAGATGTAAATATGATAATAGTTGACAAAGCACACACGTACTTCCTGAGCTCTATTTCCAGCAACTTGATCAATTCGTTGCGATTTGCCACCCGAAGAGCGTTTGTAGAGAATCGTGGATCCGAGGGTAAGCTGGGAAGAGGAAGAACTAGAGTACACAGAGTGTTGAACTGAAGATGGTAACAAAAATAGTTGTCGGACGGAAATTAAAACGGCAAGAATCATCGCTTGCCTGGTTATCGTTTCCAGCACCAATCATGATGAAATCGTCGCCTGCCTGTCCATCGGGTGCTTTACACGGAAATACCTGGAAACAGAAGTTGTTTTTTTTTCGAGCATCAGAAGCCACACATATGGTCATACGAGAAGAATCATACCTGATACGGCACCACACTCGGATGAGCTGTACCAAACCTCTGTGCTTCCTGCCCTGCTATCAAGTAATTGGACGCGATATTTGCTAACCCGGCAACTTGCGTCTCGAACAGGTTACAGTCAATCCAACACCCTTTTCCTGTTTTTTGTCTTCCTATAAGTGCAGCCATGATGGCTCCGTGTGTGTATAGGCCTGTGGCGACATCGGTTGCAGCTACGCCGACCTGTCCAGTAGTAAGGGATCAGATATCGTCTGATAAGTAGAAAGAGAAAGAGGTCAAACTTTTACAGGTTTGGCCGGATACGGTTCTCCCGTGATATGCATCAGCCCTGCTTCACCCTCGACAATCACATCGTAGCCAGCATGTTGACGATATGGCCCAGTCTGTCCGTAACCTATTGATACCTCAAATGATTCACTAGACTCGTACAAGACGGGGCCATCAATTTCCACAGCACCCACCAGTTATGCTAGCATAGATCAACCTCTGATTGATCTTATGACACTGCTCCCACCCGAGACCCAGTTTTGCGAGTTTACCAGGAATGTAATTCTCCACCAGGACATCTGCTTGTTCAATGAGCTTGTGCACAATTTCCAAACCAGCAGGATCTTTGAAATTGACAGTAATCGAGCGTTTATTTCTGTTCGAAGATAAAAAATAGGCAGATTCAGGGGGCAAGAAATGAGCACGTTCTGGTAGAGAATTCGAAGAGGACGATTGGGGTAGGAGAGGCGCGGAAGGAGGATTCCATGATCCTACAGAAAACAACCAAGGCATTCAATCCATGACATAGACAATGGAAGCTGGGTACAGCTTACGAGTATCATCGCCCTTTCCTACTTGCTCAATTTTGATAACATCTGCGCCCAAATCAGCCAGCAGCATTGTTGCAGTTGGCCCTGCCAGAACGCGAGTAAGGTCGACAATTTTTATTCCAGCGAGTGGTGGAGGAATTCCAATTCCATTAGACCCCTGAGGTCCATCGTCTGGGGGCTGACTTGAATTATATCGACGGGTACCAAAGCTTCTACGGGCAACCGTAGGGGTCGGCGAAAAGCATCTGAGTAAAGGACCACGAGGAATGTTAAGGATCATCTGTGTGAGCTAAGAGCTTGTAATAACTTGGATATTGTGGTCGAAACCGGGTATAGGATGGGTACTGGAGGGAAAACAAGCAATTGCAACCCGGCCCAAATACCCGGGAGTTTCGACGCGGTCACCTGCCTAGACCATAAAAATTATGAGATAGAATTTAAAAGTGAAAAATAGAAAGTATGGCCGACTAGCTCAGTTGGTTAGAGCGTCGTGCTAATAACGCGAAGGTCTTGGGTTCGATCCCCACGTTGGCCATTGGTCCCTTTTGGTTGTATTTTTTTTCCCTGATTCGTCGTTTCGCAACCTCAGTACGACGAGTATGTATGTATGGAGTGAAGAAGAATTGTACGTATGAACATAGGTTCACAATTGGACTCGAAGCATCGGTGTATGTCAATTATCGATTGTATAGGCCCAGCTAGGCATACATTTGACGCACGACTGTTACGAATATTAAACACAGCACACAACAAAACACAAGACAGCACACACAACACACGAAATACGCACACAGAACGCACAACACACAACACAACACAACACAGAGGAGAGTGAGATAAATGACAAGTCGTTGGAGAGGAGGGATGAGGGTTGGGAGAAGCAGTGGGGAGAGGTATATTTCCAACGAATTTCAAATGCGGCATATGAAGGAGCGAGTCAGTTCGACAATGAAGCAAAGATGTCGATGGACGGCCCAAAAAGAAATTAAATACTTCGAAAGATTTAAATACTTGAAGGATGTGCAGAACTTGATTACTTATTCCAATGAAGTCCAAAGTCCAAGATGCAATCGGTACGTGATACAAGTAAAGAAAAAGGATGCGATATTACGAATTCAACACAGTTCGGTGCAGTGCGGGAAACAAACATGGCGAAAGATGGGCGAAGGAAAAGGACCCCTGGAAAGTAAGGGGGAATAATACTGGGATAAAGCAAGAATACAAGATGCAAATGCACGAAGGAGATTCATTAGTATGAGACGAAATCAACAGGGGTCGCGAGAGCAGCGAGAGATATGAATATAGGAAGAAACAGCGTTGGGTTTGAGCCTTTCTGTTTCTACAAAGTTTTGGGGTGTCAACAATTTTCTAGATTCGCGTGTGTTGTTTTGAGAATCAGTCCGGACTCTGTAGAGCATGAACTAGGTTGTCGATTGAGCGACGCGTTGAATCACTCGTCCTTTCGCCCTAGGGTGAACGCGCCTTCATACGCAGGCATTCGTGGGTCTTCATGCGCTAGCCGCCACGTTCCTACGAGATTTCGTCCACCAAGAAGGGTGCCATAGAAGAAAATCTTCCCGCCGCCGCCGTTGCCTGAAGAGGATCCAGAAGGCTAAGTAAAAATCGAAAAAGGAAGGAGCAGTCAGTAAGCATGAAAACATAGATGATGAAACAAGATAAGACACGATAGAACAAAAAACATGACTTGGAAACTTACCCCACTATCGACACTCCTGACCAGACCTACCAACCCATCCCACTTCCTCACTCGTCCTCTCCACACCCACTTGCCCCACGCAGCAGCATGTCGCGGATCCGTACTTCCAGTGATCAGCACATCTCGGATGCCGTTGCAAGGAGGGATAGTTTTTGCGGAGGGGACGTACGGAGGGAGATCCTCTGCGGGTTCTTCTTCAGACAGATCTTCGTCGGAGGATCCATCTGATGAAGCATCTGCGGGATGTTCAGGATCGATATCTATTAGTGCCTGCGCCTCAGTTCTTGCAACCAACAACGCCCTCTCCCGCGCTATACACCCCGTACACGTTTCTCGATCATGAAACGTCCCAGGTTTGCGTTGGCTCTGAGCTTCTGCTTCGCTGCGTGCGGAAGTTAAAGTAGATGTCGAAGCGACAGACGGGGAAAACCGGAAATCATCATCCGCACTAATATCACGATTCCTAACCGCGACATACTCGTACTCTCCTCCATTGGTTGGACCAGAAGAAGGTACGGAGGCAATAACACGATCACCTTTAGTGGATAATGTTGTGTTGGGAGGAAACCAGCTGTCTTTTATACCCTGATCAAAAGCATCATCGGGGTTGATACTCGTAGATCTAGGAACCGTATCGTGACTACTGCCAGCGCGAGTGGTATTTGAGCTGTCTCCGCTATTGTGAGAACGAGTGGAAGAGTGTATTCCGTCGTCGCCGTCAAAATCAAAATCTGTCCCATAATCGTTATCATCTTCAGTGTCATGAGCACATGGAACTGTTCTCCCGCCAGAATACACTGCATATTCTGAAAGACGAACGTATAAGGGTACAGCGACTAGCCCGAGAGTACCTTCATTGAATGGAATGGGTCGGTGTCCAGCTTCTTGACGAGGGTTCGGGGTAAGATTGGCGTTGTTCAGAGGATTTTGAACAGCAACAACAGCGGGGTGAGGTTCGTCTTCGTGGTTGTCATTGTCGGGTAGAGGAAATTGGTTATGGGGAAGTATGAGTTCTTGCTGATTTGCTGTCGGTGCAGGGGGTAGAAGGAGTGCACGGAGATGTGTCTCGTCCGGGATCTTCATAATAATTTGAATTAGCATACCCGAAGACGATCAGATAAGAGGCAGGTTGGGAGTGATTCGACAAAATATTGTGAACAAAGTAACGGAGAGTACTTACGATCATCCGTCCTGTCCATAATCCGTTGAGCGAACCGGGCGTGAAGACGGCACCTTTTTGAGGATATCCAGTAAGCATAGTATGATTTCGTTGCATATCGTTGTCAACTTGTTCGACTTGTGCTGATTCTTCTGCCCCTCCATTAACAGGCATATCTACGTGCTGCTGTCCGTCGCCGTCATAGTCACTCATCACCTCGTCGTTTTCGCCGTCGTCGTCGCAATCTTCTCCTTCTTCATCATTCACATCAGCTACGATACTTGTATCAGCGTTATTGGTGATGATACCGACATCGGAAGCGATGAGGTTATCTTCGGATTCGGGTTCTCCTTGACCCACCCAAGCCGAGCGACACAGTCGTAACCGCCACCAATCAGCGTCCCAACGACGGCTGGAGCATGCACTTTCGTCGATTTCACCACCAAATATTTGTTCTGCTGTGTCCAAATTCGACTCAGAAATATCTGTATGATTTAATCTGGGGTCGAGGAGATTAGGCAGTCTTTTGCGAGCATCGTCCCAAGGGTCGTATGTACGAGGTAACGGTGTCCCTCCACCTTTAGAAAAAGGTGAGGAAGGGACCATATCTCCGCCGAGTAGACCGGCATTGAGCTCTTCAAAATCTTCCTGTGTAGGCCGAGGAAGTTCACTTTGTAACACGGTCTCGACTTGAAATTCATCTATTTCGCCATTGCCTTGAGCCGCAAGCCGGGCGCGGATTCTAGCCCGATGTTCTTCCCTGTTTCGTGGTAATAGATCAAGGACACTAAAAAGCATCGTCTCACGACGGGAAAAGTATACCAATTTAGCAGCATCGGCTGCGAGCGGTGTGCATAAAGGAGTCCAGCGGTCAAAATGAGGTGTGAGCCAGGTATGTCGGTTGGGATGAAGGTAGATTGGGAAGGGACCGTGAGGAGTCGGGATACTGAATGGCGTCGAGGATGACGATGGGACGGAAGACCGGAGCGGAAGACGGAAGTGATTAGCTGGAGCAAAGGAGGAAGGATACCGAAAAGGAACGGCAAGGAATGGAAGGATAAGGTCAATGAGTGATTCTCGTTGCTCAGTAGATTCATCCATGAGACGGGCTACACAGAAATCATTAGTTTGAACGATTGAAAATAATGAACGATCGCTGACCTTTGCTTGAGAGATACCAAAAGACCCACATGGCACAGCTGTTTCCTGCATTAGCAAGCGGCCATCCTTTGTCAAGAGTCTTGTACATTTCCGTCCGGATATACCCTTCAACCCACTCATAGACACCGGCGAGCTGCATCTGGACCCGGTTACACCCATCATCCTCAAGGCACATAATCCACAACGCATACATCGTCTCTTGCACTCCGGCTTCTTCCGCGTCAGAAATGTCCATATACGGCTCAGATCCCAGTCTTCTGCGCCTGCTCCGTACACCTCTCAACACTTCGGACCACCATCGCAGCTGCCAAGACCATTCTCCAGCTTTCGGCTCAAATCCCCGTCGTCGGATCGCGCTGAAGGAGAATTTGTACTTGAATACACGCGCATACAGGTGCCGTGCTGCGCTCAGCTTGTATGATACAGCCTTGCAGAGCAGCAACAGTGCAGTAAGTGGAACTGGAGGTCCTAGTACTCGTGGACAGGCGTAGTAAAACGCGATGTGTTCCAGAATTTCTGTAGGAAGAGAAAAGAGTGTCGCCGTGGTTGTCTTCATAGACAAGGAAAGTGTTTCTGAGTTCATCGCCATCGCTATTCTTGGCCGGTCTGCGCTCATCATATCCGACGTTCTCGGTTTTCCAATCGCCCTTCTTGTTCGTCGTTTGTGGGCCAGAAGAAGAGAGTTTTGGTGGGGAGGAACTTGTCCAGCCTCACGGAGGAAGGACGAGTTATCTACAAAGTTACATACCCAAATTCACCGTGCGTATAATAGCGTAACACGCAAGTCGCCGCTATACTTTTGGAGTGCATGTAAAAAAAAACCATCGTGATTATGCAATCCATGGTACCTCAGCGGCTCAGCCACCGTTTGGCAACCCTGAATTCCGCCCTTGGTCCCGTCCTTCCTTTTCCGATTCAACGGCCTTTCCGTAAGATGTAATCTCCGCGATATTCATTGACGCTTGATCCCCGTGTCCTCATTCGGTTATTCTTACTTTTTCATTGTTTACTCCAGTTTTCTACTCATTCAGACTCATTCTCCCGTGGTAATGGTTTCTCGGCGGATTGGTATTTTGGAAAACGAGATACTACCGCTTGGAGACCACCCGGCTTACTCTCTCACCCAATAATCTCTAAACTTCTCACCCGGACAAACACTAAAATATTGAACGTTCGAGGTATACGTACACCCCTCTTGCAATGGAAGACCTCATTCTTAAAGACGCGGGTGACACGTCCTAGGATCAGCCTGGATCAGCCCAGTATAGCTGTGGGAGGAAGGATTCCTCTATCTATCATTGGCTCTTCGAGGGTTCTTCTGCTCGCACACTTGGCGACTCTTAGTCTCGGTTCCCCATCTCCATGATACGGGATTCAACGTGCATCATCGTATGGCTTAAGTATACCCCAGTAACTTCACCGCTCTTCACCGTCTGTCCAGGACCTTCAGGCAGGCATAACTGACTCCTCGAAGGGATAGGATCACTCGGATTCACCCCATGCTGTAAAGATGGTCACGGAAATAGCGAGTATGCATATGGTAAAACACCGTCGATCTGAAGGAAGCAGACTAATACTGATGTTATCATGCTCACGTTTCCTGTGTAGCTTTGCGCTATCCCAGCATATCCCAAGACTTTCCAAACTTGTTTCAACTTATTCCAACGGCATATTCCCTCATATTCCCTGATTTTTTTTACTCTTGGCTTCATGCTTTCAATCAGGCTTACAGACCAGCGTTGAAGCGTTGAACTGAGCTTGAAAAGTTGATATGGAATTGTGGGGAAAGAATGGAGAAGCAACGTTAACCACGGACGATCCTCACAACATAACGAAAATCACAAGTCAACAATCGTCTCTTTGATTCTTCGACTCGGAAACTTCCAGGTAATACATAAGTCGAAATCCAGCGCTCTATTAATGATTGAACCCGTTTCCTTGTTCTCAGGCTTTCGGTCTCGATTCAGAGAACCTTACTTGCGGACGATATTACTAGCTACCTTTGACCAGCGGATCCTGCCACGGAGACCAAGATAAAACAAAGGATAAGAACAATCAGGAACAGTTACACCGAATAGTTGAAACCCCCGAGGAAGAAGCACAGGAAGTATTACAGTTGCAATCGAAGTAACGAACAATATCAGACGATATCCTGGTCCAAAAAATCGGGTAACCGGACGTGTAAAGTGGTACTGAACTTTTTTACTTTGTCTCCCACTCCGCATTACCAGACACAATTCAGCCCCTCGCCGACTCTCGGTTCCCACAGGTCCCCACTCCCCACCTCCAGGTACCAACGCTGAAAACCGTCGAACTGACTACATAATTATTACGACCTCCTTGACCTCCACAGATATATATTTTGTCTGCAGCCCGTCATGCATATATATATGAACGACGACGATACCGCTCGGTGTTCAGCATGGAAACGCCATCGTAGTCGGCTACATTGCTAGTCAAAACAAGATATCTGTCAGTCCCCAAGTAAAAGCTCGGGAGCCGTGTTGACAGTTAATCCTGTCAGTCAATCTTGCGCTTACTATGCAGGTCCCAGACCTTTGGAGTACCATTCGAGGTCAGAGGACCATGAGACAACGAGCATCGGGCCTTGCGGTCCTTTTCCGTCTCCCTCAATCTACGAGTGTCCGCCTGGTTTGCACGGCGCAGCCATAACCTTGGTACGCATGAATTATGGACAGATTCCGCTTCTTCGCAAAACATGGAGTCGAGCATTTTCATCGACCATTTCCCTACATCGTAGTCGGCTACATTGCTAGTCAAAACAAGATATCTGTCAGTCCCCAAGTAAAAGCTCGGGAGCCGTGTTGACAGTTAATCCTGTCAGTCAATCTTGCGCTTACTATGCAGGTCCCAGACCTTTGGAGTACCATTCGAGGTCAGAGGACCATGAGACAACGAGCATCGGGCCTTGCGGTCCTTTTCCGTCTCCCTCAATCTACGAGTGTCCGCCTGGTTTGCACGGCGCAGCCATAACCTTGGTACGCATGAATTATGGACAGATTCCGCTTCTTCGCAAAACATGGAGTCGAGCATTTTCATCGACCATTTCCCTATCTCCGTCTGCATATAATATGCATATAATGAAAGAGCGAGAATAAAAGGAGTACTTTTCCTCGTAGAACCTCGTGGAAAATCATAGTTGAGCCGTTGAACCGTTCGATATACCCGTGTCGGACGGATTCGAAGAAATCTACTCTATGTAGAGCCCTTCCAAGTTCCCGAGGCTTTACCCTGCTTTACCAAGCTTTTACAAACCTCCCTCTGCGCAGATATGTAAGTACATCAACGCCCAGTCATAGCAGGAGTAGAACAATTCAACAACTTATCATGCGTCGGCTGTGAGTGCTCATCTCGCTCATCACACGATTTTCATAGGTTTCCCTAGGTTCCACGAATAGCAACAAACGGCCTTTGGATTCACAGTGCCGCTCGTACATCTAGGTACACCTGCTGTACAACGGCGAACAAGGAGGACTATCAGAGTAAACCATCGGATATCCGAGTCTTCGCTGTCCTCATTTGATTTTCTTGGTATGATTCTGCCAGGATTCTGCTTTCCAAACTTCTGGGTACGATTGTTTGCTGACTATATGTGCATTGATTGTTGTAGGCCGCCCATTGAAAGACACGTCCCTCACAATTTGACCACCAAGCTCGCACAAATTCGTCTTGTCAAAACCGATTGAAGAGTGCTCAGTAAGGCTCAAGAGTGCTTTATAAGTCAGTCGGTCCAATCTGTAAGTCCCAGGTAAGTTACTTACTTGGCCTCGACAGCGCTCAACCCTTACAACATCCATGTTGGCCCTTGATCTCTTAAGTCTTGTGCTCATTTCAAGTACATGTCACATATGTATACTTGTTGATTGTAGGTGTAAGTACCGCATGGTTTAGCTCGTATTCCAGGGCATACATCCACTTATTCCTGCACCCTATTCTGATTTATTATTTCTTTCGCCCTGGCAGAGAGTGGATGCTGGCCCTTCAATGACGCTGGCCAAATACTGGGAAGCATCCATCATCTCCCATCCGAGGTGATAGAATATGAGAACGGCGGATTGGTTCATTGTGTCCTCCATTGAACATCACAGCAACAATGATAACACCAATATTTTAGTGAGTGCATACATATCTCGAGTTGGTAATCTCCCAAATGTACGTACGGAAGAGTCAAATTCTCTTGCATTACTCCGGTTTTTCTTACAAGTTGATCAATGTACTTTTGAGCACACAAAATTGAAGTTGCTATCGGACACTCCAGGTTCCGAACTTAAAGTCACTTTACTTCTCTGAGTCCTCGTTGCTGCTTGTTTCCAGCGCTCTTTTGAACTTCGATTCATCAGCTTTATATGTATTCATTCACAATATATATATCCTTTTGCTATGAAGGCTGCTACAAGTAGGCATCTCCAAGAGACTCCGACGTGGATATCATGAGCTCCTCCAGCCGGGGTATGCCTGCCTGCCTGACGGTATAAACACGTACTCAAAGGTAGTTTCTGATGATAAGTTTAACTACGTGCCTAAGTATATGTACTTACTTAGTCGTCTTCAACCGTCCCAGCGGTTCACTATGCTGATTCCTGACAACCAACTATTAGTCATCGTAGCTCGAGCGCTCGATGTCTAATCAAGACCTGATGCCTCGATATCAGAAGTCCAATCTGGACAGTTGAGTGCTGAAAGATGCCGCTGGCCCATGGAAGGTTCAAATGGTTGAATTCTGCAGGAGTGTATCTAATATTATCAAGAATCAGAAGAGGTTACACGCTGCACAGAACTGAAATTTTGAGAGCAAAAACAGGACGGGTCAAGTACAGGTGTACACTGTACAAAGCATGTATGTATCTCTACTACTATTCCCGCTACCTCTTTAGAGGTAGAAGGGTCTCACAGAAGCTTACAGACCCAACATTTTGATTTTGCCATCAAATGTCCTGCCACGTGTTTTAGTCATGCAATTTCAGTCATTTAATTTGCTCTACATCTGCAAAACCTGTATGTTCGCCAGAGCAAGGGTACTGGCTGGAGAGCGCTCTCCAGCATCGAAAGCACCGAAAGCAAGATTTTCAACTTGCTTTCGGTGCTTTGGCTGCTGGGAAGCGCTCTCAGCTGCTCTCGGATGGTTAGCCGAAAATACATGTTTTGCAGATGTACAGTTTCTTTCACATTCTATGTTAACTCTGCAGCCTCTACAATAACAACACATTGTCCTCCTCTTCCTGCGAGAAGAGCAAAGAACAGAGTTCTGAGCGGCTCTCGCAGGTGAATTTGTAAGCAGCATATTAGGCCCTTGCAATTACTATCAAGGTAGCGGGCTCTGCCACTCGCTGGCGCTGATTGGATATATCATATAAATAACTCGAGTGTATACGTTATGGCTCTGATATTATGCTAATGTCGAGGAAACCAATCCCCAGGTTTCCCATCCAGTCGTTCCGATCGGATATGGTGCTCGAACTTTATGCTATGTGTATGGAATCTTGACTCGGGGCCTCTTGGGACAGCTTGGGACAGCTTGGGACTCGCAAATGGATCGCCTGTGACCTCACACTCGTTCAAGGTGTAAGCATCTTCTGGATATCCCCGAGCCTTCTTGAATCCATCTCTTGCAGACCCTTTAGGCTTCCCTACTTCCCACACTCGGAGACATTCCCGAGTCGCGCGATTCTTCGTTACATATATGATACTTCTCAGATTGGCTCTTTTCTCCGATTATGGCGAGTGCCAAGGGCAAGGCGCAAGGTGAATCTCATTGTTACAAGTGTCTACCATAAGTACTAGTAAAGAGTTACAGATACTTATGTATCTCCTTCCCAATAGATCATGTCACGGAAGTTGTCTTCCTTTACTACGGAATTCATGTGCTTGGTCGAAGATCGAATCGTACTTGCTACTTATGTACTACTGTAAATTTAGCTAACAAAATTCTACCTGCTATTTATAAGACAAGGAGATGATATGTTACTGTGTACAGAAATCATTCTGAAATTTATAATTTACCCCACTAATTATTGCCCATGACTACACCACAAATAATTGTTGTCGTCTATTGAACGGCTTATCGTCTATTGAACGGCTCATGTAGTGTAAGGGATACTAGTACTCCAGCTTCGTTGTTTGATTTTATCGGTTTTGTGTATCATGGCCGGCATATGATTTATCTACTGCGGGACTCGAGGCGTATCTTTGGTCACTATGAATATATGTCTATGGGTTTCAATGAAATCCTGAAAGATTAACCACCCCAGGGCTACAAGACAAGCCGACCAGAAGGGACTTCAAATTAGCCTTTGAATTCGGGACGTCATGCCATTTTACCGCCATCACACTGCTGCTCCGCTCAGAACAGCCACCCCTGTTCATAATAGGGGCCAAAATCAACCTGATTTTGCATGTATATTGGTAAAATTTTCGGTCAAGAACGGGTGTTCATCTGCAAAACATGTATTTTCGGCTAACCATCCGAGAGCAGCTGAGAGCGCTTCCCAGCAGCCAAAGCACCGAAAGCAAGTTGAAAATCTTGCTTTCGGTGCTTTCGATGCTGGAGAGCGCTCTCCAGCCAGTACCCTTGCTCTGGCGAACATACAGGTTTTGCAGATGTTGACTGAAGCTTCGCATGAATTCCGGTCAATATCGGACCTGCACTCACTAGAACATTGGCATACTGTGATGAACTCAGAGTCTGCCATATTTTCTGGCTCAAATTTTCAAACTGAGGACCAGTTCTAATGCATTTCATGGAGCAGATTTACATTAGCGCTAAGCATAGGCACCAAAATATGTCTGGCTGTTCAAGTTTTAAGACCCAAATTTGGGGTCCATCGTGAAGTCAGTTCCAAAATTCGGTTGAACTTGTAGGATTCCTGAAGGATTTTATGAAGAAAATGTTCGGTTAAAATTAAGCCCATTTGGAAGGCTGAGGAACCAACCTCCCCTACCATAAACGGGGGTCCCCTCAAAACACCCTGGCGCCCATCTGCAAAACCTGTATTTTCGGACCCTTAGCCGAAAATACAGGTTTTGTAGATGCCTGTGACCTTCTGTAGCTCAGGCAAGCAGATTCAACAGGCTATTTGTCCCGAATTTGCTTGCAAAGATGATGGTAGCACTACATGATACATGCTACTTAATGTTTCACCATGTAACATATGTCTGAACCGCAAAGCACACAGTCTGACGGCACTCTAACACCACTATGCATAAAAGACTATAAGAAGATAGATCTATTCACTTCCGCCCTAGTTAATCAGAATCCGTCCGTCACGTATTGTAACGTATTGTGGGTCCATCGCTATCCATTGCGGGAATATCATATTATCAAGGACTTGACTGAGGCCAGCCTGAGACTGAGGCCTCATCAAATATCCAAGTATGTTGCCCAGTGCTCTCTTAGTTTCCAAAGCAACTACATGCTGCGCTCTCACAGTGATAGTATCTTTATCTACATAGTACCTCAAATTATGATGTTACGACTCATGTAGCGGAAGAGGATCATTGCAGCTGACTCCGAGTTGTGAGTTCATCAGAGTAACTGAGAATATTTTGCATACCACCAGTGTTTCCCAAATCCAATTATCCAAAAACTTACCGCGAAGAAACCGACCTGGACAGGTGTATAGATTGATCGATTGATTGATAGTTACTAAACGATGTTGTACTCATTTCTTCAGCACAACTCATCCAAAATATAATTACGGAAGTGGCAGGTCTGTATAAGGTCTGTCGATCATGCATACCACTTACCACCTCTTACCACCTAGTACTGAAGTACTGACGCGTTGCCGCTTCAATACCGTGTAAATATATAGGGCCATCTTAACAGCCCCTTCGTTTCATTGCATATCTAGGTGATCCCGAAAGGTATCCTAGAGCAATGACGTTGTCTCCCTAACTGAAATAGGGACAGGACACTGTAGGACGTTCCATTTGGATCGAGGAACGCTCGTAATTTTGGAAAAGAATCTGTAGCAAGTCCTGAAGATTGGAGATAGGTGATATTCCTGCAGGTCAACTTGAACGTTGTCCCATTTTCTCTGTTCTGCATTAATAATATGGTGTCCATTCCTCCATTATCTATTTCAGAACTTTAAGACAGAGTGAAAGGTTTGCATATGGGGCTGGTGACTGCCATAGATCAGTGAACCGTATTTTGAAAAAATGATCATGACTAAGTAAATCGCTACATGCTTCTGCTCAGTAAAGCTACAGTCCATTCCCAAGTCACGATGCTCACATCGTAGCACAATACGCAGGGGGCAAGATTTCGATTTCTACTATTCGCGTGGTAGTCGAGGTCGACAACTCTTCACGAGGCGACCTGGCGCTCACAAAAGTGGAACCCTCGGACCAACCACGAGGATTGTGCTTTTGAGCTCGGGGCGATTGAGTATGCCCATCATGATGGTCTACGGGGAAAAAATATGAAGGTTGAACTCGCAGATTTTGGCGGCGGACCTCGAGTGGACGGAGGCGATGTCTTCGCCAGAGAGAGAATAAAGCCACCCCTAGCAATAAAACGATCCTAATGGGAACAGCTATTTCTATTGCCATAAAATTTCGCGCGTTGGAATTCTTCACTGACAAACTGCTGGTGCTGGAAGTTGAGGGACTCGGAGATGAAGGCGACGGTGTAGGCAAATTCGTGGTTACAATGTTTGAAGGACCGGGGGTAATGGACTCAAGGCCATCGTCCGCCCTAAAATGCGGATTTAGTATTGATGCCAAACGAGCCTTGGCATTTGCATACGTGTAAAGGATGTAGTCTAGCAGAATCAGCGCATCGGTCCCGTTAGCGACTCCGTTTTGAACCATCAATGAATGTGTCCCGTATTTAAGAGACGGCATGGCAAAAACAGGTACGTTATATGTATAGGTATCCAGGTTCTCTGTCGGTGAGTTCTGGTACGTGCTGACTGGAACCCCATCCATATGAAAGCTTATGTCTGAGGCTCCAAAGATCGGATATGTCGCGCTATTGAGCATGATACAAAAAACATATACGGCAGTGCCTGATGGAGGATAAGAACCCTGATTGTGATATTATGGATATATGGATAGGAAACTTGCCGTTGAAGGTAATATTGGCCGTAAACGGCACATTGGGATCTGTCATTGTCTGCTGATTGGGAGGAGCATAAAACTAGTAAGATGAAGGAATCAGTGTTATTCGGTATTGAGATGACGGAAAGGCCACACAGCAGCATCATGCCAGGTATGATTGTAAGCCAAGGTGGCGTTAGGTTGAGCGTCACAGCCATGACAATCGTTTCCTATATTCCACGCTCCATAAGGGCTGTAGATCCAGGACGAATCGCTATCGTCAACGGTGTAATTGCGGAAAATTGCAGTGGCGTGAAATACATCTTGGAGAATTAGCAGTAGAACTACTAACTGTAAGAGAGTGTGAGCACAGTGACAAGTTGGCATTGTGTTTTAACGGCGGTAATGGTAGACTCGTCGAAAGAAGGAATGCGCAACGAGATGGTCCTTGGGCCTGCCAGTGCGTAATCGGACGACCTTGGTACAACTATAAAAACAATTTTATCATTGCTACGTGTGTTGGCGAGGGGAAAGCTTTATGTTCAAGTTGTACGTCGATGATGTCGTCTGCCAAAAATTAGGTAAGATAATCATTTCTACGCTCGTCGAGTAATATACTCACATCTGTAAAACAGCAAATTTTGACGCTACAAACAAGGACAGATGTACGTCTGATAGATCAACGACTGCACTGACCATGTTCGGCTGAGGATAACTTCTAGACAGTAAATGTGTTGCGTCGAATTTTGACGTTCAAACTTCTTCAATTTTGGGTTTATCGGACGAACTGCTTTGTGCACATTGGAAACTTACAGACCCGTATAGCTTAAACTTTACGTCTTGGTTAATGTTGACAGTCAGAGTCAAAACAGGCGTTACTTAATTTGTTCCTGATTCTCTTTTCTCGGAGAATTATTCTTGAAGTTGATTATTCTGTAGTTTCCGGGAAGAATACGACTGGTGGCATGATGATCAATTATTTAATGTAAGACGCTTCTTTTTTTGAGTGGCCCTCATGTCAGAGCACTATCATATGTGAACGCATGTGAGAGTTGGGTCTATCTTTCCCGTCTGAGACAGAGCTGTAGGGAATTCACCTTGATCGTATTCTTCCAATTACGCAGCAAAACTCTCGACAGGATTTCTGAAGAAGTTTTGGATGAATGATGGGCGCCATAGGCCACAGGTACTATCTTGATTTTACTCGATGCTTTGCGTGAAGAAAGGGACATCGAAAGATGGGATCGGTACTACTTGTACGGTGTTCATTTGCGTGTATATTGAGCAGCTTCATTTTAGTGACGCGTGGGTTCACGTTGGCGTATTGAATCGTAAGCGGAATATTCTTGATCATGATCAAAGGACAGCAGACTTGCATCGATATCTGTATATACTCTCAGACGAGTTTTCACTTATCAGAAAGCCAGGGTAAGACAAATGAGTGGCGGAAAGTACGCAAACCAACGCACGATATATCTAGCGCATGAGGTACAACGTCTGCATATCGGGTACACAACCCTTCTCCCGCGTAAAATAATCCACTAAGTCCTGTGCATTACACTTCACCGCAAGTTTCAACAATTCCTTCGAAACTTTCATTCGATCTTCCAGCCTTCTCCTTTTATGTACTTCACCAGAACTCCGCTCTATCAATAGTTTTACCATTCGTAAGTCTTTCCGTCGAATAGCCACGCGGACGGCAAGGTTGTCCTTGTATGTGGGCGAAGCACCTTTATCAAGTAGAAGCCTGACAAGAGCGTAAAATTCAGTCTGAACTGCTTTGGTGAGGGCGTAACCGTTGATGGAGTTAAGGTCCAGAGAGAATCCGGCAGTATATAAGTCGCGGATGAACGGCAGAGGATGATCTTGATCGGTCCACTTGGAGCTGGCCCTCCGAGTACCCAGGTCACGGAAGAGACGTTTGGGTAGCTCCAACACAGTGACAGGGTTCCTACTTTGGAGTTTGATAAATCGGAGGACCTCCAGTGAACATAATGGGTATCGAAGAGCTTTCGTGTACAAATTTTCCGAGCTACCAGATGAGCACAGGAAGATGTATTCCGCTCGGAAAGATGAGGGTGCAGATTTGAATATCAGGTGAAGAGAGTGGGATGTGTATGGAAGAGAATGTGATAGAGCGTAAAGCTGGATTTCATACAAAAGCTTGGGGAGTAATGAGCGCTTGATCCAAGCTTCGGGTAATAAAGCCCTCACCTCTACAGGTAGCAGTTCCAGGCATGATTTTGAAAGACGTCGAAGCTTCAATCCATCTTTCATGGTAAATAAGTAAGAAGAAAAGTGATAAGATTAGATTAGAGAACGATCACATGTCTCAACGAGTTGGCTTTTACGGCCCGAGTAACCGCTTGTTGAACCTCGAACGCGACCATGCTCGCAATCACAAGCACCGAAGCCCTTAGCATACTTGATCATATCGTGTTGAAAAAGGCCCCGTCATCTTATCCATCTACCGTCGCTCTCCTTTCCCCTCCCGTAGCCAGTTCATGGTCTTCTGACAACAAATTCCTTTTTATCGCCTCTGCAGATACAATTCACAGATACGATGCCGAGCACCACTCTATAGTGGATATTTTCTCTACCTCAGAATCTATAACGTCCTTGGTAGTTAAAGGAAAATCCTCAGTGATTTTTGGTGCAGGTGAAAGGGTCCACGTTCTAGAGTGTGGCTCGACGACGAAGATTTCCCAAACATTCGTTTCCCACCAGGATTCCGTCAAATCTCTGTCTTCGTCCTGTGACTCGACTCTATTGGCCTCTACCTCATCCAAAGCTGCATATGTGCACAATCTCACGCTGATTTCACATACAGCCCTGCGAGGCTTGCCTGTATCTGACCAACAGTCTATCACGACGTGCACATTCCACTCTCATGCTCGGACACGCTTATTGCTTGGTATCGGAAAGAAGGTCGTTATATATGATATCAATCGCCCATCTGGACCCGCTAAGGTTATTTCCCTGAGCGAGACTTCTTCTGGTAACATCTGTGCGATCTCATGTAGCCCTTTCAGCAAAACTTTGATTGCAGTTGCTACTACCGGAGGAACCCTTGGGCTCATTGATCTTGACAAGGAAAAAGGGTATGTCTCTGGACTTGTACTCATTTATGCCTTGAAGTTCATGGTTCCTCATAGACTTTTCCGAACCATCAATGTCAAAGTGCCGATTGCCTCTCTCTCCTTCTCCCAAGAAGGCGCCAGTGTCTATTTAGGAACGGAGAACGGCAAACTTCTCATTTTGGATTTGCGTTCACTTGATAAACCTCCTAAATCCGTAGTCCTTAGTGAGAATGGTGCACGATTGGCAACAATGAGTGTTCAGGTGCGCGCAAAATATTTCTATATTTCAAGATATTGATTCATTTCTTACACAAAGGCCAAATCAGCCTCAGAAACAACCAAGAACCCCCCTGCGACTACCAAAAGCACCGAACTCTCTAAACCTACCTCACGCAAGCCATCAGCTACCATCGCCTCTGTAAACAAACCCTCGCCTGCTAGACGCATTGTGTCAGTCTCATCAAAGGGCAAAGAGCCCGCAAGGCTGACCGCAGGTACTGAAAGAGTTTCTGCCGCAAAGGAGAAGGAAGGTGTCAACAAGAAGGTATTCTCACCTCTGAGGAACCTGCTGAGCATCAGTAACGGAGGAAATACAAGTCTCAATCATAGTGATGAGTTTTCTCGTGAGCATCCCACTATTTATGATCCATTACTCAGCCTTAATACTTGCTTGAACAGTACAAATCGATACCCTGCCTGTCGTGCGTGACAAATCTAAGGTGTCTAGACCAGCACCAGTTCGAGATACTCCCGAGCGAGTACGAGATCCCGCGTCCTCTGCTCTTTCCAACTCGGATTCCGCTTCTCGGATTGGTACATCCGCTAGACTCCGTCCACGACCTCAGCCTTCACCTCTATCTGCATCCGCCTCCAGGTCTAAGTTATCTCCAAAAGAGGATCTTCGACGTACACGCACTGTTTCCACGACTTCCAGGACGGCGGCAGTATCTTCGCCACTTTCTGCTTCAACATCAAAGAAAGTCAATGAAGATGCCACGGGTGTTTCTCGCAGGACGCGGACTGTATCTACCAGCTCTACTCGTACATCGAGGGCTCCGAAAGCTTCCGACGTCACAGTTACAACAACGGAGTCAATCTCTGCAGCTGCAACACGTACAAGGACAGAGGTAGATCATCTTTCTGTACCGAAAGACGTCAAAAAGTCGAGGGTTATCTTCCCTAGCTCACACGCTTCATCGTCGAAAGTAGAAACAAAGACTGGTTCTACTTCCGGAGCAGGTCCACAGTCCAACGCTCGCACACCGTCCCCCGATTTATCTGATATTGAAGCTATGACAAGTTCTGGTCCTGGTCCTGTTACACCGTTGCCTGCTAGTAGACGTAGAGGGATGGCTTCCCCAGTGCTCGGCGCGCCGGTAGGCATTGAGGTCAATGCAGATGATGACGTCGACCTGCCGGTACCGGGAAACAAATCTCGAAAGAGAGATTCCGGTAAAGGCAAGGCAAGAACTGTGCTTTTCCAAGACTCCGGGAAGGAATTTGACAATGGGTGCGCTGTTCGCGAGGCAAGCTCAGATGATGATATTGAGTCGGAGAAAGAAAACCAACGGGAGGAAAGTGTTTCCTGGCAAATATCACCCCGAAGACCTGGGTCTATAGGTCCCTCCGGTGGTCCATCCGCCTCGTCCATGCCTTGGAACGGATCTCCCATTCGTCATTCCCAGTCATATCTCCACAAGCAATATGCTAACATCCCAGGATCTCCTGGTGGAACTTCCCCACAAGGTCTTTTACGAAACATCGTTCGAGATGTGATGTATGACTTTCACCAAGAGTCTCGCGCGGAGATGATGAGTTTGCATCTGGACCTAGTCAGCATGGGAAGGGGATGGAAGAAGGAATTAAGAGAGCTGATGGGTGAGTACGGTGGAGAGTTGAAGGAGCTTAGGGAAGAAAATCGAAGGTTAAGGGAAGAGAACGAAAGGCTACGGAGGGGATATTAGACATGTTTAGGACCCGAAGTTTGAAAATCAATGTGTTACATTGGGTTACATTGCTTTCAATCGGATTTGCATTGCTGGGCCGAAACCGCCCCCCATAAAGGTGCGAAACGCATCTCTTACTATGTATACACCCTGGCCATCTTGTGATTTATTTACGAAGAGTCTCGTTCCTGTATTGCTGTACTGAATACTTATATACTTATTGCCTTGGCCGTGACATTGCTTCTCGAGACAAGGAGTTAGCAGGGGAAGGGGCTGAAGCACAGCTAAATCTGGGTTAGGGTCTAAATAGGCGGCCCGCTGATCCGATCGCTACACGTCCTGCGACGTGTAACATCCGAGGTATCATAAAAATAAAAAGCCACTGGCCAGCTCATTTCTGACCTTGTTATCATGTCCTTCATAAGGTATTAACGCTGCTCTCCGATGTCTCCAGTCTCTGACCTGTTGTATCAAGGTTGATATTCTGCGTTGCTGGAGTCTATTCCATGTTTCTAGTACGCCAGCCTTTCTCTGTGTCCTGCGTTGGTATTCATCGTATTGTAGTGGTGGGCCATAGCACAAGAACGACGTACGCTAATCTTCCTGTTTCTCATCATTTTTTAAACTCAGGACGCGTTGCAGTATCCGTTCCATTTCAATCTATAGATGGCGAATCATCCGCGAAATTTCGCTCCGCCCTTTTCCTCGGCACCTGCCAGAGCTTTCTGAGCTCATTATCTGCTTTGATGTATATCCTAGTCCGCAAGAAATCCTCGGAGACACTTATACAGGCACTGGGATTCCATGACAAAAATTCTGGAGTGCCTGCCTCCGCCTCTACTGCTAACGGCAAAGCACACACCCACACCCACCATACCAATGGATCAGCCAAACCAAGACCCGACACACGATTCTCCTCCAAAGCGCTCCTACTTAGCTACGCCCAATGCGCCACTTTCATCACATTCGCCGCGCCCTTCGGTTTCGCTGCCCTCTCCTATATATCTTACCCCGCGATGGTCCTCGGAAAATCATGCAAACTTGTTCCGGTAATGATCATGAACGTTTTGCTCTACCGTCGTCGATTTGCGCCCCACAAATATCTCGTTGTTTTCATGGTCACTACTGGGATAACCATTTTTATGGGCTTCGGCTCTGATAGCCAAAAACACGGTGGTAAAAAGGCAGTTTCTGCTTCAATGGACCATGGGTCGACGCCATACGCGTCGTTAATAGGCGCTTCTTACCTCTTGATTAACCTGGCCTTGGACGGCGCGATAAATTCGACACAGGACGAGATTTTTTCGCGTTACAAGATTTCTGGACAGCAGATGATGCTTTGGATTAATTTGATGTGTACATGCATCTCCTTCGTGCTTATGGTGCTACCCCTTCCGTCTATTCCGGTTTTATTGCCTTCTGGAAACGGCAGATCTGAACTCGTCGCAGCGTTGACCTTCGTCCAGCAACACCCTGGAATAATATCACCCTTAATCGAATTCAGCGTTACTGGAGCACTGGGACAATTATTTATCTTTGAAACGTTGCAGCATTTCGGTTCACTGACATTGGTGTACGTAGTCTATCGCTCAATCTCTTCACTTCCCTGACGTTCGCTTCACAGGACAATTACACTAACGCGCAAAATGTTCACAATGTTACTCTCTGTAGTCGTATACAATCATCAACTCACGCCCGGGCAGTGGCTCGGCGCCGCCGTTGTTTTTGCTGGGATATCTGTTGAAGCATTCGTCAAACGAAACGGTGAGTAAACGATTGTTTCCTAAAAACTACAATGATGATACTAATGTAAAATGACGCTGCTTTGTGGAAAAACAGACGTACATGCGAAACGAGTGTTACAAGAGAAGGAAAAAGCCAAACTCAAGTCACTCTAACGTTGGGATGTGGTTGGCGTATAAATGTGGAAGATTAATGTATGAGCATGATGTGGGAGAAATGGCTACATTAGAGTCAGATGTGCGGGCAGGGCTAGAAAATATACGTTCGGAAAAAGGAACTGAGGACCAAGGACAATCCATCATGTTTCCATCGCATATGGGTCGTCTACTGATACCGGCATTATTGGCCGGTAGGTGTGCGTCGTGTGGTCAACCAACGGCCGTTTACGGTCGTCGTCCCTGTCGAACCTAGGAATAAGGATTTCTCGAGGACGCCACAAAATCAGACTCACCGATTCTCCTCCTCCTCATCGTCATCGCTCCGTTTCCTCCGCGAAACATTCCTAGGCATCGCAGGATACGATGACACTGCTCTGTTAGCTCTGTATATGGCCTCATATTCCTGTCGATTGATGGATTATCATATTGATTTATTTATTAATGTGCGTACTGCCAGCTACAGGAAACCATACCTTGATCTGTGTAAGAAATCCGCCGTTAGGCGATATACAATATCGGCGGTTCTGAACCATGTGTAGGGCGTCCTCCCAAGAGAGAGCGTAATGTTGCATAACGAACATTACAACGAATGATGGCGATAGACTGATACCTCCTGGTAAACAATCAGTTGCAATTCTCTTGCTAAAGGAGTCCGAGGGGACACGCGTACCGTTACAATGCACGAGGACGCGACCACCATTCGCAATCGCCGTATCGATGAATGCTTTTGCACTGCAGCATGATAAAAGAAACTGACATGTTAGTGAGTGCGATGCTACAGACAGACAAATAAGGACGCACGAGGGGAAAAGACGAATTAGATTCTGTTCCTCGTTGTCCTCCACGTCTAGGACTAGATACATGAACTGATCTGGGAATCTTGGTTTGACAGAGAAAGCCTCTTTCTGATCTCGTATACACACGCTGTAGATGTAGGATTTGTCATCGAGAGAGTGAATGAGTACCGATTACTGAACGCCAACGATAGAGATACAGACATATGTGAGATGTTCAAGCTCCGAAGCGTCTCTAGAGACTTCGAGGCAACAAAGGGACCAAGAAGGAGACCAGGAAGAATTTCCTGACATTCCCGACGCATTTCATATCTAAATCATCATCTCAAAACAGTTGTTCTTCGTGAACTTGTGACAATACCACCTACTTCCATTCCACGTCTCCCGGTCCCTGGATAACATTCTTGAGCTGCTCTTCAGTGAGATTCCCGTTGAACATGGTGAGTTGGAGGAGAAACTGAAAAGGATAGAATTGACGATGGAGGTCAATAGAGAAAGTGATGTTCAGTGGCAAAGCGGTGAATGAAATTGGCGTGACTAATTGGCGTCTAGACGCGTCGCCGCTTTCAATCATTCTTGAAATTTTCGAGGCCCTTTCATGTTGCATTCTGCAAGTGAAATTTACCAACCCATACACGACATGGTCCCTGACGACGATGCTGATTAAATCTCTCAGTGGCATAGCTCGGTTCGGTTTTCGCCGTTCCCGCGAAAGAAATTTCAGCAAAATGTGTCACCGGACATTTTCATTGGAATTATCGCGAGCTCAATTCGTTTCTTGCATGTCTTCTAACAATACCGGAACAATGCTGGCTGCAAGATGGCATCCCCCTTCGTACGATATCCGAGTAGAGAATGTTCCTGTTCCTCAGTAAGTCCTCGTACCAAATTCCGTTACTTTGACTGAGATCCTTGAAGAATCGAAGATCCGGATGATGCAGTCGTGAAAGTGACTGTAAGTTTTCTTTCACAAGTATTCAAATCCAGACTGTCATGAGCTCATAGAAGTGGAATGCTGTAGCTTGCTGGGCTTTGCGGTAGGTCACCCCCAATCGAGCTCGAGCTGTGTAAACTTGTTTCGACGTGCATAAACAGGCAGCGATCTGCACATCTATCGAGGACAACAGCCTATCACGAAAGTGTATGTGTTAACATCATTCCAATTCCTCGTCTATGCTGATCGAACTTCCACAGTCATATAACAGGCCATGAGTTTATCGGGTATCTAAATTATACTACCAGTTCCATAATCAACAAGTCAAATTTTGCCTCCTTAGGGAGGTCGTCAAATTGGGCTCCAACTATGGTCCCAACGCTGCTCGATCCACCAGTGGAAGACCGAATTTGTACGCAACGCTGAGCGTCGGGGACAAAGTCGTCGCGCCGTTCACGGTCAATTGTGGAGAATGCCAGTGAGAACACACATCCTATTTTCCTTCGAGACCAACCTTCACATGCTTCACACCTTATTCCCTTTGTTAGTGTATGTCGACTAGGATATACCGGGCGCTGTCCTGTTGGGGCGCTTTTCGGCAGTCCCAAGCTAGATGGAGGACAAGCCCAATACGTACGCGTACCCAAAGCCGGAGGAACACTATACAACCTCAGCTCCCCAGCTTCCTGGTCTAGCGCGCTCACTGCCACCTCCGACGTGGAAACTCTCCTCGAAAATATCTCAGATAGTTCTTTGCTACTTTTATCGGATATCCTTCCTACTGGAGTCTTTGCCGCTACGCAGCTCCTAGCCCATCCAAAGGTGCAGCCAATGCTTACAGGGAGGTCTTGGCCATCGAGCTTAAACCCTTCGAGCCCTACTATCGATCTCGGTTCTGGTTTACTGACTCAAGAGGACCGCCTCTTGACCATAGCTATGATCGGACTGGGTCCTGTGGGCGTGTGTGCTGCCGTAGCGCTACTTGATGCCTTAGTTCAGAAGGGTCTGCCGTATCGCATTGTGGCTATTGATATCAACCAAAGCCGGAGAGAGAAAATGGAAAAGGTGTACGAAGCAATTGGGTCCGATGGGAAAGGCCAGAATGGAGAATTCGTAGTGCAGGGTCTTGAAGAAGCGAAGGAGACGGTGGCGAAGTGGACTGGAGATGTTGGATGTACAGGTGTGTTGGAGGTAAGTACAAGATACGATAAATTTTTGGTCGGGAATGTGCTAATGTCGTTTTTGCTTGTCAGGTAGTTGGAAATAACAGCGCATTAACAGCGGCGTATGATCTCGCGCGACCATTCGGTGTCATCACCTCAGTAGGTGTACATGCACCGAAGAACGTTCCTTTCACTGGGCAAGATCTATACAATAAGAACATCTCGTTTGATTTCGGACGTTGTCCTGCTCGTGCGATGTTTCCCATGGCATTCGAATTGTTAGGTGTGTACTCATATCTACCCGCTTACTTATTCTCCGCTTTCTACATACTCCCGATCACTCGCTCGCATACTGATCTCATGTTCAACTCTTCTGTACACAGTAAAACGACAAGATGTATTTGGCAAAGTGGGCACAGAGAGTAGTCTGATTGACCGTGTTGTGGATATCAAGCAAGCTTCGGAAATGTATAGAGCTTTCGATCAGGGCCAGGTAGGGAAGGTGCTGTTCGATCCTTGGGACCAAGCTTGAGAATATTGGTTGGGCAAGATCAGGGCAAGATAGGTTTTACTAGTTTCTCTGAAATGAGAATATGTAGGATATGGAATGGCAGTTGTTTTTGCAGCCGACTCAGACGGCTTACAATGACATTGTGTGGCTCTCGATTTCGATTTATAAGACACGAACATCATGTTTGATTTAAATTCCCTTCATGGATACCGATGTTGCCAAGCTCACGTAAATGGTATCCCATTGGAGTTGACTTCGAGGATTGCGTGGATCGTTGGCCTTTGCTAACGAAGCATGATATCCCTGGAGCAAAACAATGTTTTTTCAGATTGAAATAGCTATCCTGGTCGCGCGATGTTCCTTACTCGTCCCTACTCTTCCATGCACTCCATCTTGTTACGGGCTCAATCGAACATAGATTGTTAGAAATTAACATAGAGGGTTGGCCTCCCGAATTGTGTTATTGCGGAGAGACACCTACCATCTCGAGCTCATGTAAGCTTCGGTCTCGCCGCGATGTGTTCCCGTACTGTACATAGTAGGTACTAGCATATAATGAGACTGTGCCAGAAAGATTGAGTAGGAAAAGTGACTGAGAATCTAGGACGAGTATGGAATATAAAATGCAGATACAATCGCAAGGTCCTCAACATATGATCCAAGCGGGAGTCAGCACGGCATGCACACCCTGAGTACAAGTATCATCGACTACAAGAGGCTATAAGGTTTTGAATTGGCGACAGCCAGGTGCTATTCGATTCATCAGGCCAAGAGTGAAGATTTGACAGTTGTTTGCAGTAAGATCATAAGTTGGCGGCATACTATCAATAGTCCTCTGTGCTACACTCATCGTCAGCATTCGAGGCCGATGATATATGTGAGACCAATTACCATGCCATTTGATTGTATCATCATCAAGATTAGTCCAGCCAACAGAGTACTTGGTAAAGCCATCGTACCATTCCTTTGGCTTATGCTGGTATAAAATGACACCAGAGGCCTTCTCCAGCTGGTGATAAGTGTCACCTATAAGCAGAGCCCAGTGTTTTGTCACATCCGGCACTGCTGAGAATTCCAATTGGGGAAGGACTACAGCGCGGCCCCAGGAAAGAACAGATCCGCCTAACCCTCGAGTGATGATGAAAACTTCCCGTGCTATCTCGGGTCCCCATTGAGGAGGTCTTGTACCATTAGATTGAACAACCATTTCGAGGGGTTTAATGAGGAATATGGGCAAAGATGATGTCAATTTGGACTCTTTTCCTGAGCCCCCATGACTCTTATACGGTGAAATGTGTTACACCCTTCACCCTAAGAGACACACCTTCTCAGCAAGGTCTTCAGGTGTTTGAAGACGCAACACTTACCGCATTTGCTGCCTGCCGTCCAGATCTTCACATTCAGCTATCGATTTCTTTTCGCAATTGGAAAGGCGACAGTGTTACACTGATTCACCCTACGATACACGGGTTGGCGGTGAGTTCTGGGGCGTGATTATTGTTCCAACTCCGCTTGGTTTATTTTTATCGAGGAAGTTCAGAAACAAGGAAACGACCGGACCGTGTTTAAGAACAGATGCGATACTCAAAATCTGAGAAAGAGGACGTTGCAATGGTATGAGAGCCATCCATTTTGACACCAGGTACAGCATCTATGTCACGAAACAAGCCAAAAGTGAAGGGCCGCCGTCACAGATAGCTCTTTTCGTGTGGAGCACTTAGTGGTGGCTGGTGGTGATGGTGTCTGGTCTGATCAAGATACTTCCACCAAATGCAGTCTTGCATGCGCTGTACACGTGAAGGTTAAAACATGGTCGGAGAAGAGCAACTTGTAGATGAACGCAGGGCGGAGGGTAGTAGAGATCATAGGCGTATGTTGTGATTGAAAGACAGTATCAATAATAACTCCGTGGCACGACAAATGGAGGAAAAATCGAACGAGGAAGTGTGTCGATTCCATGATTGAAAGTAGGATTGGAAAAGCAACGAGCCTCCAGCAGATCAGTACAGCCCCCGCTGGTTGCAATATGTAGAAAATAGGAATTGAGGGGCTGAGCACTAAGCATATAAGTTGTTCTATTCGGCGGAATTCAAGCCCGGCACTTGAAATGGCGTATAAGCATATATTTAATGAACATGGAAAAGCTTGAGCCAGCGGGATTTGGGGATATGTAGTAGACGATATCCTGGACTTATTCATTGTCGTGAAATCGAGCATTTGAAGCGCAGAGCAACGCCAAACTTCCCATGAGACATAAGGTCGTCTCATGAGGGCAATCATGAATGAAAAGAGAGTCGATCAGCGAGAGACTGAGCTGAAAATTCCAAGGAGCACTTACGATTATGGAGGCAAAATTCATACACAGTGCCAATGACGAGGAGACGGACGTACAAATTCTCGGCAAAATGTCAAAGATTCCGGAATGTTGAGAGGACAGAGGTACGAGAACGATGGAAGAGTTAGGTTGAATAGGGGCGATGTAAACAATCAAATCTATCGTATGATTCGATTACTACTCCTTTGGTAGGAGATTCAAGCACCTGCAGATTTTGGTATGCGTATAAACGGGTTGGAGAGCCGGCTTATGCTAGCCATGGAAGGCTCAGAAGATATTCTAGTCTGTGAAGAAGTACTGGTGCGAATGATCAGCAACAGTGCAGGTCAGAGTTGGAATAACTGGTTTAACACCAAACTAGCTGGTCGCCGCAGCTCCCTGCGCCTTATTATCTAGCTTTACTCACTTGCAGTTAATGAAGGATCAAAAAAACAGAGAGCACCACCAATTCTGTGGTTAGCAGCGGCGGTACTAGCCTCAGCTGGCGCCGCTGGTGCTTGAGAAACTCTGACCGGAAGGCTGTGTTTCTGCTGTGTGTATGTTCACTCAAGATAGAAAAACGCTTGCCTATCGCGTGGATCAGTCAAGACCTATAAGCCCAAGTGGTACAGAGCATGGCTACTGCAAAGAGTACAGAGGAATTTGCGTGGGGCGGCCGCGACGGAAGAAATCCTTTTCCCACGGTATATAACTCCAACTTTTTAGTTCGTCATCATGGATTCCGACGCTGATGAGATACCGTTTGTTGTCTTTTTCTTGCACACCTTCTAACTTCTAATCATATATCCATCCTTGACAGCGATCTTGTTCCTACTGAAGGGAATGTGCCATCACTCAGCGACAGAAGTCCCACTGCTCGACGGGTTCCGTTGACTATCATTTGTGGTTTCTTGGGAGCCGGGAAGTCAACGCTGTTGAGGAGAATACTGACCGAGCGACATGGATACCGGATAGCGGTGATTATGAACGAATTTGGGGATACAGCTGATATAGAAGGTAAGTAAGTACGTGCACTGAATGGGCCCCATAAACCAATGCTTACTAAATAAATTTCCATAGCTAAATCTGTCACCGTTGACGGCGAATCGACGACATTAGAGCTTGCAAATGGTTGCTTGTGCTGCAGTATCAAGGATTCCGGCGCAGCCGCTATTGAGAAATTAATGCAGAAACGAGGCGCTTTCGATCATATCCTTCTTGAAGCAACAGGTCTCGCAGATCCAGGTCCTATTGCGGGCATGTTTTGGCACAATGAAGAGTACATCGATGCCCAATCTATTGGCTCTGAGAACGGTATCGTACTGGATGGTGTAGTGTGCGTTGTGGATGCGGTATTTGGATTGAAGCAGATGGAAGAGGATCATTCAAATAACGGAGACGATGAACCTGGGGAAAGTTTGAAGCAAATTGCTGGTTCGGATGTGATAATCTTAAACAAGGTCGATCTGGTGCAGCCTTCTACACTTTCTGCGATAGAAGCAGCAATAAAACACGTCAATCCCGTTGCGCCACTTCACCGAACCGTTCGCGCGGAGCTTGATTTGGCTCATATACTCGGAATACAGGCGTATAGTACAGGTCGGCATCTTCCTCCCCGTGATGACCAGAATCAACCACACAACCACGACCACGAGCATGAGCATGAACACACCCACTCATCCTTTTCCGCTGCTGTCCCGCACTACGTTACCCGTGGTATTTCCAGTCTGCAATTATCTCTTCCTCCCCTCTCAGCTTCACAATTTGCTGCATTCGATGTCTGGATACGTACTATCTTATGGGAAAACTGTCTTCCAGAGTTAGAAGGCACCGACACTCAATCTAAAGAATCGGCATCGAAAGGCAACATCAACGTCCTACGGTGTAAGGGTCTGCTTACACTGACTTCCGGCGAAAAGCATGTTCTCCAAGGCGTGCGGAGCATGTACGAGATTATCCCTGTTAAGGGAGATGATGAGAGCACCAAGTCGGAATTCCCCTTTGCAGGAAAAGTGGTTCTCATAGGCAAAGGTCTCGGGGAGGATGTACGACGTAGTTTTATATCGAATGTTGTCGGCGAAGATTAAAGACTCATACATAGCTAATACTCGATTTTGTATTTGTTAGTCGCGAAACACAATTCATCTAATGTAAAGGGGATCAAAGACTCGGATCTATCTGGATCTATGTAAGACGTTTAGGAAATGGTGGTGGTGTATGGCAACAGGGACAGGACAGCTCGATTTTGGCCCGCCGGCCATCAATGCCGACCGAAGACCCCATGCACCTGTTGCATCACGTCGAGCGATAACCAGAGCCAGTGCCGTGCTGTTGATTTCTTTTTTTTTTGCTGGGAACGGTCGAAGCCCAAAAAGGCAAACCTGTCCAAATTCCCTACCTTGCCTAATTGAGCTTCCACCAGTAGCCCTCACGTGTTTCCTTCCAACTGCCACTTAGCTTTGCCTACGATGTATCTTTCCCACAGGACCATCTGTGCCCAGCTGGCTGGCTTGGCTCCTCCGAAAGGTTATTTGTGAGGTGAGCAATATTCTTCTTGATTTCTCCATCTTACCGCTACCGGCACATACTACCCACTCTATGCCCGGGCGGGTATTTGACCTTGGTGACAAACATGCTTATGCTGCCACAGTCACTCTTCATGTTCTAGTCCTTTGGAACCCTCTTATTGTGCTCATCAGAAGGAAGGAAACGGAAAAGAGTGTGCGCATCAAGGTGTGTGCTCATGTTCTGGTATTCAGCTTGATGCTGAATACGCTTGCTTCATAGCAGACTTCATAGCAAAGCTCATAAACAGACGGGGTTTTTGCTTGACATTAAAATAGTAATAGTACCTACGGCAAGGCAATGAATGAAGTGTTTAGTCAACGCGAGCCTGGGGAATTTCGTTCATCTTCGGCAAATTGAAGAATTCACAAAAACGATTGTTGCAATCATGATGAGTTTCCAAGCCTTCAAATCCCTCTGGCACATTCCCGTCTGCAAAGACTTGTCCAAGACTCCTGTATCATGTTAAACGTGAGCTGGAATAACTATCGCAAGAACAAGTTTAATACCTGTGGGTCATCAACTGACAGTCAGTGAGTGTCGAGCTATTCCCTGCAAGATAAAATTATCAACTAACAATAGCATAGTGGTACGGCAATATCTACCTTGATAGTCTGAGACGTAAGCAATTTTTCCTGTCTTCCAGTACATCACATGCTGGGTAAAGCGAAGAAAATCTGCGCGAACTGCATCTTCTGAGTTATTGAAAATCATGAAAATGTGAGGCATGTTCGACATGTATTTTTTGAATGGTCCCTTGTTCATGGCTAATAAATCTTCTTCTAATAGGAAAACTCGTGGCCTTGTACCTGGAGTAGACAGAGGAACTTGTTCTACTGCAAGAGCTGTTTGCACAAAGCGGAATTTCGGGATCTCGATAAACCGATCCACATTCTCGCTTGGGTTGACTGATTGGATATACGCGTACACCAAATTCAGTAGAGCTTGTCCGTATTGGATAACCTTAAGCTCCATAACCAAAGCACGGTGCTGGTTCTCTGGATCACATGGATAAAAGTGTTTGACCACGGTAGTTTCTCGACCCTTCGAAATATTTTCTGACGTTTTGCTGGGCTTGGAGTTAATGGAAGTTTTGGTAAAGAAAAGCTGCTTTACTGCAACTTCGGGGCCATCAAATACAGGAGGCTCGCTTTGACCTAGACTAGTCATTTTGAATTCCCCCTTCGCAGCCTTTTTTTCGCTCAGGTCGACAAAGAGGGTGCTAGGAGTACCCTCTTCGCAGTACTCCGACCAAGCAGCATTACGTCCTGCAAGCAGAATCAACTGATCGAGATGAAGATTCTTTGCATGAAAGACACGAACAGGTATTGCTGATTCCCGGACTAACATCAGATAAAGTGAGTTATAGTGTTTCAATACAAATGAACGATGCTCACGTATAGCAATATTATTTGTTGTCTTTGGCATCTTCTCTGCACGCAAAGCAGCCGCTAGCTTTTCTCTATCAGGTGAGCGATAAACAGATGGAATTTCTCCCTTCCGTGCCTTCTTGTATGATTCCTGAGGAGGTGTTGAAGGCTTGAATAAGCGACTCGATCCTACGGTAGGAGAGGGAGACCTTGTAGGAGCGCCCGTAGACTCCTGATCTTGCTCACAAGTCTTTGTTGCTTTTTGATACTCCACCTCGCCGATAATTCTATTTGGGACATGGAGAAGAATCGAAGCCTTATGGTCTTTTTTGAATGCAGGTGGTGCATTAGCCTTTTTTGGGTTCGAGTAGTACTGGGCTTTAATAGCATCGGTGTCATGAATATTCAGAGGTTCGAATTCAAGCCAATTTTTGTCCTTCATGCTGACGTCGCAAATAGATAAGGGGTGGTTGCTGGACCACTGTTGCCACATCGGCAAGATTTTTGAAAAGGCCAGGGCCTTTAGCGCATGCACGCCGATGTTGATATGAACTCCAGGAATGACAATCATAAGAGCCTGTAAAAAATCTTATGTTAACATTTAAATTATGGTGCAAGCAAGATGGTGCATACGCCGATGGGTTTCCAACTTTTTCTTCCTTCAGGAAGTTCGACCATTCTAACCTCAACCATAACCTTCTTCTCTATATCAGTTGCATAAGCCATACCAGCCATCTGGGAACGGTTTGCATTATAAACGGAGTGACTAGCAGTATATCCATATCCTTGGCCATTCAAGCTAGCAGCAAGCGAAGATGCCGGAGGTGCCAAAGTGGAAAGTGGTAAGGCTGATGGCAGTCCAGGTAGCCCAACCCGGACTCCAGAGGGGTTATGGGCTGTGGTAGGATGAAATCCAAATGAAGTAGAAGATCGGACCACTAAAGGTTGCGATGCTGAGGTAATGTATCCAGAGGAAGATGGTGGAGGTAGAGCAGGAACTAAAAATACTCGCCCAGCTCTATCCTGTATATATTGACTAGTAGTGCTGGCTGGCTGAGCAGCAGGTAAAGCTCCTACTCGAACCTCCTCTTGACCCGGTTCTATTTAATTTGTCAGATTTCTTGTGCACAAACAGAGATAAAGTTATACCTCCACGCTGTGCTCCTGCATTTTCTTTTCTAATACTTTCTGCCTCATCGATTTGAGGAGAAGGAAGTAGCGGAGAAGCCATTACATTTGCTGTATCTTATACACTATGTCAGTCTGATTCTGCAAAAAAAGAGTTAACCTACTGCTGATTCTCCGAGTTGTGGCTTTTTGGCGATAGTGTGCTGCACATTCTGGACAAAGCAGTCGCCCCCCTCCAGTATTTCCATTGAACCATTCACGTTTAACTCCCAGGGGAAGAACTTTCTTGCAGGTAGGCCGTTCGCATATCTCTGGTTCATCACCAGTATTGGTAAATTCGGCTTGCAATTCATGGCCAGGTACGTTTTGAAAGGTTAAGTTATCAGTTGTTTGTATCGGAGTAGACATTTTTGGTTCAAATGGAGTCAGGAGCAGAGGTTTCACGATCGCAATAAAACATCTTATGCTTAATCATCAAAAATCAAATTCTTCTATACACAGCTTTACTATGCTTCGTCCTCTAAGTCTGTCCAGTCAGCATACTCTCTGTGATCCTCATCATCTCCACTTTCAGACTCTTGCTCCTGTATATCAAATACTACACCCTCCCCCAAATTTATCCCTCCCATGTAACGAGGACCACCTGGAACAATTTCAAGGCCTTCACGCAGTTCCTCTAAGCCGGGGATCAACGGCATTTCACAGTTAAAAGCTGCATCCGATCCTTGCAAAACTGTCTGAAAAGATTCAGTTTGAGCTTCCCTAAGTAGTCGCAAACCTTCGAGCATATCCGAGTACACTCCCCATAGATTGTTTAATGTTATGACAGGGCTACCGAGTGATGCATAGACAGTGTCGGCCAGCACTTGGAATTCAGGTGGAGTGAGTTGCAGAGCAGGGTCATCAGGTGGTGCGTATTTCGCTTCCATCTCATCGAAAAGCTCATGAGGAACTTTCACCTAGTACGCAACAGTTAGAGTAAGGACCATAGATATCTAATTCAATCACATACCGTAAAATCCTCTGTATTGTACAAGTGTGGTTTGGCACAGATTATATCTGGAATTCCTTGCGGTAAAACCTTGCGCTTGTCAGGCCGTCTGGGACTAGAATTATAGCGACGGGCATATGAGTCACACAGTGCTTGAATCATAGGTATGGCCAAGAACCGCAGTGTCAACCTAAAGAATTCTGTAAAGGAAATAGTTGCTTCATATATTGGCAGCACATACTTTTCCAGAGGATTGTTAATGTCAAATAATCCATTGATGACGCCACGTTCAAGAACATTTTCAATCCCAGGAAAAAAATTTCTCCGCATCTGGGACCATACTGATTCTGGTTTGACGTTCTGAGTATGGTTCTTCCACCGATGCTGACGGGTGTTCTGAAGACTTGGATCAAGACGGTGTCGAATAGCAGTTTGACAGTTTGCGGGGCCATAGTTTTCTGAGCCTGGGTCACTTTGCGAAACTAAAGGAACACCTAAACAGATACATATTCAGAATGACACTTGCAACAAACATTAAGCCTCACACCTCCTCTTTCTCGTGAAGAGTCTAGGAAATACTTTGATGTAACCTTGGGATTGCGATTTGACCACCAAACTCGAAACCAAGCAATCCGTCCAGGAAAAGGGTCAAAGCCCAGATGATACCGTAAGCCAAACCGCTGGTGCTTATCATGCTGGTCCATAGTAAGGACATCCATGATTCCCGCAGCCCAGAATCGCCGTCGCTTGAAACGTTTGTATTTTCGTTGCTTAACTTTATCGGGCTCAAATTTTTTGAAAAAATCATTTAACAGCTTTCTATAGTATCCTGATCAACTATTTTGTGAATCTGTAGAAATGTTTAAACCCACTCTGGAACTTTAATGCCATATTCCTGTCTCAAGACTGTCACCATAGCGCGTGCTCCCATATTTGGGTATAACTCGCGAAGCTCCAGAAAATAAGGCATTATGGTTTCGAATGAAGCTTTTCTTTGATGTGTACCCAGAAGCTGAAGGTCATTCCGTATTCGTTGAACAGATTTGTAGCTACAAGAAAGAATAAACAATTAGGAATTGAGGCAAGCAAGGAGAATATATAAATACCTTATACCATACTCTTCATGGTTGAAGTGATCCATCACATGGTTGGCGATATCCTTGTCACTAAAGCCTAGATGCCAGTAGTAATGTACCCATCGTAGGAGATCAGACCTAGGTTGTGCTGATGTCCCGTTTAGTTAGGTCATGTCGAGCAATAGAAACATCTAAAAGGCTCACGAAGAGGCAGGTGTTGGTTTTTCTTGGGTTTCTTTTCAGGAGTAGGGGCATCTGATGATTGTATATTGATACGTCGTTTAGAAGACATGTGGGATAGTTATGTGTACAAAGACAAAGATATCGATATCAAGATTATATAAGCTAGTCTAGCTGGAGTTTCCATCGAACATGCCTGACTTCAAATCTCCAGGCCAATAGTTCACATTGTATTGTTGACAGTGCACATCCATACCCCAATGGCTCGTCCTTGTGCTTTTTTGACAATCTATCTTCAAGTTTGAGTAACTTACGAGCCCATAATGATCAAAAATACTTATGATTGAATTCCATGTTCACTGAAAAATTCGTCTTCATCAAGCATCTTCTGCAAGACTGACTAGACGTTCTTTGCTAGCCAGCACCAACAATCGACGCTGATCCCTTCCTCCGACTAAAGCAGAGAAGAAAAAAGATAAGAAATGATGCTTACAGAGATGAGTCAACTTACTTACCTTTCATATTGGCGATGTTCCTGTCCGGAACCCCCGGTCGATTGTCAATGAACCATTCCATACGTTTCTTGAATCCGGGCAAGCATTTCAGAACCGAAGGCTCCAAGACCATTGTCGCATATAGAGGAATTAAGCCGACGAGACTGCGAACAGGCAACTGCATGGTGTTGCCGGGACCAAATGAAATCGCATCGTAGTACATTCCGTCTTCTTCGTTCCACAGACTTGATTCGTTATCACCAGCTTTGTATGTCATAGCATCAGAAATGAAAGGGAAGTGCTTTAAAAAAAGGTTAGTAAGGAATCGTCGCGATTATCGTGGCAAACCTGAAAAAGCTTCATACACGTGGTTGTGTTTAGCGAGTTCAAGGGCAATATTAAGCCTAAACATGACGTTCAATAGATGAAGATGGAACTCATGAAAGAAAACTTACATGTTTAAACAATAGAAAGCCATCCAAGCGGTACCATCTGGCTTGACGCAAGTTTCCTCCAGTCAGAAGAAGTTCAGAATGGTTAAAAAGACCAATATTGTCCAGCCCTAGAAAACCACCTTTGAAGACGTTGCTCCCTTCAGCGTCTTTTCAATTGACCCACCTAAAACAACCTTTCAGAACGACGAGTTAGATCAAAAGATAAGAAGTACGACTAACCAGGTGAAATTCAATAACAGCTTTTGAAATACTCTTTCCAAGAATTCAAGATCTTCGCGATCATAAAGTTTTCGTTCGATTTTGAAGACTCGGAAAGTGGCCCTGGAAATTTAATAAAAATCAAAATTCAAAGATGATAAGGCAATTGTCGCATGCATACCAGGCGTGTACAGGTGGGTTCACATCGCCAAAGTTCCACTTGTAGGCGGGAAGTTGACCGTCGGGCTTCATGGTACCACTCCCTAGTCATGAGATCCAGCTGTTTATTAGCATATGCAGGGTCAACGACTGCAAGAGGAATGCAATGGAAAGCAGTGTCCCATGCAGCGAAGAATGGATATATCCATCTAGTGATCGATGTTAGTTATGGCGATCAGATATCTCAGTAGTAAAATACGTGCTCGTCAAATTCGGAGCCAGCAGTAGAGTAGACACGAGGTCAAGAGCGAATCTTATATGAGAAGAAGTCTTCATTGCCCTCAGGTGGTGGAGGGCGATGAGAAGGAATAACATGGTCATCGAAAGCGTCTTTGAGGTAAGGTGTTTCATTCTGACCTCTGTACAGGCGACTAAAGTTGGTGTTGTTCTCGGTAAATAGCAATTCTGGTTCAACGGTTTCTGTCTCGGGATCAACATCAAAATTGCCATCTGGACCAACCGGTGGGAGAGAAGGAGGACAATAGAGGTGGGTTTTAGGTTGGTCTGGATGTTTGGCAGTGATGTAATCGATGCCACTGCGATTATGAGCAGTCAAGGAAGGCATCAGAGGCTTTTCTAGATATAGATATTATCTGGTTAGTCTTTGTCCTTGGCGTACTGATGGTATGTAATGTAAGTGAGAAGATACGTGCATATATGTGTCTAGGACTTACCTCCATGAAGACATCCCAGTACCTATCTTCATCAAATGCATCTGAGTCAAGAATCTCATACTCAGCAATGTCACGACTACGATTTTGGTTCTTGGTGACCAGTTCCTTATACAGGTAGCGGCGTTGAGGGTATTTGTAAAGGAATCTCATGTACGAGTGGGAAGGAGTTGAGTCATGGTAGTAGTAGAGCTCTTTAATGTCCTCGCCGTAATTGCCTTGATGTCCAGTGACACCAAACAGGCACTCTTTGAATACTCATCAGGCTATCGCAAATGAGCATGGAGGTCCGCCGGACGACACATCAAGCCTGATGAGCATGGTTCAGACCAGTCCCAAAGAAAGAAGGAAAATAATGATAGTGAATTTATGGCAGCAATTATTTGGACTGATCAACAAAACAACGCGAAAGAAAGAAGTTATGCCGTGCAGTGCACGTGATAACACAAGACGATGGGGTCCTTGGTCGGCATTGAAATATTGATGGCCGGCGGGCCAAAATCGAGCTGTCCTGTCCCTGTTGCCATAGTGGTTGACTCACAGGTCCGGAACGTGACCACGTGAGGTTTCGTCCCAATTTATCGTGTCCACGAATTCTGTCGGTGTCTATTGTCCTTCTACACCTTCTCAACTTCCAGATTTCGACTTGTACCATCCGCACATTATACCCAACGTTTATTACATTTCAACGGTTCATATCTTCATAACTTAACGACTATCTAACGTTATCAAAATGGCTCCTGGGTAATGCGTTCAATCTCTCTGCTTGATTCATGTACTTCATCTACTGACAACGTGCATAGAGATAGAGGTAGAACTGCATTTAACCCCAGAGATGACGCACATCTGGTAAAATATTTAGCGGAATATAATCAAGGAAGGAAAGGAAACAAATTGTACCATCAACTCGTGGATAACGTACGTTTTCTGACCTCGACAAGCCAAATATTTTGATCCTAATGGTTGATAGCTAGAGCTATTTCCTTGGGCAAGAAGGCACTCCTGGCAAGCCTGGAGGCATCGCTACATGCGGGAATCCGCTGACTTTGACCGTCGAATTGATTTACAACAGAAACGGAATCTAAGCACTCTCTTTCGAAATACTCAAGATGATGCATCTACATCTCGGGATTTACCACAGGCTCAGGAACACCTCGATCAATCTGCGGCTCATAGGCCTCAACGTCAAAAACGCAAAGAAACTCCTGAACGTGAGATCAACGTCCAGGAGAAGCGACGCCGAATTGATGCCTCGGAGCAAACCGTACCTACCAATGGCCGCGATCTTCAGGAAGGTTTTGAAGCGCAAGACATGGCCCGACGTGTCCGACTAGGTGAAGGTTCCAGTCGACCTCCTCCAGAGACAACAAAGAAGCACGTACTTCTAGACAGATCCCGCAAACTCAGTCCACAACCTGTACAGCAACGGACCTTATCGTCCGAGTCTTCTTCAGAGTCGAACAAGATGAAGGATATCCCTTATCATCATCGTTCTTCGTCAGACCATTCGAAAAAGGAAGTGGACCGGGACCACGAGCAAGACGGAGATATAGCAATGGGAAGGATGTTTCTGAGTCCATCTAATACATCGACGTCGGATAGGTAAGCTGCCATGATATCTAATATATCGCGATCCAACCTCTTGCTTAGCACCGATTTACTTCCTGCTGCCGAGCCAGTCCGCAACACCTCCGAACCGAATCTTCCTCCAACTTCAGCTAAATCTCTCACCAAGGTTCAACAATCATTCTCCTCCCTTTCAATGTCTTGGCTTTCCATAATCGACCAATCACGCCTCGTCGATATGATGGTCGAAATTCTGTTTGATCGATATAAATTTCCTCCCGAATATGTCCTGCGGGTCTGGAAGCAAGCGGGTGATTTGGAAGAGACCGAGGCAATCCTCAAGCAATTGAGAGACCTAGAAAATGGATTGTTACGTGAATCCAGTTCGCGGCGCTCGTCTCATACTGGTAGCAATACTTCGAGCGGAAATGGGAGAAAGGACGGAGATCAGATCACTGCTGAGCCTATAATGGGTGGACCACAAAGGGCTTCATGTGCTAGTGGTGATTCGAGTATTGTTCGAAATCCCAGTCGGCTTCGAGAGTCATTTTCAGGAGACTTCTTGAAGCCTGAGGAGCGAGCTACTGAGACAAGGGCTACGTTCAGCTTTCCCAGAGCTGTAGATTCACGTCATGATTTCGCGAATAGTTCGAGTTTCAAGAGTAATGTTACAACGCCAGCAACATATCAGTCGCGCGTTCCAAATGATACGTCTACAAGCCCGAAATCATCAAAATCGTCGACTACTCGTGACTCTTCGGATAATCAGTCAGAAGCTCACACTTCGAACCCTTCCGATGTAGAAGCGGCATTGCCTCCCAAACTACAGGAGATTTACTCTGCGATCTCCTCGCCTGACAGGAAGATGGTCTTGCAAAAGTTTTGGAAGGCTTATGGAACGGATTACATCCAGGTAGAAAGTACATTGAATGATAACCTACCCACGTTTATGCTTTGATTCAATGAAAATATCATCATTCTGTGGATACCTTTGGACAAATTCTGGAGTGTGTAATTTTGCTCGCCTGGTCGAGTTTGGATTGACGAGACTTCCCAGCTTCCACATCCAAGGGATAAGTGATTTGTGTCTTCCAGCTTGCATATTCCGTGAAATTTTCAAAAGGCCGGTTCAATAGAAATACAGTCATGAGCACACATATACACAACGTTATTCGTCAACATTCGTGTCGCAACTCATCGTTCAGTATCGTTCATATCCCTCAAGCATTATCTATCTCGTAAACAACCGCCTTGTCGTCTACACTCCCTTCTTCAGACACCTCTCCCGCAGCTTTTTCGACATCGTTTCTGGATGCGGCACCGTCAGCAATGATGCCCTGTCCAATCTTATCCGCCCGATCCCTATAGCTGGGAACAAAGTTCACAGCAAGGGCATAGGTCTCAGCGGAGATAAAGAACATGACGGGGACGATCATGGCGAACGCGGTGCTGTTGCGACGGTCGGCGACCGCGGCAAGGATTGGAGGGACTAGGATGAGCAAGGCGGTTGATTAACTCAAAAGTGGAAGGAAGGGATGGATTTTATAGCAAGCACGTACTGCAAGCTCCGCCGACGACGCCTCCGACGATCACACCAGCGCCTCTCTAAACGTTAAACCAGTATTTCAACCTTCGATAACACGGAAATAACTCTCCACACGTACCTTTGTATGTCTACCCAATCCTCTGATACCTAACGCAACAATTGTCGGGAAACATACACTTTCGAAGAACAGTGTCAGCGTGAGCATGGCAAGGCCAATGTTTCCCCGTTGTGTAATGGATGCGGCACAGAAGATGATGACACAGGAGAGGTAGCAAAGGAAGACCCATCGGGGTCGAATAAATCTCATTATACCTTTTTGAGTGAGGAAGAAGTGCGTGAATCCATGGATAGTACGAATAGCGGGGGAGTCAGAAGGTCGACACCGGGGGTATCAATGATAGAGATGAGCAGAAAAGATGTGATTTTTCCGAAATGAATTCGTCAATATGTTGAACGCGTTTGATTTGATATCATGAAGAAGATCAAGAAGCAAAAACAGATAGAAAAGGAAGGAGAACACAATCAGCACTGGCCAATATCTTTGAAAAAAAATCAATACCTACCACTACCAGAAAACCTCCCAGCGGCGAAACAGCCTTGGGCAACCGCGAGGAACTTGGCTCCAAGTGCAGAAGAGGTGTTGGGCCTAATCTCTGTGACGTAATTGATAAAGTATCCCGCAATTGCGACTGCAAACCAGTCAGACTGCCTCCCGGATTTTTCCTCAAGGCATATATATATATATGAACTCACTCTGAGATCCCGTATACGCAAACTGTGCCCAGCTAGCATGAAAGAGTCTATACTGTTTCCAGAACGGCTTGTCGTCGTCCCCGTTTGTTCCATGCGTCAAGTCAGCCTGCTGGCCCATATCAGCATCCGTTACCTCCGGAATAACGCTAAAGTAGAAAACAATTGCGAGGCAAAAAACGAAACACCCGATGGCGAGGTACACCCATTGAACAGTCTTCAATGCGTCAACAGATTCGCCGGTCTCGTTGAAAAATACGTAACTGCCTAGCACGGGGCCGACAACGGTCCCGATGGCTTGGACAGCTTGGGCGATGTTGATACGGAGCTCAGAGTACTTGGGAGGACCAGTGACTGCCATATAGGGGTTGGCAGCGGTTTCGAGAGAGCCTAGGCCGCTACCGATGATGAATGTAGCTCCACAGAATCCACCGAAAGATTCTTTGAGGGCAGCGGGCCACATCATAAATGCGCCGATACCGTAGAGAGTAAGACCAAGGATAAAGGTAGCGCGGTAGCCATAATGGCGTAAAACCCAGTTGGCGTAGCCTAGAGAAGCGAGGGGGTAGGCACCAAAGTACGCTGCTTGGAGCCCGGAGGAGCGTGTTCGAGTGATGCCCAGATTGATTTGGAAATGCTTGTTCAGGGTATCGAGTAGACCATAGGCAAAGCCCTGAAACGAAAAATAAAAAGAATATTGGTTTCGGTAAGTTGGCTTAGCATAAGGGAAAGATTGTACTAACCCAGAGAAAGTATAGAATGGTGACGAGGAACAGAGGAAATATAGTTTCCCTTTAGATGATGAATCAGATAATGGCGATTACTACAAGGATGGCTACCCTACCTCATCGTCAATTGAGCAGCATTGGTGACACGATCACCGATTTTGAGAGAATGTGCCCTAAAACGAGCCATTGTTGTACTAGAGAGAGAGAGGCTGATCGAGGAAAAACTTCGCGGAAAGGAAGGTAAGAAGCTTGACCTTGCCAGAAATCTATTCGTTGGGAATGCAATTTATACTGGCATCACTGGATCCCAGCACGTAGGTCAAGATGTTCATTGGATCCTCAGAACGGCCCGTTGTGGGGATAAAGGTAAAACAGGTGAGGCGATCGCATGACTAGATAACTTGAATTTATACCTAGTGGCAGCGGCTACATTAGGACCGATTTAGCAGCGTAGAAGTATGTCGAAGAGGAAGTTATTGAATTCCCTTCCGAAGACAACGCGACGATCGCGATTTGGCCTATGATTACTGTAAACAGGCAATGAGCAGTAGGAATGTGACAGGTCAAGTGTGAATATGGCGATTTACCGCAGGGTTTCCAGACAAGGGACCTGATAACGAGCGGGAAGAGATCAAAACCGCACCGATAATCATCAATTTTCCCTTCCTTCCTTTCGGAAGTCGATTCTGGAGTGAATATCAAGTTTAGTGGCTCGTACTCCTACAAAACCATCCCCAAACCAACAACACTCATCACACCTGACGAAGAAGAAAAAGAACCGGCCTATCGAAACCTGTTTCGGATATCGGCGCAGCATCTATCATAAGGTTCTCGTCTTTGTTCAATGACAACTCTCAACGCAAACACGAACCGTCCAGCAAGAGCAGGTAAAGCACGTAATGCATCCAACTTGCCCCGTAGATTTACCAAGTTCAAGGATTTGCGATAGGGTCCAAACCGTGCTAAAGTTTGAAACTCTGTCGATGCAGCCAACCTGGGCCCGCATTAGAGGGGGTCTGGAAACTACAACCCAATTGATTGAAGGGGCGATTACTTACAGCAAAACACCTCCAATCTACGCCCGTGACGAACAATTCGAGCGAATTTTCAGAGCTCCTTTGAAACTTCTAGAGCTTGAGTGAACCATTCCATTCGGATACTAGCGTTATCGCGAGGTTTTTCAACATCGGATCTTCTATGTTTCCGACCTTGAAATTTACATCCTGCATGTACACTGCGCTGGTTCCTCCAGTGAGTGTACTAGATAATTGTCTATCCTTCATATATGCCACCCAATTTGGGTGCAGGCTGATCTACACTGGTTCGCGTCCTTTGCTTCAGCTAAATCAAATGTAAACAAACACGAAAAGAGCGAAGAGAAGGAATTGAACGGTTGAACAAAAAACAAAGAACATACATTACTACGAGCGCTAAAATTAAATTACTTATTCAGGCGCTTATCGACATCAATTGGTTGTACAGTGATGGCCATTTCCCACGAACACCCCCAATTTAGTAATAAATTCCCATCTGCATTGGAAGCCTTGGCTCCTTGTAAATATGGAGGCATTATTGCCGAACCTTTAGGTAAGGCTTCTTACTAAAATCTTTCCGTTCATTTTGTAGGGGGGAAGTTGAGCTTGGCCATCTCCCACGGTCATGTGCTAGTAACAATTACATCATTATTACTCTGTGTTGGTGGCAAGAACATCATTCAAGGTATTGCTGCTGAATCTGCATTTGTATGGAGAATTTGAGTGATAGAAGCCCAGTTTTGGGAACAAAAAAATTGTGACTAGACTGAGTTTGCCAAATGGTGTTTTAGGCACATTGGTTCCCAAAACCTATGAAATACTCATGAAATACTCATAAAGATAAAGATTATGCAGTGTTAGCCACTGTAAATTTTTCCAGACACAAGGGCAAAGATCTAGTCCATTGAAATTGTGTCATCCTGAGCCCAATCACTCAAAGCTTTGAATTTTGTCTGCCAAACTCTGGAAATCTTTTATCCAGCAATTCAAAAGCCATCTCTTGTCTTTGCCTTTACTTCACATAGTGCCTAAGGCCATTCAATGAATGTAGCTTGCATAGACTTTAACAGTTGCCATTTAGTCCAAAGTGCATATGTGATACTTTCTTGTGTTTGCTCACTAAAAGGTCTACATATGTTATGGCCATTCAGATTAAAATGACATTTCTGAGTCAGAAGAATTGAGACCCAAGTTGAAGAGGACTAAGAATGTGGCAATGAAGACAGTTGTCAAGTCCATGCCTTGGGTCCCCATTCCGCCGCTTGGCATTCCAAAGATCCACCGTTTATTGTAATCTCACTCCTATTGTTCTTTCTCGCTACACATACCCTTTCATTCTAGTCCCTCCTTATTGTCTTTTACTCTATCCTGCAGGTACTACTTGTATAGCTCCTAGTAGTTAGTCTAGCGCTCCGCACCGATGCGCCGATCCGTAGATATAAATACTGTGTTAAGATCATGTACACCGTGTAACCGTGCCAAAGCCACAAGGTGTCTAAGTGCGGAAGACGAGTGGGACAGTAGTGAAGTTATTAACAACACCGCCGTTACGCCGTTAGTCCCCGGAGATCGAGAGTATAGAGGGAGGAGCTAAGTAGCAGCCAAGTCGGAGCGGGCCAGAGGACGTTCAAGTCCTAAGGTCAAGTAGAACGTGCTTCAAGGCGTTGAGCCTGAAGATTTAGAGAAGAGCTAAGTTGAGAAGGGAGATCTAAGTTGATCTAAGTTGATAATTAAACTGAGGAACTACAGTAGCGTACAGGCAGTATTTATATCTACGGAACGGCGCATCGGTGCGGAACGCCAAACTAACTACTAGGAGCTATACGAGTAGTACCTGCAGGGTAAAGTAAAAGACAATAAGGAGGGACTAGAACGAAAGGGTATGTGTAGCGAGAAAGAACAATAAGAAGAGATTACAATAAGGAGTGGATCTTCGGAGTACCGAGCGGTGGAATGGAGGGCCGAGGCATGGACTTGACATACTGCCTGTACACTACTGTAGTTCTTCAGTTTAATTATTGACTTAGATTCCCTCCTTAACTCTGTGCTCTTCTAAGTCTTCAGGCTCCTCGCCCCGAAGTACTCTCTACTACAACCTTAGGACTTAGTTCTTTGGTTTGCTCCTCGTCGTCGGCGATACCGCCGCTCCGACTTGGCTGCTACTGGCTCCTCCCTTCTATACTCTCAATCTCCGGGGACTAATGGCATAATGGCAGTGTTGTTAATAACTTCACTACTGTCCCACTCGACCTTCCGCCCTTAGACACCTTGTGGCCTCTGGCATGGTTACACGGTGTACATGATCTTAACAACAGTGCAGCTGCAAGAAGTGACTTGTCATGGTATCATAGCTTTCAGCTCAGTTCAAGTAGTTTCAACTTAGCTGTTCCATGTGATGAGTCTAGGTTATGAAGCTCCTAGTCTCTATCTCCATCTGCAAAACCTGCAACTCTGGTTAAGGGTCTGAAAGCAGTTGAGAGCAGATCTGAGGGCTATCTGCTCTAAGCCCATAGCCAAAAATCCAGGATTTGCAGATGCTCTTCAGTTTTCATTTTCCACCACTATTACACCACTTGTCCCAGTAGCTAATGGCTTCCAAGGGCAAGGCATAATCCTCATAGCAAGTTAGATTTTGCACAAAAGGCATCAGAAGAGGTGTATGTTCCTACTTCCCTGGAAATTTTTGTTTTTACTTATGATTCATCTACAAAGCCTGTATTTGGTTGAGGGTTTGAAAGCCGTCGAGAGCATTTCCCAGCAGTAAAAGCACTAGGATATACTCTCAGCCCATTTTGCAGATGTAGCAGATGAATAATTGAAAGTGTTCGGCACCTGCTGCTTGCGGCCTTACCCCCAGTCATGCTATTGTACAGTTATAGCTATCTTGCCAAAACACATTCTATAGGAAAAAAGACTAAAAAATGCAGATAGATGAGTACAAAATATCATAGATGATCCTAGCTTCCACTCCATACATGACTTGCTAATGTTCTCCTTACTGTTATAGTGTCATTGAATTGATAGATGGAAGCCCAATTGGCTGTTTACAAAGAGTCATAGTGATAATTAAGTACAGTACAATAAGAGCCAAGGCCTTCAGATGCAGATAATGTCAGCAACTGGTTCTAATAACATGCGAAAGTGGGCCATTGCGCTGCGCACGTGGCAAGAACAAGTCCGAAAATCAAAGTCACATATAAATAAGTGCAGATGCTGTGTAATCTGTGCAACAGAGTAAATCTACGTGAGTGATTGCATTGGCCTCGAAAACCATATTCCCTCCATCTCACATCCCATCGTGTACAAATATTTCACCCATCCCAGTAATGATCCTTGATAAAAAGTGCATATCATTGAAACTGTAGTATGACACACCCACTAATCTATAATGAACAGTTTCGTTGTTAATATCCCTGCTAATATGTGAGTCAATCAAGAAAGGGTGCACCCCATCAATATTGAATGATATAATACAAGGTGCACTGTTCAATATGTGTTGTTTATACACCCGAATATGGCAGGTGATGCAACGAGGAATATCAGTGAACCATGATGATGCAGATGTTGGTGGTTGAATGAAAGGTGGGTGCAGTTGAGTAGCCTGTGGACGGTGAGGTATTCGCTGTGGTATGTGCCCATTTTCACAGTTCAAAGAAGCATCAAAGCACGGGCAACTAGTGCGCAACAGTTGTGCCAGTACATCCTGAGTACTTGTATAAGCACCCCATTGCAGATTTCACTGAGATTGTACTGATCTTCGGAAATTGTCGCAGACCATTTCCAATGATGTTTTACCTAAGGCATGTTGTCGAAAGCCATCCATTATTGTAGGTAACTTCATGTACAATATTACATCATAAGTAGTTTCCTTCCAGACCTGTCTCAGTATGAGAAACAAAGAGTCGTATGCACAAATTATTTGACCATTTCAAAGTAGTGACTTGGGATACCTGCCAATAGAATGCATTCAATGATTTTGTATGCAGTGGCAAATGCCACAATTTTGCAACATTTAGTGGAGATGGAATTCCAAGTGTATCAGATATGGATGCAGCATTTGATTCAGTCGCTCCAAATGGGTATTCAACATCAAACTCTGTACTATTGTTGTTTGCATAGTGCTTTGCTTTCTTTGTTGGTAGGGTGGGGTCAACAAGGTCTACATCAGAGGCAGAGCGCTTTGGTGCCTGCACGTGGATTTGTAACAAAGGTATTGCAGTAGTTGAAAGAGATAAAGCATTTGCAGGAGATTTGCTGGTATTCTTACTCAAGGTGGTTGCAGTTGTATCTCTTTTTGTACTAGAAGCAGCTTTGCGCCCTGCCTGAGTTTTAGTTGATCCTATAATGGTCCAGGGCAATGGGTCATCTTTTTCTAAATTATAAGGATCACTCAGTGACCACTTGATTGCAGAGTGCGTGAGAGGTGGGTTATAATTAGAACCTTTCCATTTGCAGAATGATTCTATAAGTAGAGAGCAGTAATGAGCTTGCCCCGTTTTTGTGTGAAAGGGAAAGGAAGGAATCTAATGGGCCCTCCAACCAACCAATCTAATACACAATATGCGAGTTCACTGCTATCAAATTTATTTAATAGCAAGGGGTAGCGTTGGCAAAGGTTCCGCAAAGCTTTGAGAGCTAAGTAAGAAGCTTCGATCAATCAATTTGAATCGTTCTAAGGATTTGGTATATCCCTTTGATCAAGGTAGATTCAGCACGATCTGTGCTTTGATTGTATTGATATGGGTATATCAAGAATTGGGGGTTTGAATCAAAGTAAATTAAAACCCGGAACACACAGACCCCTACGGAGGGCTAGAACTATGTGCTGGCACAACCACACAGCGTGATTTGCCCTTAAGACCAACGACTGATCCTAAGTTCAAAGAATACCCAACAACTGGATATACTTCTTGCAGTCACAAGGAGCAGAACACAATGTTCCTATACTCACAAGTGCTGGGCCTGAATGGCTGCTAGTGAAGAGGTTTCAGTCTGGCGGGAGTGTGTCTTTCCTTTTTACGGATTAGCACTGCAATGTCGTCCCAAAATCACTTGTATTCCAGATACATCGGATCGCTATTTATACATAGAAAATATAGAGTCGCACAGTACAATTAATTTAATACAATAAATGTTTGGAACTGCAAGGAAACTTCTACAATTGGTCAGATACCACTTAATTTGAATCTTCATGTCCTTATTTGGTCCATAATGGTTCCAAGATTTCAGTATACCTCCAAACATAGGTAGGTACTTCGATGTTCATTTAATTTAATTGTTTTGGAGAATGACTCGAATGGTGTTCAGCTGTCACTGCTGTTCAACACTTCCTCCGATTGTTTGTCAACTCGTCCGGAGGCAAATCAGCTCTCCTCAATTCTAATCCTATCAATCTGATTCATCTGGATTAAACTAATTGCTTCTCTCTTTCAATAGACACCCATTGTGCCTATACTCTTTCAAGGGAGTTACACATAGTATTCATTTAATTGCATTCTTCAGTATTTTCTACGTCAGGACTCTTTGACATTCATTTGATATGTCTTCGGAGCCTTGCAGTACTTCGATTATTCTTCTAGTCATTTTCCTCAACCATGCAACTTGATTGGTCTATTAGACTAAATCGCAGTCTTTTAGATTAATGCATGATCTTGTTCTAGAAGGAGTATTTGATAATCTCTGAGTTCTAGAAAGTCATTTCAAGTCAATCCTTGGCTCATGGTCGCTTGAGTAAGTTCTTCCAAACTCCTGTCAGTGTAAGGTCCAATAAGAATATCCTTGGTATGTCATACATGAATGGTCATCCTTCAGATGTAGTCTGAGTCTGGTATAATCCTGCTTGACAAGCAGGTAGACTGTTATCCGAAGGTAGTATCGGGGATGGGTAAACTAACCAACTTGTGGTAGTATGGGTATATGGTCCCTTCAACTTATTAGACTGATTCAGTATTGACTTTGACTGTCAATCTGGGTCTCAATTACAGTCCTCTTGATACAAATCTATACATGAAAATGTCACAATTCACAGCATAGACGTCTAGCCAAAATTTAGGCGTGTCAGCGGGTTGACCCTTGTACTAATGAATCACATTTTTTCTCATATCTCAACCTCATAATCTCATCTAGAATTCCCAGATCCCGGAATTCCTTTTGAAGTGCGCCCGAGGCCCCTCCTGTTATAAATTTTGGATCAAAGCCCTGCAAGATAGCAGTGTTATGGTAGCTCCTGCTGCAGGACAATGCTGTATAATAAGCATGGTGGCCCCCGAGTGTATTTAAATCTGCAGTATTTACAGATAGGCTCTGACCTTGTGATGCGTGAGCTGTCATTGAAAATCCCAGTAAAACATCAACCTGATTTCTGGCAATATTGATTTTAGTGTCATCAGGAAGTGTAATGTGCCCCTTGTTTTCCCTTCTTACAAGTGGAACAACATTGAGAGGTAAACCTTCTAACTTTACAGGAGATGGAGGATTATCCGGTTCGACAAATAGTACCTCCAATACATTTTGTCCTGACTTTCCTTTTTTACTGTGCCATGAGTGAACCGTTCCTTGCTGCCCTTCGGTGATATTGAGTTCAGTTGCAATATTGTATCGTATGATGATTGGCATTCCATAACACAAAGGCAACACTGGAGGAGCATGGTGCTCATGAGTTGATAGTGGAAGGTCCCATAATATCTTTTGCAAGTCAGGGCTCATTGCATTGACTTTGGACTTTTTAGCAGGTATTGAAGCTTTTTGGCTACCCTTATCTGCTTTAGTGACTATTTTATCCTCGCTGTAGAATAGTGTTAGCTTCTATGAAGTATCAGATGCAAATCTCATTGACCCTAGTCGGTTAATCTCATCCTTTTGCTTGTTCCCACCAACAATAATTGCAGCATTTCACCATGGTGCTGCTCCAATAAAATGTTGCCCAGGCTTTTGAGCAGAAACAAGACCATCTAAGCACCTAATGTCTTCTTTTGTACAAGCTTTGTATCTCATATTCTTAAGAGCCTTTTGGAACTTCAAATCCTCAGGTGAATCACTTTGGTTTCGCATGTTCTTTCTAAGTATGACAACAGTAGTTACTTGATGCCAGAGTGCTTTTCCTATCGCCATTCGCTGACCATTCAATGACTTAGGATCAGAGCCAGCGCGGTGAGTATACAATGAAACAGATTCACCACCGATAGGAGGTAGTTGGGTAAAGTCACCGGCAAAAATCATATTCATACCACCAAATGCAAGTCCAACTTCATTGCACACTTTCGCTAACTGCTCAGAAATGCGGTACATTTCATTACAAGATACCATAGAAACTTCATCTAATACAACATATTCAATCCCTTGCAAACGCGAGCATACTTTAGACATTGTTGAGATTGGTGCTTCTTCAAATTTACCATTGATTCCCAATAAGAAATGATACATTGAACCACCTAGCAATGCAGCAGCATTTCCAGTTGGGGCGACTACAATAATTGCATGTTTGCATTTCAGAGATTCAAAAAACTGAAGGAGTGCTTTTACAGCCTGAGATTTACCTGTCCCACCCATTCCACCGATATACATATTTAATTGTTCACAGCAAGCACCTGAGGCATGATGTGCAACAATGCAAAAAGCTTGTTCTTGTTCCATATTCAACTGGAACTCATCAATGATTGTTTCAGTGACTTTTTTGATCCTCCCATACTCAATGCCCAATTTTTTGAAATAGGATTTATCACAGATTTTAACAATATTAGGCTTGCATTTATATTTGCCTGAGTTGGTTTCTTTATTAGAAGACAATGTTGCATGTTCCCTTCTTTGTAGCAACAGCTATTGCCGTGTTGTCCTAATTAGATTAGACCAGTCTTCTGCACAGTGTATTGGAATATTGCTCTGCTCAATATTATTAAAAGTATTGTTTACATTGAAAGACATTGGGATAGAATCTGTTCACCCACATGAGAAAAGAATATCACGCATAACTTTCATTGCTCTTTGCCGGGCCATGCATAGCTTACCTGTTTGCATACCAGTTTCAGGATCATACAGCACAACAAGTTCATCATTTTCATCATCAACAAAGTCAGCATCTATTGAGGTCTTAGTTCCAAGTGAATTATATAGCCCTTCATCAATGCTATCGATATTGAAAGGAAGAGTTCCTGCTAAAGATGTGAAATTACCAGCCTTAAGCTGGGCACAGAAATCATCACGGGAGTCTAGGCATTCATACCGAAGATTCATATTCTTCATAAACAATAATTCCTGCTTATTGAATTTGTGTGCAGTGAATGCCTCATGCCAGCTTTCATGAGCACCTTTCAAATTGTCTCCTGAGCACCAAGGTTTGAAGAATGAAAGCATGGAGCAGCAATAATATTCATGATCTTCCTTGTCAGGTCAGGGTAGAGATGGTCCGATGAAATTAGGTATGACATTGGTCCAGTTTCTTCTCATTGCAACTGAATGCGTGGAAAATAGAGGATGTCCATCTAAAAATTGCATGTGTTGCAAGCCTGGACATTGAAGAATAGCATTGTCGTCACCTTCAGAAGCACTGCCCGCATCATCTAAATCAGTTTTTTTTTGTGCGTGGCCGCTTGATGCGGTAAAATCGCTGAATCCAATCATACAGGTTATAATGACTATGTTCATTGGGGCGGTGTGTATAGTCATATGTCGATGATAATCCAACATAAGTATTATTTTGCTTTATTAGTAACACCTTATTATCTTCATGATGATCCTCAGGATGCCAAAACTTCCGAGCCTCAACCACAAATGGTTTCCAATAAAAAGGAACAAAAATGTGGCTAGTATAGTGGTCTGGATGTTAAAGAAGGTACATACATATCATTGGGCTACCAAGTTCCAATTTAGTAGCTAACAGGTTAACCATTTTCGTCATCAGTATTCTAGCTTTCTCTTTATTAGTTTGGGAACCGGTGATGAGCTGTGTATTTTTTTCAAAGATAACTTTCAAACTGTCAAAAACAACATGTGTTTTCAATCTGACTTTTGTTATATAGTCAGCTACATATGCAACCACTGCTTTGATAGCAGTACCAGAGAGAAGACAGGTTACATCAGTGTTGCAGCGCAGCATATATGTGATAGGTGGTGATATATCATTAAGCCAAGGTTCAAGTTTCTTCAGTGTGAGATGACCATTATCGCAATCTACATGTGAAGTTGAATGTACAGGTCTTGGAAACCGAGCTTTGCATTTCTTGTATTTGTTGTTAAGGCAAGAAACTGCCCATTTGTCTAAACTGCGAATGGTACCATCAGGATAAAAAGCACGGAAGCAGTCATGAAGATTTGACTTTGTGAGTAGATCATCTACTGTGAACTTATAGTTATTGAGCCAGAGCAAATAATCACTACAGGTACCACAATCTGTGTGGCCACAAGTGCAAAAAAGAGGTGGAGGAATCAGCATCTGAAGCTCGGGACTAACATAGGTACAATCATCTTCTGCCTGTGACACAGCTGTCTTTACTTGATCTTTGGTTCCTGTCAAAAATTCTCCAATGTGAACACTTTCCAGATATAATATTAGGCAGACCTGAAAATCAGAAGCAGGATCTAGCAGATGGTGCTTAATTTCCAGTGGTGATAAGTTATTCTTTGAAAAAATGAGACCATGTAAATGAAGTGTTAGTCGCCCCTGCTGTTCTACTGTACAATAATAAGCAGCAGTTGGACCAAAGATACCTGGTTCTGCAGAAGTTTTGCAACCAACAACAATTTCTAAGAATAGTGAGACCAAGAAGTGAAAAAAATGCGCACCTGCAGCAGGGTTATTACTAAGGAGGCGGCAGTGCTCAGTACTTGTGCACAGCGGAACATTGAAGGAGTCATTGGTATCTGCATAGTACATACATATGGGATGTTTTTGGTCACAAGGGGCCAGCGTAAAGTACCATGATGGTGCCCCAACATTAGTGATAAGTGACCAAATCTCATGTTGCATATTTTTCTTACTGGTGATAGAACCTTTCACTTTACTGGAGCCATAATTCAGGTCACGGAGCAAGTCAAAACATTCAGTTTCTTCATTAGATGAGGGTTTCACAAATTTGCCAGTGGCCATTCACGTGGCAAGATCTTCCAAAGTTTGCTTATCAATAGATAGCATCTGGGATGCAATATTGTCAAACTTTTTTGAGTTAGCCACAATGTAAGATTGTGTGGTACCTGCTTTGACTTGTTCATGGCTGAATGCAATAAATGGAAAGGACAGATCAGTCTGGAACCGTTTGTCATGGTACATCATCAATAATGATTTATGTTTTTCATCGGACAACTTACTCAATGATAATCGCGTGCCTCCAATGCCACCTAAGCCATATGGGAATAGCCATGGGGACATTTTCAGATAGAGATGAGGATTGTTGTATATACTTTCTGGCTTCTCTGCATGAGATGTGTGGAGGAATCTACCACCATCATCAAGATGCTTCAATGCACAGGCTTTCTGGGCATCTACCATTATATGCTGCAAATCTTCTCCAATAATACCATGTACTGTAAATACACATTCGCTTCCCTCTATACCATCATCTTCAAGGTCATCATGTACACTGACTCCTTCAGCATTACGATTACTATCTTTCTGAAAATATTCAATAGCCACAATCAGAGCATCTTCAGTATATCCCTGCAAGTTTTCAGGAGAAAAAAGAACGTCATTGTAATCACTATGATTAAGTATGCACCAATGGATTGCCTCTGCAACAATATTTCTTCAAACAAGTAGTAAAGCACGCTTATATTCATCGTCTGTGGGTGTTCCAGAACTAGAAAACATTATAGCAAGAACTTCTTCCATATCAACTCGTGGTGGAGGAAGAACATCATATATTTTGGGTGTAGGATTCTCAAAAGCTATGACATTTGAAACCAATTTACTGTGACCATTACCATTAGACCCACCCCTTTGCACACAGACAAAACACTTAGAGTGTCGGACTCGAGACACAAGCATACGCTCATAGAATGTGAGGTGTTTCAATTCAAGTGAGACATTGCCCAACCATAATCCATTGCACAAGGCATAGCAGGGTACTTTACTAGATTGCAAGTCAGACCTGCAGCTGTCACATATCATTTTGCAAGTATTCCTGGGAACACGGGACACACCAGGTACTTCAAGAATGCAGCATATTTTTAATATGCTTTAAAGGTGAAAGATTAGTTGCAGGCTTTAAAAGACCACAAACAGCACAACCACCTTCTTCAAATCGTTTAGGTAATGAAGCTGTACACCATTTTCGGATTATATTATCAATGTGGGACTGGGTATTGGGTGGAGGTGGAAAGACTGCTTTTTCAACCAATTTCATACCAGAAGACTCACTTTCAATGGTATGGTTATGTGTACTTGGATTGGTGCCAACACCAAGTTTACAATTTATAGATGATGACAGGGTTGACACCATTGAGTGCAATAGTGGTGGAGGCGAAGTAGTTGAAAGGACATGCATAGGAGCTTCAGTGGAGAATTGGTATGAGGGAAGCCGACTTTTGAAAGAAAAGGTGGGTGAGCGAGGTAGAGTAGTTATTGGGTTATGTGCAAGTGGGGAGGATTCATCCATTTTTGCATTGACAAGAAAATCATGTGAGGGTAACCTCGCTTGAAAAGTGAAAGTTGCAGAACAAGGCAATTGAGCAGGAACATCACTTGTGGCCAAACAGGTTGTACTATTTGGTGCTTTTGGTTATGAAGGCTTCGGTGAATCTATAGCCAAAGGGGAATAGAACACACTACAAAGCGATTCATATGCAGTAGATTTGGGTTTGCGCCTACCTCCAATAAAGACAAATTTAGAATCACCGATGAAGGATGCATAGTGCAACACAGCATGAGAGTAATACAAAAGTTCTAACAACCTGTTCATATAACTAGAAAAACAGTGCAACAAGAGCAGTGTACATAGACATTGCACGATATTGAACGCATACTCCAACAGCAGTAATAATTTATAACAGAGTATATGGCCAATGTCATGCCCTGACCACAACCAACCAGTCCCAGCACCATCCCACATGCTTCCTTACACCTCCCCAAGACATCCGACCTCCCCAAGACAGGACCACGGGTACTACGCACCTCCCCAAGACAGGACCACGGGTAATACGCACCTCCCCAAGACTATCCTGACAACCTCCCGACACGCGTACGAAACTCCTTAGCACCAGCCCCATTAAGTACAAATCTCGATCACCTGTCTCCTTCGACTACTGCCTCATGTCCCTAGGTTCCGATGTTCCCTTGTTCACTTCCCATACCTATTTAAGTAGCTCCGTAACGTCTCCAAGCGCCAGCTTGGTATATTTTGAACACACACCCTTTTGCATAGGTCCAGTCCCTGTCCCTTTGTACCTGCTAACCATACGGATTTCTCTTTACTCTCTGTTTCTCTACCTCTGTTTCTCTCTACTTCTGTCTATTGTCTCTCTGATCGTCTGTACGATCGAATATACGCTTTTACTTCAAGTCTAAGCCTTCCGAGTGAGTCCCCGAGCTCCCTCGAACATTACTAAAGCTCCCCAACGCCTACCCGCTTGGTGAGCTACTCTTCCCCAAACCTCCCAGAGCTCCCTAGCTACTTCGTAAGCTTCGGGACCTCGATCTAGGTAACGTCGAAGCTATCCCTCACGTCGAACTACGTATTGCTTCTCCGTTACCACCTCCCACACTCGAGGACGACCATCCTCCAACCCAGTCCCCAGGGACCTACCCTCCCTGGCATATCCCTTCTCGGGAGCTTACACCCTCGAGACCCCGTTGCATAAACTACCTACTCGACTCTATATTGACGTTCTAGCGAGTACAACTCCTACTACGCAATATCTTACGGTCCCGCACTCGTCCCGAACCTCCCTACGCATTAGGGACCTCCCTGGACCTCCTAGGAACCCCTCAAGGGTCACCATCTCGTCGTTCCAACCACTACTAGGTCATTCCCGTCCTCGGTCGCGGTTCTCGTAGCTCCCTTCGAGCTCCAGCCTGCTCCTAGCACGCTACAACATAAACCTCCACATACCAAAACCTACCCTAAGACCTATTTTGACCCAGGTCTTACATTATACCAAGCTCTCCCGTCACTGAACGGACTCGTCGCGACGAAATGTCGGCGACGTCAACGGAACGACCTTCTAGTTCCAAAACCGAATCGAAGAAACAAAAGAGCGCCTTATCTCGTGGAAACACGACACAAGCTCAAAAATCGAACCAGGCTGCTAGCTCCACTGTCATCACGGTGGCAGCTGGTCAACGCCTGATGTCCATCCCAGAACAGTCGTTCGGGGATGAAACCGCCAGTAACATCCGGACCCCAGAGGGACGTCAACCGGAGGTTCAGGGGCCCCCTCCAGTGGAACCTGGGATGGGACCACCACAACGGAGGTTTACCTCCATGGGTTACGCCCAACCTGCCAGTAGTCCCATGGGAGGTTTCGCATACTCCCCTACCTGGGGAACGAGAGGACCTCCCCCTGGACCGATACCGCAGCTAGACATGGAGTCAGCTTCGAACGCGGGTGGAAGAGTCAGCGGTCAAGTAGCCGCTATCGAAAGGATACAAGGGGGAAGTACCGACCCTCTCACAGTACGACAACAGGAGAAACTTCCAGAGAGGAGGGTATCCCCTGCCGTATCCGAACAATCTCGGGCGTCATCCCGGAGGTTACCAACACCTCCAGTACAGTCCCTTAACCTTCCTCCCCCGAGACGAGGAAGTTCACTCTCCAGTCTTCTGAAGAGCCCAGCTATGAATACGCCCAACTGGGAGCGTACACACGCAATACACCATAGTAGGACCAACTTCCCCGTACAACCCTTGTCCGAAATGACATTGCGTCTGGAAGACGTCATTCGAATTCAGGAGTGTATCCCGGAAGATGTAGCTATGGTCCTAAGGGAGGTATTGGAGTCAATGGGGATCGAAGTATTGGGAGACGGTCTCGAATTCTCAGACCTACGAGTACAGTTCCTAACAGTAGGAACTCAATTGGAGATAGACCTCCCAGAGAAGGCCCAGCAGTGGCTGATGACCCCCGCGAATCGATCAGATTTTCTCTGGCTGTACAACGTCCTGTTGGACCCAGAGAGGATGTTGGAACTGTTAGAGGCAGAGGCACGTTACGGACGATCGTTCCGAAACTCGAGGGGAATACTTCCCCTCCTCCCTCATAACCATGGAAGGGAGAAGGAATTCTGTGGCGAAGCAGGGCTACGTATATTGTACCGAGCCTCTAACTACAGATCAGGAGCCGTACGGTTTGAACCTCCCCCTTCGAGGGTTAACATACCGAACTACCAGGCGATCCAAATACTTCGGAACGCAAACCTAGCGGAAGCAGCAGCTAAAATCGATGAGGAAAGTAACGAGGATGCTAACGCAATTGCTGCAAAAAATCGTAGACGCAGGAGATACACCACGGCTCACCTCCTGGCCCCAGTGGAGTCAATGCCTGATCAGGATAGTCCCGTCCGGGTCCGTAACGGACAGACGGTATACACGTACACGCCCATGAGGCATATGCACCAGCTTCTGGTGAGGAGTGAGGAGTCTGAAGCGATGTTGTGTTCGCAGGAGACCCGACATCGGACGCTACTAGCGGAATCAGACACTCTGATGCTGTCGGAGGAACTTTCTGGATCGAATCTAGAAAGAGCTTTGGAATTCCGTCGCAGACTGGTCGCGGATAATCGGGGAACCTCGTATATGGTTCAATGCGAACTCGAAAGCGTAGGGGAGTTCCCTCCGGAGCAATTTGACCAGAAAGGGGAGCTCCATGGATCTGATGGTCGTTTCCTGGCACAGAAACATTCATCGCCCAGGAATACCGAGGTTCCTGAACTCCTTAACCCCGGTAACACGGCCACGAGGAGCCCCCAGTTACGCTCTGGGACCTCCCCCAATGTACATGCCTTGGCTCAAAATGCGACTCCTCCCCCAGAGTTAACCTGCAAACGAAACCTTTAACCCCAGTCTCGACGCAGCGATACCAGTTTGGTGAGGTGAGGATGGATGGCGCACAACATTCATCCCGGATCTCCGGACAAGATCTGACAGCTCGGTTGGCTCCCAACCCTGTACACGTTCCTCCAAGACTGAGCAATCCATCAGTCATTCCGTATCAAGGGTCGGTATCAATGCAATCTCAGGCAGTGGGAACGGAAAGTCACAGGGGCCCGAACCAACGAAGAACGTTGGCAGTTCACGAAGAGGCGGTACCCCCGCAGGGAGCTCCTTTTGGAACTCCCTTTGTAACGGGAACTCAGATGAACCGACCTGGCATGGCTTTCGAGTCGGCACGCTCTCAGGAATCGGTAGCAATGATCCAACAACAGGCTCGGGTCATTGAGACGCTCCAGGAACAACTCCGTGAGGTAAAGAAAGGATTCACAGCGGGGGAAGTACCGACGGGAGGACCCCTTTCCAAAACAGGAAACACGGCGGGATTATCCGGGCGAGCACCTAGGGTAATGAGAGAATATACGAGGGGGGGTCCTTCTCCTGTAGTTCCCCAGCCAAGGAGCTGGCAAGCTATGGAACCAATATCCTTTAACCGAAACACTCCTACAGGAGCTAGGGATGGAAACCCCCAGGTAGAACAAGCAGGACAGATCCCGGATACTCCGAGTGTGGACCGACGACGTATTCACGAGTGGGGAGCCCGAGTGCAAAGAGCTGAGCTAGGGGAGTATGGGAGACCAGAAGGAGGAGCGTACGCGTTGGAAAACGAGGGAGGAGGCAAGGCGGTTTTGGTTTTAACCCCCCTCCTAGAGTACCTCCCCCACATTTTTCTAGTCAATCGAGAGATCGAGAACGACCTCTGAGTCAAGGGGGACAGGGTCAAAGAGAACAGGGAGGAAGGAGCGGGGGAGGGGCACCACCTCCGCCTCCTCCTCCTCCACCACCTTCCGGGGGACCGGGTGATAGTAATTCGGAAGGTTCCAACGAGGGGGAACAGAACCAATCGAGTAGGAATGGTGGAAGGAGAGAGGAAGACAGAGGAGAGCTC